AGCAGCCCTTCCCAAAACTTATCTCAGATCTGCCTGGGAGGAGAATTGGGAAGTGACTACTCAATCTAAGGGGAAGCATTATAAACTTATTCAACCATCTATTCCTTTTAAGCCATGGTTTGCTAAAATGAACCTTTCAAAAAGAGTTACTACCACTTTGACGAGAATGAGACTTGGTCACTTGTGCACTCCAGCACATTTGGCCAAAATTCATGTTATAGACAGTGATATGTGTTCCTGTGGATCTGATGTGGGAGATATGAACCACATATTTTTTAATTGTAGCCTTTATGACCGTTCCTCTTTTATTAGCTCGCTTTTATCCATCCATGTTCCTTTCCCAACCTCTATTACTTGCCTCTTAAACTCTAATGATAGTAATGTCTATAATATTTTAGCTGCATTTATTACTCATAATAACATCAAGCTGTAAATAGTGTATGATAGTATTTTTATGTAAATATTTTATTTTTTTATCCTTATTATCCTTAACCACTATAAACACTGATCCCATCCTATCACACAATGTTCCGTTTCCTTCCGTAATTATAATTCGTTTCCCTACCTTTTAACCTAATCCCACCCTGTCTAAATGCAAAACGCACTGTCTGAAAAACCAAACGCAAAAGTCAAGAACACTCTTTCCATATANCGTTTCCCTACCTTTTAACCTAATCCCACCCTGTCTAAACGCAAAACGCAATGTCCGAAAAACCAAACGCAAAAGTCAAGAACAATCTTTGTCAAGAACAGTCAAGAACCACATCAAGAACCCCGTCGTGGCTAAACGCAATCCGCGAGAGCCATAAAGAAGAAAAAAAAAAAAAAAACACCAGGCTGTCAATTAGTAGGCTCAAAAATTTGACAGAGAGGGTTCTCTATTTCCTATGTATTACTTTTCTCTATGGATTATATAATGGATTATATTTCGACTAAACCATGAAGCTACAGATAAAAATGGAGGCCACATTCCGAATACCTATTTGAAGCACAAACTATGTATCACTATCTCGCTCTCTGTGGGCAGACTCTCTCTTTCTAAATAAGCAAAAAATACAAATTTGCTCAAATTCAATGAAACTCAATGTAAAATCTTTATTTCTTGACATAGGTATCATTAAAAATGATAAGTGTAAATACTGGTAAAACTTTTTAGGAAGAAATTACTTTAAAAAATGTGAAAAATGTTTACAATGATCCAATATCGGAAATCACGAAATAAACACTTACGCGTGGAATCTTATGTCACTTCCAGGACACCACGTACTACCGCAACCACGCACTAAAAAATTTTGCACCATTTCTTGTGATAAAACAATGATTATTTCCTGTAAACAATCTCAAACAAAATTAACTGCATAATAAACAAAATAGTAAACAACCGCCATGATGGGCCGGATTGGGCCGATGTTGCCACATGGTACCGATTACCCAGGAATTGGGATTGTAATTCCCTGATTCGCCAACACATTAAGCCTAAATGGCCGACAATTTAGTGATTTTTTATTTAACTAGGTAATCTTAGTTTCAAATATTAATTATTTATTTGTTTAACTTCTGATTTGGTTAGTGAATTTGCTATTTCGAAGAATTTACAAGGAGATTTAAATCAGAAGATAGCAATACTACAGTTCACACTAAAAAGAGAGGTAGGGCCGCAGAGAGCGAGATAGATATAAGTAGGTANTTGGCAATCCATTATCACCATTAATTTTTGTTTCAATCGAATTTGAAGTAGAATTTTTTATCGTGGTTTGTACTTCTGTTGAACTTTGGCGGCTCGTAACTAGCTATTCAATCATTATCTGGATCAGAAATTTATTTTATTTGAATAAAGACATATTCGATATTAATATCAAATAAAAAAAACTGTTGAAATCACGCGAGAAAAAAAATTGAAGCAGTTTTTAGGTCAAATTTCGGAAAAATCTGAAAAAAGTATAAAAATTGACATATCTCCTAAACTATAAAACTTTAGCCATAGAAAGTAAGGTTCAATAATTAGCAAATGACCTCCTCTATACGCCTATTAGCTATGGCGGGTTCAGTTCCAGTCACCCTGTATAGACAAACCAAGATGGTGTAAATTAGATGTATTAACACCATAGCTTCCTTATGGTATTTGAGCGTCATGTTCCACAACTTCAGCTTTATAATATTAGTATAGAGTATAGAAGTATAGAATGGTGCGTTGAAGTTGCGCACGACGTCACAATGTGCGACATTTTTAAGCAAGCGTTGACGTCACGGGCCTCTTCTTATGAACTTTGGGGCGCTTTATCTCTTTAAATTTTCATTAGTTTGAAAAAGTGAAAAATACGTGTAGAGTATTTTTTTATAAGTTAACTGACGGACTAATTAAAACNGTGTCACAAGTTGGAGCTTTCTCGGGTATGCACGACCCTATACCAACTTCAGTAAATCTCCTGTGAACTGTGGGCTCAGTCACTCTTACTCCTCGAGTGTCTTTAAGGTTATTTCTGGCTTGAACAGCAGGTAACCGCGACTTTCTGAAAACTCGAAGTTGTAAAAAACGGTCATCCCGTCGCGAAGTACGCCTTTTTCTGACTTGAACCCTCCTCCTAACGACAGAAATGATCAATCTGTACCGTTGGTTACTGCCATGGGTGGTCGATACTGATCAACGACGTCTTACGGCAGCCGATTTGTATGCATGGCCGTTACTTCTCATTTCATCTGCCTTAATGATTTCTGACGGTGCTAAGCTGGGCATAATAAACCCTTATAAGTAACTGAATGCTTACACAACAAAATTCTCAGAAAAAAACATCTTTCACGTAAAAGAAATCCAAATTAGCAAAAGCTTCATTCAATTCAAAACACTCAACGAAACTGTTGATGGGGTAATTTAAACAAAATAATTAAAAAAATATACTGTTGGCAATTATTTTTTTCATATTTAGAATTAAATTAAAAAATAATGTCATAATTAGGCATTTTTTTCCTAAAATAATGATGATATTGATGCTTTTTTTTCCGTTCCTCTAAATCTGCCGGTGTGTGTAGTTTCGACGTAATTGTTGAACAAAGATAACCCTTCCCAGCCGGTTCCATAGTGCTGCTAACATGCGAAAATGCACTGCCTGAAAGAATCACAGAACCTATTCCGACGCGCTATGGAACCAGCTGGGAAGGGGTATCTTTGTTTAACAATTACGTCAAAACTGATAGACGTAGACTAATAAATTTACATTCGTTTTGTAGAATAGCTCAAATACTAATAATACAATGCAAATAAAACATAGGGTAAGTGCGTTAGTTTTCGTCCAATTATCGGAGTTGCCAACTTTGTAATGCGAAATGAATATCTTAAAATACCCTTACTCATATGTATCATATGTCATTTAAGTCCTTATATAGTCTACTTTACGTTAATATTATATGACAATAAGTAAATACCACGGGTTTTTTTATAAAAAATATTTTATGCAAAAGAGGCGATTTCACTAGTTTTCGTCCAAAAAAATCAGTTTTCGTCCTAGTGTACGCTAGTTTTCGACCACTGTGTAAAAAAAAGGGTGTAGTTGAATTATTAACTTAAAACCAATTCTACAATACAATAACTATGGATTGTGGTATATCATTTGAAAGCTAACAAAATTAGCTTTCAAATGATATCAAAAAGATTTAAACAAGTTTCTTACCTAAATTTAGAAAAANGAAGCGTTCATGAGCAGACATTGCAGTTGAATATTCATGTTCTGAATTTGATTATTGATGAATAATAAAATAAATCCTACTAGCTCGATTGATGGTTTCATTTAATTTATTTAAACCAGGTTATCTTTAATAATATTTTTCGTTAATTTATGAAAATATCAAATTAGCCCGTAATCCTGAATCCTGATACATAAATTTAGCCTATTAATTTAACACATGTACGACTGTACTCAGTGTTGCACTATCAAATGCAATTGAAGCGCCTCTGTGCCAGGGTTTTTATGTTCCTGGTCAGGCTATAAATAACATATTATACCTACATGTAGTATTACTATCTATGCCTATGGCCAGTCATGTCGTCTCGTTCTATCGCAAAGAATCACCATTTGATGAGAGCGAGAGCAAAAACGGAAATGGATAGTTAACACTGTGGCCGTGTGTACTTATTTCACTTACTTATTTTTTACTTGTTTAACATCTCTTTAAAAAATTACATAATTTTACCCCAAAAACGGGGGTGTCACACGGCGCTAGTAACACTAAAGGGGGTAGAGGGGCGCGGGAGGGGCGCGTAGAAATGTTATCGAACACTCCTTCTGGTTTGTTCTGTATTCTGAGGGTTCGGGGTTGTGTTGTCGAGATATTTGTTTTTATTCGCAAACGAAATGTTTGAACAACGGCGACAATTTTATTTCGATTCAAATTTATTCCTAACGCTCGATTTATTGCGGGCAAAAGGAGTGCGCTGACGCTGCCCGCTCCCGCGCCGCTGTTTTCGAGAACCGGTCTATTTGATTTTACTTACGCATAAGATCCTGCCGCTCCCGCCCCGCTGCCCACCAAACTCGAGGCTGAGGCCTTAGGCCTAGGCCAGAAGCTTGATACTTGATCTGATTGGCTGATCCTCATTCAGGGATTTCTCTATCCTCCTGAGGGACAAAAGTCCCTCGTCCTATCTCTTTTGAGACCATAGTAGATTATACAGGAAGAAGGAAAAATAAAACGCCATTTACTAAGTTGAATATCCCAAATATATATTAAGATGAAACAAATTACAAAGGAATATTCAAACAGTTACATTGGTGACCAAGCTTACAATACGAGGTAAAGTCCAATGTGAACTGATAAGAAAATAAAAGATACTGCAAGAACATAAGCCAACTCCATTTTCAAGATAAGAAATAAAAAGAATGATAATTAATAGTTAATCTATAATAAAAGAACTTAACCGAACTACCTCTCCTAGTCAATGTAAAAAGTCAAAGAGTCCAGAAGTATAACTCTTACTCGAACATAGAAATGTTGACAGTTGCATTATATTTTTGTTTGTAGAATGCTCTCCCATTTTATCTGTTACATTACTAGTTCTTGTGGGAAGACGCAATCTACTTTTTCTTTTTTCAATTTTTATTTTGTGTTTTTATAATCGGGACCATTATACATATATATTTGTAAGAAGAATATTAAAAGCATAAAAATTACCAAGAACACTGCTATAATTACGGTTCTTGTTATTTAATAATAATAAATCTGGCAAAATTCTCTTGCTTTTGCCAGTACTGTAAAATATTACTCTTTCTTAGTAGCTTGTTGTTTAGCTTGGTGAGCCTGCAAAACAGCGACTGCCTCATCTACTTTAGCTTTGAGAGACTCTCCATGCTCCAACATATGAAGAAGTTCCGAATTGTCAATCTCTAGTAGCATTCCTGTTATTTTTCCCGCCAAATCAGGATGCATTCTTTGAATTAATGGGAAAAGACGTTCACCAAGCATTTGCTTCTGCTCTTGAAGTGGTGCTGCAGCTAACATAGTCGCGGTTAAAGGTTCTTGACCTTGAATATGAACAGCTGGTTGAGGTGCAGGAGGATTACGCATGTTCGCAGTATATTTGTAACCTGCCGGGCGCCCACTTTGAGTGACCAGCGGAGCTCGAATAGACGCAGCAGTAGCTACACCCTGCTGACCGGTAATAGGTCTAGCCCCAAGAGACGTACGTAGGGCGGCTTGGGTGGGGCCTCTGGGTGCAGGACGGAATGGAGCCTGCATGTTGGGGTAGCCAGATGCTGCAGTCTGAGTGCTTGGTCTTACCGGAGGCTGTGCTGTCCATCGTGGGGAAGGTCTTATTTGGGTCATTTGTGCTGGGCCATAGAAGCGTTGAGCCGGTGGAATAGTAGGCACGAAATACCCTCCAGCACCACCTGGCTGGAATATTTGACCCATTTGCTGCATGCGCATACTTGCCATTCGCTGCATATATTGAGATGTCAAATGAGCCTTGCGGTCTTCTTTACGTTGGGCCAGTGCGACATATAGTGGTTTCGTTCCAACTATGCGTCCATTCATTTCTGTCACAGCTTTAGTGGCTTCTTCCGGTGATGAGAAACATACAAACCCAAAACCTTTACTGCGACCATCTTCGAGCATTACCTGTAACAAAAGAAGTTAATTACATTACTATTTCAACAATTAATAAGTCCCTAACTTACAATATTTGTAATCTTATAAAAAAATATTAAGATAGGTGTAACATGATGAAGTGTTTAATTGAAACAAACCTTAGCTGAAGTTATTGTCCCGAAAGGCGCAAATTCTTTGCGAAGTCTTTCATCGTCAATAGTATCATCTAGATTTTTGACATATAAATTGACACCTTGGTAGCGGGTCAGACGCTCAGATTTTAATTGTTCAAATTTACGTTTCAACTCCTTTTGACGCTCGGCTTTCTTTTGCGCACGTCCAACATATAATGGCTTGCCTTCAACAAGCTCTTTTCCATTAAGTTCCATGCAAGCACGTTCAGCTGCATCAGGATCTTCAAATGCAACAAATCCAAATCCTCTAGAGGATCCATCTTCCTTGTACATTACTTTGTGGCTAGTTATTCTACCATACTTTTCAAACATGTCACGGAGCATTTCATCCGAAAAATCTTCACCAAAGTTTTTCACATACACATTTGTGAACAACTTAGCTTTCTCTCCAAGTTCCTTTTCGCGTTCCTTACGAGGAATAAATCTGCCAACGTACACTTTCTTTCCATTCAGTAACATACCATTCACTTTTTCAATAGATTTATTGGCAGCTTCTTCAGTTTCAAAGTGAACAAATCCATAACCCTTTGAGGCACCAGTTTCGTCTTGGGCCACTTTACAACTTAAAATATTACCAAAAGCTGAAAAAGTATCATACATAGCCTTGTTGTCAATTGTCTTGTCAAGATTTTTAATAAAAACATTCCCAACTCCAGATTTGCGTAGAGATGGATCTCGTTGGGACCACATGATTCTAATAGGTCTTCCTTTGATCATATCGAAGTTCATAGTGTCAAGTGCCCTTTCAGCTGTAACAAAAAATAATTACATTATTAAATTGTTGTTAAAAAATAAATTGTTATAGTAGCCTGTTCTTGGTAGTTAAAATAATTTAGATTCATTTACAAGACAGATTATAATGTACCTATGTCATCTACTTATTTAAAAAAATTGATTAACAAGATAAACATACATAGCAAGGATAATAGATAGATAAATAGGATAAGGATAACTTTTCTAAAGCAGTAGTGTAAAATATTTTTAAGCATTCTGTACAAAGACTAGTAACTACACTATAAATTGCTGGTTACATAAAGATAGACTACAGGGAAAGTACCTACATAAGGTATATACAGGGTGGAAACGATAAGTGATCTCATTCGATTATTACTAAACTATAGAAAATATCGAAAAACTGGTTACTGATCCTGAAAGTGCTTCACAAGCTCTTTCCAACGGTACCAATAATAGGTTACAGAATTAACTGGATCTATCTGAAAATTAAAATTTTTCAGCCTCCATACTAAATGTATGCCACCCAAACAATATTAGAAGTACAATTTTTTTAATTAATAATAAACACTTAAAATGAACTCGTAAATTGCATTCTTTTAAAAATTATTCTTGGAAAACATTGGTTTTTAGGCTTTACCTGCTATAATATTATCAAGACATGAGTGCCATGACTGTGGCTATACTAAATGTATGGAAGCTGGAAACATTGAATTTTTGGATGGATCCAGTTTATTTTGTAACCTATTCTTGGTACCGTTGGATAGAGCTCGTGAAGCACTTTCAGGATCAGTAACCAGTTTTAGAATATCTCTTATAGTTTTTAATATTATGTGGTTTTACTAAACGTATGATAGCTGGAAACATTGAATTTTCGGATAGATCCAGTTTATTCTGTAACTTATTATTGGTACCGTTGCATAGAGCTTGTGAAGCACTTTTAAAATCAGTAATCAGTTTTTCGATATCTTGTATAGTTTGGAAATAATTGAGTGAGATCTCTTAACATTTCCACTGTGTAGAAAATTTTATATAATAAAAACTGGATTTTATTTGTTAAATATGGAGTANCACAGATTGATAGTTTTTTTTTCATTGTATTACCAATAATTAGAGAGAAAATGATCATTCAGACAGTTGACTTAAGTATAGACTTTGAAGACTAATAACTTAAAAATTACTTGTTTCTTGCACATTATAATTTGGAATGTTTACTTTCAAAATTAATCAGATTTAATGCGAAAAGAACATATTTAGTTTTTCACCCTCGGTAACATTTGTCATGGAATGACCCAAGTACAATTTTTTAAATTAATAATAAACACTTAAAATGAACTCGTAAATTGCATTCTTTTAAAAATTATTCTTGGAAAACTTGGTTTTTAGGCTTTACCTGCTATAATATTATCAAGACATGAGTGCCATGACTGTGGCTATACTAAATGTATGGAAGCTGGAAACATTGAATTTTCGGATGGATCCAGTTTATTTTGTAACCTATTCTTGGTACCGTTGGATAGAGCTCGTGAAGCACTTTCAGGATCAGTAACCAGTTTTAGAATATCTCTTATAGTTTTTAATATTATGTGGTTTTACTAAATGTATGATAGCTGGAAACATTGAATTTTCGGATAGATCCAGTTTATTCTGTAACTTATTATTGGTACCGTTGCATAGAGCTTGTGAAGCACTTTTAAAATCAGTAATCAGTTTTTCGATATCTTGTATAGTTTGGAAATAATCGAGTGAGATCACTTAACATTTCCACTGTGTAGAAAATTTTATATAATAAAAACTGGATTTTATTTGTTAAATATGGAGTATATTGCCTGATTGATTAGCATTAAACGTCCTCAATAGAAAAATAAGTTATTTCTATACATCTTTAATTAGATAGTTAGGTACTTTTTTTTAAAGATTAGAAATAATATGCCTTTAACTAATATATTATATCATGCGTGAATGGGAGGGAAATAAGATAAAAATAAACAGGCTAGTTTAATAATGGGGTTTAGTCTACATATGAAATTCCCATTTGGTATAGATTTCATGAAAACTAGCACAATGATTTTAACAGATTCTCATGAACAACATAATATGTAGGTATCTAATGTTTTTAATAAAGTAGGTACATAGTATGTATATTGAGACAAGGCTATAGCAGTGATGGCCAAGAGGTCGACCGCGAAGACGATTTTGGTAGCCCAAGAGAGTTAAATAAACTGAACAGATGATGGAAAATTTAAAATGTTTTATTTCACTTTAGAAAAGTGTACCTAACTGTACCTTGCAGTCGACTGTAAGAAATATTTGCGAGCATAAGTAGACCTTACAGCACCCCGATTACGGTAACTTTTAACGTCTACAATCCAGACGCGTTTCTGATTCTGCAATACGATTGGTCATAACAGCTGACGTACGCTGTTGAACGACCAATCGTATCGCAGAATCGAGAAGCGTGTCTGGATTGTTGACGTTATAAGTTACCGTAATCGGGGCTCAGGTCAAAAGTTTGGCCTCCCCTAGGCTATAGTATACATTAATGGAGACCTAAGCCTTAGACAAACTGTCTAAAAAAATCATACTAATAAAAATGCAAAAGTAAATATTAACTAGGTCTATAGGTCTTGAAATTACATGTAAAACGAAACCAATAATGGGATTATCTATAACTGAAATTATTGAAGCAACAAATTGGCAATTTCATTTCCATTCTATATTTCAACAAAAAGCATGAAATACAGTTCAGTTGTAACAGACTAATTGCACAGCCTTCATGCAGTATGTGTTGAAAGTGTAACATAAAATCATGACCCAATCATTTCCTGTTTTTTTAGTGAATAGAAAGCGATGCTATGGCACTGGAATGTAGGTACGTGTTATTTGTTATGCACTGTGTAGGAACATGATTTTAAGATTAAAAAAATATTAAATGACCTTGAAAATAGTAAAAAAGACTTACCATCGGCAGGTTGCTGAAAATTCACATAAGCGTAGCCTAGGGATCTACGCGTGATCATATCGCGACAGACTCGAATAGAGAGTACGGGACCAGCCGTTGAAAATTTCTCAAACAACATGGCTTCAGTAATATCGGAGTGCAAGTCCCCGACATACAAAGATGCCATGGGGTAATTAGGTGGGCCTGGATTCATTTTGATATTTTCACTACTTCAGTATTTTAATGAACATTAAAATTGGCCTCAATTATTACGGACAACTTCACTTTCTCTTCGTAATGACTATCGCATTCCTTAGACCACGTTGCACGCTTACGTACACTAACTTAAAATCGAGTGATTCCCGTTGTTTATTTTATATTTTACAATTTTTTTGGTTTTTTATTAATTTTATATTTTTTTTTATATTTTAGAAGAAATTATTCACGAAATTATGAGGATTGTGTGACCTATTTTCGAGGGCACACACAACCTCACGTGAACACACCTTGCTCACCAAAAGGAAAGGTGACGTTTAGTTGTAGGAAAAGCAAAATGGCGGCGTGATGTCATAGANTCATCAGAGAGCTGCTCTCTGGATGTCATAGACAATTATTTGTAGTAAGCATAGAGGAATTATGGTGGTAAGAAAACAAATTTTGAGCCCTCCCTAAAGCATTGAGCTTAGCTCTAGACAAGGGAGACGTCACATAATAGTACAAGTTTTACAAAACAATAAAACTTGTATTATTGAGCAGAGACGATGCACAGCATCTGGTGAGAGATGCGTCTACTTCCGGTGTAGTTTTTTACCATTTTATACCTTAAATGACGTCATTTCCGCAATTATTTAATAGGAATTGATTTGACTTACTTCCGTTTGCCGAATTGAGCCCTCCCTAAAGCATTGAGCTTAGCTCTAGACAAGGGAGACGTCACATAATATTAATATAAGTGATTTGTTTGAGTTTAGTTAGATATGTAGTTGTTATTCTTTATTTTGTTGAATGTTGACATGTTTTTGTTAATTGTGGTAGGAGGGCAAAACATGCGCTGAAGACCCGGCTTTAGACATACTCTTTAATCCGTCTGTGTTCAAGCCTCTAAGGCTACACGGCTTGGCCATGGCCATTAGACAGAATGCCAAATGTTGCGACAGTTTTTCACAGTCGAAAAGCCTTTTTTTGTAAAGAGTTTGAACGGATTCGATTTTCGATTCGATCAAAAAGTGCCACTTGTCTACTAGACTCACTGGTGGCCAAAAGCCTATGTCCATTGCCTACGTTAAATGTAAAAAAGAAAAATAATTTTGACATTGACACTGACGACAGCTTTAAGTTTTTCTTTTTTATTGGGATCGTGACTGTCTATCGGTTAGTGTTAATAATAAATCGACAAAAATCTTGTGTAAAACAAGTGTAAAATAAATTGCAAATCATGTTTTGAATAAAATATTTAGTACCCTAATAGTCCACATCATTATTTTGTGTTTTTATTTTGTTTTTAGGGAAGTTGTGTATCTCTAACCAAACATGGGGAAGGGTAATAATATGATCCCTACTGGTCATTTTCACAAAGACTGGCAACGATTTGTGAAAACTTGGTTTAACCAGCCTGCTAGAAGACACCGCAGGAAGCAGAATCGCATCAAGAAAGCTAAGGCTGTTGCACCTCGTCCTGCTGCAGGACCTCTGCGACCGGTTGTGCGGTGCCCGACCGTTCGTTATCACACGAAGGTCCGCGCTGGCCGTGGATTTACTCTTCGTGAAATCAGAGTAAGCACTTAAATTTTATTGCAAGTAGGTAAAAGCATTGTTGTTTTATTGGATGAGCTCGTCTGGTTCAGACGATTTATTTTCTATTTGGATTAATTAATCGACCGATCGATGAATTTCCGTAACACTAAGGAAGTATATCTCGACTAGCACAAATGTATGATTGCACACAGAGTTAATTAAACATCAGCATAAATAAGTTTTACCAATTTTATTGACTATACAAGAGTAATAATCTAATGAACCTGAACAATTATATATCCCAGTTTAATTTTGACCTTACAACAGCTATGGGACAATAGGTGGCCTAGTGCTGAAAAGTATTCATCATCATCTCAGCCATGGGACATCCACTGAAGAACATAGGCCTCCACAAATGCTTCCCATGTTTAAAGTATTATAGTTAGTATTTATATTGATGTAAGGCAGTAAAGACAAAGTAAACTGTAATGTTGAGTCTAATGTTGTCTCGGTAATTACATTAACTATTGCAATCAATAGCATTATGTTTTACAGTTAAGACTTACTTATGATGAAGGGGNACCCTAGGTCAAACCAATTTCTGTGGTAACCATATTAACAATTTAATTTTTTTCAGGCTGCTGGATTAAACCCTGCATTTGCTAGAACTATTGGCATTGCAGTGGACCCACGAAGACGCAACAAGTCGGTTGAGTCCCTGCAGACAAATGTCCAAAGATTGAAGGAGTACAGAGCACGACTTATCCTCTTCCCTAAGGGCAAAAAGGTAATTAATTATACATTATTTAAATAATATTTACATATTTGTATAATAGAAATAAATGGCTATAAAAGTAGTAATTCAATAACCAATTGATAATTTTATGTAAAAAGCTTATGAATTAAAGTCAGACAACTTTCAAATTATATTATTATGTCAGCAATAACAATAACATAGTTATGAGACTTTATTTAATTAATTTGTTTTTCTTAATATTCAAACAAGTAGTAAAATCAATCTCGAGAGACATAACATAATGCTATTGAATTTGTGTTGATTTTAATTTTCTATTATTTGTATTTTCTTAGCATCAGTAACTACTTTTCTTTTGAGGAGTCCTCATGCCCTTGTCATAAAATGAAGAATATGGTTATAAATTAATATTGTTCTCAGGTTCTTAAGGGTGAGGCCACTGAAGAGGAACGCAAGCTGGCTTCTCAGCTCCGTGGTCCTTTGATGCCAGTCCAGCAACCAGCACCGAAGTCCACTGCTCGCGCGATAACTGAAGAAGAAAAGGACTTCAAAGCCTACCAATACCTAAGAGGGGTGAGTAACATAAATTATGAAAAAACTGATGCCAGAACAAAATATCTCATATTTTCATTTTATGGTAATATCAAGGATTTTGATAAATTACTTCCAATTCGTTGATGATTATGTATGCCATGTAATTATGGGGCTCATTCATCCTATGAATTTAGTAATCTTGTGAAAAACATTCTAGGCCATTGTCTTTTCTTAGATAAAACATTTGTTTATGAAGAAGAAAATAATTAATTTCTGTTTTCATTTAATTTATCTGTGTTCCAGGCCCGATCAATCGCCAAACTCGTTGGTATCCGCGCCAAGAGGCTGAAGGATGCTGCTGAAAATCCAGATGATGTTACTAAAGCCCCAACATCAGTGAAGGAACCTAAGGCTAAGAAGTGATCTAAATAAAATTAACATCCAGTTAACATTAAAGTGGTTTCATTTTAGACTAAGAACTTAATTGATTTAAGAATAGACTCTGACCAATTATGAAAAGCCATAAAAAAAGCGGACGTAACGTACATTCACCTTACCTTCCTATTTCGTATCCTAGCTTTTTCTTTTATTTTTACAGTAGTACATACATAAAAGTCAGTTTCAGTTAAATTATAATTTAATTAAGGTGTAATTNCTTTTGTTTCACTTATCAGTTACATTTGTCAATGTGTGCAATTTGGAATAGCTCGGCACGGATTAAAATCGTAATTTCTATGAACGTAACATATCTATAGTTCTGTAATATCATTGATTGGTGGAAAAACATTTTTTTTTTATAAACAATTAACAGGTACCAAAAAATGTGACTTGAAAAAAGGGCTCACCTCTGGGATAAATTAGACCAATTTTGGTGGTTATAAAACCAAATAATGATCTTACGTATCCTTTTTAACAGATGGATAGCGATAAATCCCAAATTTAACAGTTATGTAGCCATAAAAGTTGGCTCAAGCGTAACTACCTATTTTTTGAAGAAGTAACTCTGGATCTTTCTAAGAACACATTTTTGGCGTAAAAACCTTTCCTTTAATGAAATGAAGTTAAGAACTAGGCTTTCAAATGGAACCAATGTTGGTGGGAAGTGGGGATGCATACGTTAGAGAAGTGCTTATTGCGGGAGGTGCGATTTATTTGATGCCGAGTGTATTATTACTGCTGCGGCTATAGAAACTGAAAGCACTACTCGTAATACATGCATGGTGCTATTTGCCAAAATACGATATAGGTAATTGATACTTCAAGTGTGCGTACTAACAGCCGACTCAACTCGGCCAGCCAGTGCCTGAGGCATTAGAGCGGCACGAGAGAAGTGCGGAGCTTATAAATCTGAAGTCTGAAGTCTCGTCGTTGACGGTTGACGTTACAAAAACGCCTTCTCGTGCCGCTCTCATAACTCGGGCACTGACAGAATACACTAATCTAAAATCTCCTTTTTACCCGACTGCGGCCTCCTATACAATAATAGGTCAGCTTTTTCCATAACGAATATCAAAAAATATATGTCCAGCTTGGGTTACAAATGGTATAGATGACCCACGCTGAACTGTCCCGCCAAACTCAATGACAGGGGGGCGCTACTAACGTTCAACTATATGGTTTCCAACATGGCAAAAATCGGAACTACCGATCCGGTATTGACGGTGGCGCCCCACTGTCAATGTCATGCATAGGACAGTTCAGTATTTTGGAACTATATAAGTTTATGGTTTATGTAACGTTTTTATTTTACGTAGATGTACAGACAACGGTACGTCAGGGTAAACACTGTGGGGTCTTATGTAGTCGTAATAGATGCGAATTTGCAAAAAAAATGGGTAGTCTGATGTGCTGTCGTCTGTACATTTTATGGTAAATAAATTAAAAACGTAATATTCTTAAGTATACTTTATTAATTAATCTATATTACATACACATACATTGATAAAATAATGAAAATACATCCAATACCACAACGGATGCTAAACGAAAACCATAAGCATTTACACCTACAAGAAACCTAGGAATTCATTAAAGAATTGATTTACACTCCTACGCCGATGATTTAACTTCAATGTCGTTTTTTTCGTTAACGTTTTCAGTTACGTTGGTATCATTTTCTTCTAACCCATCAATTTTAAGTTTCTTATCGCTCTTGCGGAATTTGTCATACCTGAAAAAATAAGGAATCTATATAAATAAAAATTAATTGATGATTCGTTAGTCTGATTAAAACTCGAGAACGGCTGGGCCGATTGAGCTGATTTTGGTTTTAAAATGTTTGTCGTAGTCCAGGGTAGGTCTAAACGGTGAGCAAATACGCGCGCGATATTGTTTTTCTGTGACAGACAAAATTCCACGCGGGCGAAGCCGCGGGCGGGAAGCAAGTATTAAATAAAAATGTTAATGCACATATCATACACGCAGACCATCCATCAATATGGTACAAATAACGAATTTCCACTTATACCATACTAGGTTTTGCCGGCTTATTCCACTATTCCCCGTTAACGCCAATTGGAGCTTATAATGTTAAAAATAAAATCCTATAATAACGGGGAATAGTGAACAAAAAGTTCACTACATATAGTGGAACACACACAAATCACAAATAGTGGAATAAGCCGTTTTGCCCGCGGCATTGAATTTTTTTTTTAAATGCCTATTATTTTGACAAAATGCCACATAGATTTTTTTATATTTTTTTGATAACCAGCATAACTTGCCTCAACACCCAGTTCCGGCTTGAAGTTACATTACGGGACACCCTGTATACACTCAACATCAAATAAATCGCACCTCCCGCAACAAGCACTTTCAAACGTATGCATCCCCACTTCCCACCAATATTGGCACCATTTAAAAGCCTCTAGTTCTAAGCTTCATTTCACTAAAGGAAAGGTTTTTACCCCAAAAATGTGTCTTTAGAAGAATCCAGAGTCACTTCTTAAAAAAATAGGCTATTATGCTTGAGCCAACTTTTATGGCTATAAATCTGTTAAGATGGGATTAATCGGTATCCATCTGTTAAAGAGGACACGTGTGATCATTATTTGGTTTTATATCCATAAAATTTGGTCTAATTGATCCCAGAGGTGAGCCCAAAGTGAGGTCTNGGAGATTTAAATAAGAAGATAGCAATACTACAGTTCACACTAAAAAGAGAGGTAGGGCCACAGAGAGCGAGATAGATATAAGTAGGTATTTGACTCAAGTTTTTGTTCCAACTTTGCCCTCCATTTTTTTCTTTAGCTTCATGCTAATGACATAAGATTTTTGCCCAGTGTTGCCAGAAGGATACTTTTGTAACCTTTTAGGTTACTTTTGAACTGCAGTGGTTACTTTTAGGTTACACTAATGAAAAGGTTACTTTTAGGTGATTTTTCAGAAATTGTAGAATTAACTTTTACAGGTTATTCAGTAAAAAATATTAATAGTGACAATGTAAAAATTATGTCATGAAGTGCATTTAAACTTGAATTTGGTTTATTATTTGTTAAAAAAATGAGTTTTAGCAAATGTTTTTCGATAATAAAACTCAAATCCATGAAACGTTTTTATACGACTGGTCACTTTTCGAATTTAGATGATCAATTGTATTCATTTTCCATCCATGAACAACCTTACACAATCATCGCTCCGCACCCCCCAGTATGAAGGTTACTTTTTATTCAAAAAGGTTACTTTTTTATATTTCTGGTAATTTCTGAGTAGACCCGACTGGCAACACTGTTTTTGCCTCACTCTTGACGAAGCGTTTGTATGAAGACTATCCATCTAGGTTTTATTAATCTAAGGGTGTAATTATGTAGATCGTTTACATTTTTGTACTATACTCAACATCAAATAAATCGCACCTTCCGCGACGCGAACTTTAAAGATTTTCTTCTGACACAATCATGGTGCCCTAACAATATTGGTGTTTTTGGTTTATTGGTGGCAATGATATTATATAAAAACAAAAGCAGATATGTTATAAGCGCTCGCGCTGTGAATACTCAAATACGTCCCAATTGGGACGTCTTGTGTTTAGTCTTCGTGTGGCCTGCGTCGTGCGCAATCGCGTGCGTACCACACCGTAAGTTCCTGTGTTCTTACCAAAATAAATAAAAAATGCCATCGTGTGTGTTTCGAAAGTGTACCAATTATGACTCTAAAGTAAACAAAATACAAGGGATCTCTTACCACATGTGATTATGCAAAATTATTTAGTATTTATATTTTCAATTATTTATGCAAACAATCAAGACGCCATGCGCCATGTTCAAGTTAAGAAAGAGAAAGCGATCTTGTTTTGACGTTAGAGCGATAAGGATGCGTGCTATGTTTGTTACGCGATAACTCCGCCAATTATGAACCGATTTGAACAAATCTTTTTTTGGCGTATAGGTAATACCTCAAGGGTGGTCCCATTTGAATTTAATAACAGAAAAAACAACCCCCAAGGGTGGAAAATTGGGGATGAACTTTTTTATACGCAATATCTCCGCCGATTATAAATCAATTTGAACGATTATTTTTTGGTTGAATAGATATTATCAAAAGGGTGGTTTCATGCGAATTTGAAGAAAATATTTCACCCCCAAGGGTGGAAAATTGGGGATGAAATTTTTTATACGCAATATTTTTAATTTTTAGTTTTTTTTTGTGTTCACTCATTTGAAGTCGGTTTTATTTTTTTAAAAAGTTAATTATTTTCATCCAAGCTGGAGCAGCTGGTTTTGTAATTTTGATAACAATTTAGAGAAGCATTATTCAGGGTTACATAACAAAAAAAAAATTTGGAAAAAGTGAAGATTTGTGGCAACACGAGTAAAAAGACCGTCACCGGGAGTAGAATTTTTTGTTTTTTTTTTAAATGCCTATTATTTTGACAAAATGCCACATAGATTTTTTTTATATTTTTTTGATAACCAGCATAACTTTCCTCAACACCCAGTTCCGGCTTGACGTTACATTACGGGACACCCTGTATACACTCAACATCAAATAAATCGCACCTCCCGCAACAAGCACTTTCAATCGTATGCATCCCCACTTCCCACCAACATTGGCACCATTTAAAAGCCTCTAGTTCTAAGCTTCATTTCACTAAAGGAAAGGTTTTTACCCCAAAAATGTGTCTTTAGAAGAATCCAGAGTCACTTCTTAAAAAAATAGGCTATTATGCTTGAGCCAACTTTTATGGCTATAAATCTGTTAAGATGGGATTAATCGGTATCCATCTGTTAAAGAGGACACGTGTGATCATTATTTGGTTTTATATCCATAAAATTTGGTCTAATTGATCCCAGAGGTGAGCCCAAAGTGAGGTCTCTTTTCAAGTCACATTTATGGTATATGATAATCATTTATTTAGAAATTAAATGTGTTTTTCTTTAAGGATATTTATTGGGCTTTCAAATAACACCAATATTGTTGGGGCACCATGATTGTGTCAGAAGAAAATCTAAATTTCGCGTCGTGGAAGGTGCGGTTTATTTGATGTTGAGTGTATTTAGTTTATAGTATTAGCATGTACTATCATGTAAAAGTAGGTATTAAAGTGCTACAGTTCTGGGGACAAAGCGAACGTTTCACAAATTTGCGATCGTAAGATTCTAAGCGGTTCTACCAATTACAGAAGGTGACAGATACATCATACACAAACCCGGTCCAAGAAACTTCGTGAATGTTAAAACTAAAATGTTTTAATGTTCACGAAGTTTCTTGGACCGGGTTAGTGTATGATTCTGTAAATGACTGTATTCTGAAATTCGGAAGAAAGATATTTTATGAATGACGAATATTCAGGTTGGATAGATGGACACGCGTTTTCGAGTATCCACCTGGGTGGCTGTTTTAGGCTTGATTTCCTCCTACGCTGACGTCGGTCGCGTACATCGGTCGAGCGTACGAATAAACACAATGTTCTATGAAGCACCGCAATGCAACGCCGTCGTCAGCGGCAGATGATTACATAGAACTAGTGTGTAATCGTGCGCGCCGCTGACGTCGGTCACCGATGTCAGCCTAAAAGGAAATCAACCCTTAGGGGAATTTCGCGTATACATTCGGCGACCATTTATTATTAGACCGTTATTAAAAAAAAATACCTGTCAAGGTCATCGTCATCGTCACTGCCTTCATTGCCTTGCGGGTCGACCTCTCGTAACAACTCTCCAATATCTTTGTCAACATCAGCCCATAACTTGTCTTCATTGCCTGGCAATAAATTTATAGTTGAAAATCCGTTGGCAATACCAGACTACAGAGAAGTAGATATCAGAATTATTATTAAGATCTAACACAAACTAGTTTTATCTGTTTGATCACAAAAAAGGTGCAAAACAGAAAGAGCAAAATGAGAATGGTCAAATATTACACTGAACCTTTACTTTAGCAAACATTAAATAAAGAAGTTGAGCAATATTATTTTAACACTCACCTGATGTGTTAGCAGTTTCTCCATTTTCAACTTTCTTTGACTCTTCTGCAGGTTCCGTTTTTTCAATTTTGACTTCGCTATCTTCTGTGACTGCTGCATCCTTCTCTTCATCTTCTGTTGGTTCAAATAATAAAAAAGTAATGAGCAATTTTTACGTTTGACAGACCACAATGACGTAATTATTATTACCTATCTAAATTAGGGTCACTCAATTAGACAGGGTGCATTTGTGCTGCCAGCTGCATTCCTGCATGCATTTTAATCGGATAGTGAGACAGTCGTCCTGAGCGCATTCGTCACAGTTCGATCAGTTCGTCGGTGAATCAAATTATTATCGAGTGTTGTGTAGAATATACAGGGTGTTAGGTAAATGGGTATATGAGCCGACACTAGCCCATGTTAACATGGTCATATAAATGGTATGGTGAAGTCAGAAAATTGATATCTTCATTTTAATTTTCATACAAACCGATTTTATAAAAACATTTTTGTATGAAAATTAAAAAAATGAAAATGATGATATCAAATTTCTGACTTCACCATACCATTTATATGCTCATGTTAACACGGGCTAGTGCCGGCTCATATACCCATTTACCTAACAGCCTGTAGAAACAAAATAGTAGGATACCTTTCTGCTGGTGCAGCTGACGGTGAATTCGCTCGGCGTGCTTGCGCAGCGTGCGCGTGTCGCGGTGCTGCACGTAGCGGCCCAGGTGGATGCGCAGGCGGCAGTGCTTGCGCAGCGCCTCCGCCTCGTCCGCGCCGCCCGCCTCGGCGCGCGGCAGGTACACGCGGCACAACTCACACCACCATACCTGAACGACACCGTTACGAATTAATACGACTCAACCAGGGTTCGAAAGGATAATTATCTTGATAATGACAGATGGATAATAATTATCAGTTGATAATAACAAAAAAATGCGCTCGTAAAAGTGAACTGTATTCGAAGTTTTCAAACTCGTGCGACTGTGGTGAACGTTATTTAACATTGATAGTTTTAAAACCTATCTATTTAGCTCCATAACGATCTTTGTTAACTAGCGTTAAAATATTTATCTATTTTCCACAACGCTTTATGCGACTAGCGACTACTTGACAACAATCAGTAACCAAAAACATAAAGCAACAATCTCAATGTAACATCAGATTTCTTATGAAACAATATGACAAATGTATATTACACTGTTGATAATTATCACGAAGCGTAATTATCTTGATAATTTCGAACCCTGGACTCAACCATCATTTTTAGCCCATGATTAATATGTCTATGCACTTTTATTACCGAGCTTAAAACTGTAATCTCCTTCCTCTTACCTCCATTTTCTTGATGTGTTCGCTGCCAATGTTTATTTCAACCTTAGGTTTCTTGGGCGACGTTTCCTCCTTTTTCTCACCACCAGAATCTTCATCTTCGACTTCTGAAAATATATCAATAACAAAACCAATTTGTCTCACGCATGTTTTGGATTAGTTAGATTATGCAAATGTTAAATACATAATATTCACCATCTACGTCGCCGACAGAGTCCAGAGTCATAAAGTTGTCCAAGTCGACGTCCATGCCTTCATCGCCGCTGGCCTCGGCTTTAGGGCTAGCCCGCCGGGCCGATTGATTGGCTTTTCTCTAACATAAAAATTATAATCAGTCATAAGGTGGAGAGCGACACTAAATAAAATAACAGGTTCGAACTCGGGACCCATCACGACGATGAGAGTTTTTTAGCGAAAGTCACCTTAATAATAATAATAAATAACTTTATTTATTAACACACATTACAAAAAACAATACAACAGATTTTAAAAAGAAAGAGACGAATGCATGTTAATAGGGCGCCCGCTCAGTTTTAGTTGGGACACCTTATAGGATGTCCCGACACTGATTTTCAGCGGGAAGCCCTATTAGCTACTGCGCATCCCTACCGGCGAGCCTGGTGTAAAAGGAAAATAATGTTAATATAAATTTAAAGGATAGTGCCAGGGTCTGGACCAAGTGCTGCCCAGAATCAACCCATAGTGCATTTTGTTCCTTAGGCCAATACTAATGTGTAAACCGAAGCGCACTGAAATCTATCCCTGGAGTTAAGAGAAAAAAAGAGTTTTGTTTTGAATTATTTACATACAAAATATCATCGATATATACGTACTACGCATAATATTTCGTGATTTTGGCATTAAATAACACTCGCTATGTTAAACTTAACCATACTGCATCCGTACACCTTACTTTAGTGCGACTTAGACATTCTTTATAAGCGATCTAACGCTGTTGCAATAATTTGGTTAGTTGACAGAAATCATTATTTCCAAAATGAAGCAAGAAGTTTTAGTTCTCTATCATCTGAAAAATCAATTTATTGGTGTATTACAATCGATTATTGAAGTTATTGTAAGTTAAAACTTCTTGCTCCATTTAGGAAATAATTAATTTCGGTCAACTAACTAAACTACTGAAACAGCGCTTGATCGCTTATAAATAATGTCGAAGTCGTACTAAAGTAAGGTGTACGGATGCAGTATGGTTAAGTTCAACATAGCGATTGTTATTTAATGCCAAAATCGCCAAATCTTATGCGTAGTAGGTATACATCGATGATATTTTGTATGTAAATAATTCAAAACAAAACTCTTTTTTTCTCTTAACTCCAGGGATAGATTTCAGTGCGCTCCGGTTTACAAATTAGTATTGGCCTGAGGAACAAAATGCACTATAGTTTCATTCTGGGCAGCACTTGGTCCAACTTCCATACATGGATTGGCACTGTCCTTTAAAACTAAAACAGCACAGAAGGGATACGCAGCAACTATTAGTCGCGGGGTACGTGGACACGAACATAAGCCAATACTAATAATAATATAACACAGACACAATTCGATAATTATCAGGAATTACCTTCAAGTGCTCCAGCGAGCAGATGTGGTGCTCGTAGATCATCGGCGAGCGGAAGGTGACGCGGCAGATGCGGCAGAAGGGCATGAGGAAGCGCTTCATGGCGCGGTGCGTGTCGGTGAGGTTGTGCGCGTGGCGCGTGGTGCGGTGGTTGAGGCGGCACACGAGGCAGAACGTGGTGCGCGGCGCCAGCTCGGCGCCCGCCGCCGCCTCCAGCTCCCGCTGCGCGCCGCGCTGCGCCACGCGCATGCGCAGCAGCTGCGCCTTGTGCCGCCGCGCCACCGCGCTCATGGCCGCGCGGTGCTTGCTCGACACCAGGTGCTTCGCGTAGCCCTGCGACACCGACCCGGTTAGGTGCTTATGCAGAAATTTGTTTGTGAAGGAGCATGTAGGTATATCGAAAATATTGCACGGTAATACATGTATTCCTAATTGTGAACGCAGTGATTAGGTATGACCTTACATACTTACATTAGCCTACAGATTTGATTTGACTACATAACTCTTGCACTTTACATAATTTATTCTGCTAGTACTACCTGATTAGAAAGGCTTAACTGTCTTATAGTAGGCGCACACCGTTGATTTTTAGTTGGCCGATAGTTGTGTCCGATTTTAATTTGTATGAAGAATCGGCCAAATCGAATCGGCGTAGTGTGCGCACTTCCATAAATGCCCATACTGATCAACTGCCCGACTAAACTATCGGCCGACGAAAAATCAACGGTGTGCCTTACTCTTAAGGGTGCCTTACTCTTAAGGGTGCCTCTACCTTATTATGGCATGTAATTTGCATTATTATCAATTAACTGATATTTCGATGTATATTGAGATAGTATTATTAAAACATAGGTAAGTAAACAAGAAATATACTGACTGCGAAAGTAGCACACTTATCCTTGCAATGGACGCAAGACAAATGCACGTATGGGCGGGCGCGCGGCGGCGCGGCGTCGGACGCGGTGTCCGGCTCCTTGTCCGTGTCCTCGCCGCCGTCCGCTGGCTCGCCGTCGGACGCCTCCGCTTCGGGCTACACAAAGAACAAGATTATTATTATTTTGTATCTAAACAATGAATAATTTAAGTCACAATTTCAGTTCAACACACATTTTTGCTTGATTAGGCGATTATATTGAACTCCTTCCATTACACCCACCTTAGGTGACTTGATCTTGGTTTCCTTCTTCTCTTCGGTGGTTTCTTCTTCTTCCTCTTCTTTCTCATCAGCATCCCAATCTTCTTCAGTTGATGAGGCATCTTCTTTAGATTTGATAGAGCTGTTTACAATAGATTTCATTTAACACAAATTCCCATTATTCATAAGAAAACAAGAAGTATCTAAAAATATTTTTCTAAAGTATTTAAAGAGTAGCAGTTCTTCATTTGTGTAGTAACAAAGTAGAAAAACATTTGGCCTAATATCATTTTACTTAAGAACTGTTTTATCTCCTTTTAACTTCAATCATCTTTTACATATCTCAAAATAATCATAGTTATAGGTTGATCATTCCCATGACCATGCAGTTTTATTTGGGCTTACATAATTTTATCAAATTTTTATACAGACTACAGGCATAGTTACTTTTTCAATTTCTATATACCTTTTTTTTTCAATTAAGGCCATTATTTGTCTCTGCTATATGAATATTAGAACTAGAATTAAGAGCGTTGTCACATTTTTCATGCAGAAATCGAGAATTTGGCAGATTTCGAAATGATTTTAGTCATATAATTTATTGTTATAGCTTCTTTTGACTTATATCATCGTAATTATCATACGTTTTTACGGAATGTCTATTGACAAAATCTCGTTCAAATTGGATTTTTGCCTACGAAAACAGCGAATTTCGAAAGCCCGTTTTCCAGGTAACTCGCGAAGGCACAACTTTGAACTAATATTACAACAAATTTATATCTAAGTAAGAAGATNAATTAATATGTTGATAGTCAAAGTGAAATTAGACCAAACATAATTCAATCATATAACAGGATACAATTATTGCAAGTAATTTAATCCATCATAAAATACAAAGAGTATCTTCATCTGGCATTGCATACAAACCTCACACACTTTCAGTGTTACCTCTTTGTGCTAGTAATCATCAGTTACTCATCGGTAAAAGATCTGTTCTTTCTCTGTTGCTCAATGCAATAGAATACCAGTCATTTCACATTCAGTGACAGACGCTGGAACCTATCAATCTCTCACTTAGGTTTCGAACGCATCTCAACGGCGCAACTGCAATCATCAAAACAAACTAAAGTATTATTTTCGTTATTCAATTACCTTCTTCCTTTGATAGATCTGAACGCGCGGGTATACCCGAGGGTCCGGTCATTGAACCGCCTAGAGGTAAACGTGCCTCGCGAGCGCGGCGCGCCGCGGAAGGAGGCGCGCGAGCGGATCGTGCGGCCGCGGAAGGAGCGGCGCGAGGCGCGCGGCCGCAGCGCCGAGCGCGCCGGCTCTCGCGGCGGGCCCATGCCACTTGGCTTGCGGTACGCTTCGCGGTTGGGCGAGCGCCTTCTCTCCTCGCCGCCGTACGACCTCCTGTCACCGCTGTAACTCTCTTGTCTACCGCTGTACGATCCGCCGTAATGTCCGCCGCCATCATGGCTACGTCTATCGCTCGATGATCCCTGTACAAATTCTCTATGTTTCTTCCGACTGGTATGGTAAATCGATTAGCAATACAATTAATACAACATTACATCTCTCTCAGTTCCACCACATAATCAATTAACCAAAATTCTTGTGGTCTATTGATTGTAAAATACCAATTAAACCTTGTTAAAGTATACTAATCAGCGACTTCGTTACTAAAACCTTTGTGTAGGAAAATACATGTGATAAGATAATAAAATCTCATATGGGCCTCAATTTTGTCTAACTGATATCACTTTTTAATCTGTTACGATTCTACTACATGTTTCAGTGTCCATAACATTCAACAAATAATATGTCACATGAATATCTCTGAAGTTATAACCTCTTTCCTCTAGATTTGCGGGTTATTGAGAATGACTGGCAATGAAACTTCAATCACAATCCTGTTAACATTTTCAATAATCATTAGCACAGAATAATTAACATTTTAGCTCTTTTGGATAGCTTGTAACATGTCACATTAATCTTATCATCATAGATCCTAAGGCCATGGCATCTTTATAGAAATTCATCAGTTTTCTTCTTTGTACAAATTTGTCTCTGCAGAGGCGGCCTTACATTGCATGACAGTGGTGATTAGGTAGAAGGATTCTCTTTGTGTAATGGCAAAATTGTACAAAAAGAAGCTTTCTCTTTGAACTCATTTTTTTCTCATTCAAGCATTGAAGACCAGAAGTGTCAAGTTTTCAGAGGACTGAAGAGTCGAGGCATGTCAATCATATTTGGATAAGACATTCAGGTGCTCGTCTGATATGCCTAATTAGTCTAAGGCCGCCACTGTTTATACAATATCCTCCCCATTTTTGCTGTTAGCTATATTTATGTAGAAATATATTATTTAAATACTAACCTCCATTCTCATTCTCTTACGCTCAGGAGATCCAGATCTTCCGCCATAGTCTCGGTTTGAATAACTCGCAGAACTTTCCTAAAAAAAGTATTGTTGATATTAAAAACTAGACAGTGATGCATAATTTTAAGGTAAAGGCATAGTATTATTTGGGATGGTGTTGGTTTTGTTCAGACATTAAGTAGAATTAGAGTTTTATCACATTTTTAACTTACCGATCTATAACTTTTTTTGGAATAAGGTTCTTCCATCCTGTCACGGCTGCTGGAGTATCTATGACCACTACTATTGTTGTAGCGGGAATCATTGTTGTATGATGAGTAGCCACCACCACGTCCTCCACGACTCTCGTAGGACCCACGATTGCTGCTCCCTCGGTAAGATCCGCGATAACTACTTCCCCGGTTGAAGCTGCCTCTCCCGCTGTATCCTCCATAGCCGCGTCCGCGAGATGACATCTTCGAATAAAAATTATAATAGATTGATGATAATCTATGATAATGCTTGGCAGTCCAAATGTAATAAACAATAAATAATATCGAGATTTAGTATTGTTCTGAACAATAAATAATGATTCTGTTTTTTAATGACATGGAAAATTAATGCCGGTGCGACACACGAAATGGCGTCCGGGCGCGCTCCGTCCGCGTCATTAAAAATAGGTTATTTTCTCACCATGATACCGTATAATTACACAGGAAGAAAACATACATAATTATTTTATCGTTCTTACCGCATTAATAGTCCACAAAACTGGAAAGTAGTCAAAATATTCACAAGACACCACACCAAAGCACGTCACTCAATCAAGCAACTTAAACCATAGAGAAACTTAAACCACAGACTAGAGCAAAGACTAAAGAGGGAGGGAGGAGACTACAAAAAAAGTCACAGTTTTTTTTAAATTCTCTATGGAAAGATATCCGGTTTAAGGTCCGGTTCCATGATCATGAATCATGATTCATGCCGGACGCCGGTCACAGACACGTGTCAACATTATGCATAACCGCGTTTTCAGCGCGTGGACGTTTTGTCCATGAAGCTAAACAATCAACAAAAACATGTCATATTCAATATTTTAGGCAATTCCACTATAAATTTTTGATTGCATCAACAATGTTTTTGAAAATACTTAGGTAGTGCCCACCTTGAAAGTTGACAACATTTTACCAAAGTTAACCAATAGACCTCAACACAACACAGATAACCTTGGCACAGAACCTTGGCTAAATGTTATTTTCTCAAGTCGACGTTCAAAATGTTTGTAAATTTTGTAAAAACGAAACAAAAAGTCAAATGAGGAAACGGACGAGTTGATTGTTGAATTGAATGTTGAAAGAAAAACTGAATTTATTTGTACATACGTACTCATTTTTAAATATTTCTGGATAATGTGAGCAGTTGGCTATAAGGATAAAAGTATGTAGCCGCTAGAACGCAACTTTGATTACAGGTAGGTTACTGCTTATTTCAACAATCATCATTTTAGAATTTGTTATTAGTAATTAAACTATTTTATCAAATATTTAAATGGCAGAGAAAGTATTGTTTTTTACATTATTTATGGAATGTAAGAATGCTATTCTGAAATTATTCAATTTCTTGCTTGACCTGTGGTTGACTGGTAGAGATTGTCATCCAGTATTAAGTCTGCCACTTGCACACACTAGCTTACGTGCAAAAAAGTTTAAATTAATAAATATATTAGGGATTTTAATGAAGTAATTTCTAACAAAACATTCAAATATGTACCATCAACTTATATCTATGAAAAATTAATAGTAGGTAAGTGCCTGAGAACTATTTTTAATTAATCAATTTAATTATTTTTTCCTTATAATACTTAGCATTTTCTCCTACTTCTTCTTAGCTCAAAAGTTGACTGGGAGTGAATTCTCTACTTAATAAAACAGTTAATATGTGTAGAATCAGTTTCTAGTGTGCTCTGAATAGATAAAAATTACTAAACAGTAACTGTAGGTAGGGTCATGTGAGAGACAGTGTAACGTGATTATCTCAGTTCTTTTCTAATTTGGCTATTTTGACTCTTTATGTTTTGCAAATCTCATGCACCACTATGGCAGCTGTATAAAAGCTGCCATTGAACTTCAAATATCCACAGGAAAAAATATGCTTTTTATGTAATGAAATGTGAAAAGTTTGTCATTCTATGATNTCTATGAAATTTTTATACTAATCATTTCAAACTGATTTTTATTCAAATTTAAATTAAAATAGTTTATTCAGTACATTGGCCCATTCCAGGGCACTTATACACGGCCCAATATAGCTTGCCCTACCACCACTTCGGGACAACATATGGGCTGGTGCTGAGAAGTGGCTGAATAAACTCAGGCACCTTTGTCAGCCTCTTTTTTAATAAAATACAGTAATTTATAGCTTACATGACACGCAATAAGTGCGAGCTAGGCACGTAAAATCTATGCACTCTTGTTATTTAAATAATTATAGTATCCTTTTTTCATAAGGATTTTCTTAACCTGTACTTTGAATTTATGAATAGGTAGTTCTATAAGAGATTGTAGTATTTTATTAAACATTTTAACACTTCCCCAAGAATAAAAACCTACCTTCTTTATGTAGTCAGGGATTTGGAATTATTTTTTTCAAATTCAAATAGTTTATTCAGTTCATAGGCCCTACTAGGGCACCTATTTGAAATAACAAATCATCCAAAACCAAGCATAATATTGGAAAATTATAATAAATGATTTATTAGTAGGTAACTAATACCACAGAATTAGTAACTAATTCACAGTATACATTACATATTGGGGTTTCAGTTTCTAATTTGTTTTGTTATCCTCAGATTCCATCGGATAGCACTAAACCAGTTGATATCAGCTTGGTACTCAAAATGCAAGCAAAGAAACGCTATATTCTCCTATTTGTTAGCTTTGCCATTTTAGCATATGGTTATTATGGTGGATATAGCTTCAAATCTGAACTGGTCCAAAGTAGCAGACGCGACCTACTACCAACTTATGCATCCATGGAAGATTTGTTTGAAGCGCCATCTCCTTTACAAAGACAGCCTCGTTCAACATCAAAGCCTTGTCGAATGGAAACGTGTTTTGATTTTTCAAAGTGTAGTGATGATCCCAAAATCTACATATATCCAACAGAAGGCCCCGTAAGTGCATCTTACCGCAAAGTTTTATCAGTTATTAGGGAATCACGCTACGCAACGCGAGATCCGAATGAGGCTTGTTTATTCCTGCCAGCAGTGGATACTCTAGATGCAGATCCTTTGTCCCCGGAACATGTTCCCGATGTTCAAGCTAGGTTAAGTCGATTACCATATTGGAAAAAAGGTCGCAATCACCTAATATTCAACTTATATGCTGGCACTTGGCCTGATTATGCTGAAGGAGCGTTAGGGTTTGATCCGGGCGACGCGATATTGGCTCGAGCTAGTGCCTCGGAAACGGTGTTTCGTGACGGCTTCGACGTGTCCCTGCCGTTGTTTCATAAAGAGCACCCAGAACGCGGTGGAGTGCCGCCTGCGGCCACAGCTAACCCTTTTCCTGCACCACGACGACACTTACTCGCATTTAAAGGAAAACGCTATGTTCATGGGATTGGCAGTGAGACCAGGAATTCACTTTGGCATTTACACGATGGCAATAATCTAATCTTGGTTACGACGTGTCGTCATGGAAAGTCATGGAAAGATCTAAGAGATGAGAGGTGTGATGAAGATAACCGAGAATACGACAAGTAAGAATAATGACTATTTTTTAGCTATTCACAGTTTAGATATCAAATATAATGATGCGCTTACACGGGCAATAAAATTGTTCAGTTCAGTATTTTTACTGCATTTTTAGATTTGATTACGAGCAACTATTGGCGAACTCCACGTTTTGTCTGGTGGCGCGCGGGCGCCGCTTGGGGTCGTACCGTTTCCTCGAGGCATTGGCAGCAGGGTGCGTTCCAGTTCTTCTCAGCAATGGCTGGCGGTTACCATTCGATGAACGCATTGATTGGCGCCGTGCTGTGATCTGGGCAGATGAGAGACTGTTATTGCAGGTAAAGCAGATTTAGTGCCATTAAGTACACAGGTATCTCGATTTGGACATTCAAATACTTTTCTGTAATCGGTATAGGTGCCGGAGCTCGTGCGCTCAGTTCCTCCTGAGCGTGTACTCGCTTTACGGCAGCAGACGCAACTGCTATGGGAGCAATATTTTTCATCCATTGAGAAGATCGTCTTTACCACAATAGAGGTATGATGACCAATTATAACTTCAAGCTCCAATCCCACTATATCGGACCGGCTGTTTTTCCATGATCTAGTGGCTGAACATAAAAATATGAAGCACATTTGGAACACTGCCGGTCTGGCACAGTGGGATCGTTTGTCTCGATTAATTAATTAATTAAACTTACTCATAATTTTTGCGATTCAATGTCATCGTTAATCGTATCGAAGATAATACTGGAGAGGATATCAGCACACAAGACTTCGCGTGAGCGCGAAGCGTTGATATGGAACACGTCCCCGGGGGCGCTGGGCACGCTGGCCTCGTACGGGGACTCGCGGGCGCAGCTGCCGTCGGGGGCGGAGGCGCCGCGCGCGCCGCCCGCGCCCGCCGCGCCGCCCGCGCCGCCCGCGCCGCTGCCCGCGCCCGCCGTGCCGCCGGCCGCGCCGCCGCCCACCGCCGGCCGCGCCTACACCGCGCTGCTGTACGTGCAGGCCACGTCGCCGGCGCTGCACAAGCTGCTCGCCAATATAGCGTCCAGCGAGTTCTGCGAAAAGGTCATTTTCAGCGTAGTAGCTTTGCGCTTTTGCGGACCTGTAGCTTGAAAGTTATTTACTGTGAGCAGTTTGCGTTCAAGCAAGGGTTTTCTGTATTGCTATGGGGTAAAAATATTAATTACTAGCTTTCCGCCCGCGGCTTCGTCCGCGTGGAAATTTGTCTGTCACAGAAAAACTTTATCGCGCGCGTCCCTGTTTCAAAAACCGGGATAAAAACTATCCTATGTCCTTTCCCAGGACTCAAACTATCTCTATGCCAAATTTCATCAAAATCGGTTCAGTGGTTTAGGCGTGAAAGAGAGATCGACAGACAGAGTTACTTTCGCATTCATAAATATTAGTATAGATTTTAAATTGCTCTCGGCATTAAAAAGAGAATGTTTTATTTTGTCTGCTTACACCATAGTCGCATAAACGCACACGGTCCGGTTAGTCCGGAGTCACATCATATTTTGATGACTTCCAATGTTATCTTCATTAGCAAATGTGTAAATGCCGTTCCGGCAGGTGGTGCTGGTGTGGGACAGCGAGCGCGCGGCGCCGTCGCTGAAGTCGCTGGCGCGCGTGGCGGGAGACGCGCGCGACCCGCTGCCCGTGCTCGTCATAGACGCCACCACGCACTACCCTGGGTCAGTACCATCATCATCATCTCATTTCAGCTATAGGACGTCCACTGCTGAACATAGGCCCCCCTTAATGACGCGATTGGTAGGGGTCTGAACCAGCGCCTTCCAGATGTGGCCAGCGGCCAGATGAAAACCTTTATGAGGTCGTCGGTCCACCCTGTGGGCGGACGTCTCACGCTGTGTTTTCCGGTGCGTGGCCTCCACTCCAGAACCTTGCTGCCCCATAAGCCGTCAGTTCTGCATACTATGTGCCCTGCCCGTTGCCTTCGCTCAAAAGTCTGTCAAACTCCATACAAAAAACACCGGTTATAGTTATCGTTAAAGTTAAGGTGGTGAAACTGAAGCTAAGTTTTTTGTTACAGGGAAGGGGTGTCGGCCAGATGGAAACCTTTATGGGCAGTGCCCACAGCTGCCGTCTTTTCATTAGACGGAGACGCGCCACTCCTCGCTGAAGAATTGGATTTCGCGTTCCGCGTATGGCAACATTTTCCCGAAAGAATTGTTGGCTATCCAGCAAGAAGTCACTACTGGGACGAAGCTAAGGTACATGAGCATGTTACTCCGTACAATGCACCGCCCTAAACCTTTACAGTAGACAAAATTATTTCAGAGTCGCTCCCACGTTGGGCGCCAATGAGTATCATTTCGATTTTTAGCTGTGAATGCAGATTTATAGGGCTAAGAAATCCTTAATATACAGTCCAAAAATTTTTGTTCTACGACAAAAATTGACGAAGTTATGGCCAAATTACTAAAAAAGTTCACTGACCGCCCGGCGCGGGAACGATGACGTCACTATATCCGATCCGAACGCTGCCGGCGTACTGCGTGGATAGAAAATATTTTTTTCTAGCCAAACTATCAGTTTTAGAGAAAAACTTGTAATGACATTTATTCATCAGAATAAAGTAAGCTATCGATAGGTAATTTTAAAAAATAGAAATTGTGAAAAATATAGCAAAAAATCCATACGCTCATACGATTCAATAGAACGCGGAGACGCGATTGGGGTCTCCGCGGTGGTATATTTGGCGATTTATTCAAATAAAGTGTTCATAAGTATTGTTAGTCATATCTTCTTCCAAGTAAAATATAAAAATGTATAAGTATTAATTGATTTACTTCTAAGAATAAGGCATAGCTGAGGCAGATACACTCTGCCTGGGCTACAAGCAAGACATTGCTATGAAGATCATTTCGATGTACACGCAATACCTACCTGTTATTTAGTTTTTCTGAGTTTAACCTACGTACCTACCTATCTATTCGCCGTTCCCATGGGCTGACTTACCCCCCTGATTCGATCACGCAGGGAACTCCGAGCATGGCACGCTCCATCGCCCATATTGAAGTATCAAATTATCAAAGAAAAATTTAACAAAGTCATGCACGCACTTTATCTCGAAATTTCAATGGGAAGACTGGTCTCCACGACACAGGGAATCCTAGTGTGGAGTCCAGTGATGCTGTATTGCTGTTAGTACAGTAAATTAAATTGTACTCCGTTTTTATCTTGAATGTAACAGTAACCAGATCATGTACTGTAATATTTTTTACTAAATAATATCTTTTTTATTTTCAATTGTTTCCCAGAGCGCATGGGGGTACAGCAGCAAGTGGGGCGGGTCGTACTCCATGGTGCTGCCGGGCGCGGCGCTGGTGCACCGCGCCACGCTCGCGCTGTACGCGGCCGGCGCGCCCGCGTTACGTCACGCCGTGCGCCGCGCGCGCAACTGCGAGGACATCCTGCTCAACTGCCTCGTGGCGCACCTCACGCGCCGCCCGCCGCTCAAGCTCGCGCAGCGCCGCCGCTACAAGGCCGCGCACCACCGCTACAAGTGAGTACAAACGGAGGTCGGGTGGCACCAGCAGCCCGATTACGGTAATTTTTAACGTCTCCAATCCAGACGCGCTTCTTCGATTCTGCGATGCGATTGGTCGAAACAGCTGACGTTGACTGAAAGCTGACTGTTTTGACCTCAGATCATAGAAAGAGAATAGATATGAAGTCGCGCGTAACTACAACGAGAACCAGTGTCCCCACATTTCCCCCACCACAGCTCCCACACACACATTCAACTGTGTAAAAACAAAGCGACTGAGAGTCTACGCCAACATGTGCAACCGGCTTAAAAGTGCTGTGATTGGCCAGAAGGCATGCCTTATGGCCAATCAATGGCCGCGTGACGTGACGCACACTTTGAAAACGCTAGTGAGAGAACAAAGATAAAATGGAGTCGACAAGATATCGATACTTTAAATCGCTAGGGGAAAGGCTCGAAACTGATTTCACAAAATGCTTATGTATGAAACCTTTTTATTATTATACGTTATTATTAACTACTATCACGCATTTACTTTTTAATTATGGCGATCTGCGTACCGCATATGTTTATCAAAAATAATGCATATATTAGGCTTTCAACTAGCTCTTATAATAATTACATAGTTGACAGTTACTAATTAGCTACTTCTACTGTTATTATTTTTTTTGTAAAATCTTATAATCGAAAGTAACACATCATTTTTTTATTTAAAATTACAAAATAGAAAATTATAATTTACTTCTATTTATCGATAATAGGAAACCGCATTAGAACACGAGCACGGCACTATGTTACGACCGGCACATGCGGCCGTACTGTGTATTTTCACACGACAGTGGATATCGGAAGAAATTAAATACATTGCGCAGTAGTTGAGCATGACATAAAGTGGTTGCTAACTAAATCGTCAATGTACAAGTGTGTTAGAATTTTTATCACCACTGATTTCGATATCGCAGTAACTGTTACGGCACTGAATTCGTTCGTAAAAATGTTTAGTTTTTTTTATTTATAAGCAAAATACCAATGGATNATTGTTTCCCAGAGCGCATGGGGGTACAGCAGCAAGTGGGGCGGGTCGTACTCCATGGTGCTGCCGGGCGCGGCGCTGGTGCACCGCGCCACGCTCGCGCTGTACGCGGCCGGCGCGCCCGCGTTACGTCACGCCGTGCGCCGCGCGCGCAACTGCGAGGACATCCTGCTCAACTGCCTCGTGGCGCACCTCACGCGCCGCCCGCCGCTCAAGCTCGCGCAGCGCCGCCGCTACAAGGCCGCGCACCACCGCTACAAGTGAGTGCAATAACAAACGGGGGTCGGGTGGCACCAGCAGCCCGATTACGGTAATTTTTAACGTCTCCAATCCAGACGCGCTTCATCGATTCTGCGATACGATTGGTCGAAACAGCTGACGTTGACTGAAAGCTGACTGTTTTGACCTCAGATCATAGAAAGAGAGTAGATATGAAGTCGCGCGTAACTACAACGAGAACCAGTGTCCCCACATTTCCCCCACCACAGCTCCCACACACACATTCAAGATGTTCGTTTCTGGGCATATCGCGGAGACACGCGCCACGCCCCCGTTTCACATCTATTCCCTTCTATGATCTGAGGTTTTGACCAATCGTATCGCAGAATCGAAGAAGCGCGTCTGGATTGTAGACGTTAAAAATTACCGTAATCGGGGCTCTGGCCTGGTCATCTCCGCGAGTTTGCATCGAAAACAAAACACGCGCGACTACCCTTCCTGAGATACCTTATCGACAGGACAATCACGAGCGAGTATTGACGCACGTACGTGTATTCTTCACCCATTTGCATTATAAAGACAATAAACTAATATGTAAAAACGGTGGTGTAATGCAGTATGTTAACTGCCTGAATAATAAATAGAAACACAAAATACAAATCATGCTTATTCATGTATTTCCTCCGCCATTTTCCGCAGTTTGGCACCTCACGTCACACATCATTTTACCGAAGTCAGCCCTATGGCTTCGGCGCAGTACCAATCACTGACGTTTGTCAACAAAATGGTGCTCGACTCAAGAGACAGGCTAAATTACACCATATTGCTAACGACATTAAGCATTCATTTTTTTAAATACCTTCTCGAAGAAAATCTTCTGTACGTAGTACTTGTTAATATTCTGTGGTGGCACGGATCCACCAAGAATGGTCTGTTGCCCCCCAGGATGTTAGGCTACTGATTTGAATATGATAGTTTGATAGTACCTACTTACTCATGAGCTATGATACTAATCGTACGTACCCCCCGTAAGTACGGTCAGGTCCCCCAAAATACGCCAATGATAAATTGACGTGACGGACGGCACCCTGTCGCGTGACGTCACTGCGACAACATACAAGGCTACTCCTGAATCATAGACAAATTTTGGGAGTCCTTCAGAACGCGCCTGCCGCTCCCTACTGAGTCACTGCGACTCGTCGCGCTCTCATGCGCTTTTTTACACACCAATCGATGGTACAAAACTACGACCCTACTCGACATGTAATATTTTTTGCAATATACAATATTGCTTAAAAATACACTTAAGTACGTTTACTTTAACCACAAACATAAAAGAAACTGACAAGTACATAACAGAAATAATTATTTTCAGATCCTCTTGGAGCGATCCAGAGCATTTCGTGCAGCGACAGTCTTGCCTGAACACCTTCGCCACGGCGTGGGGCTACATGCCGCTCATGCGCTCCGTCCTCCGCTTAGACCCCATATTATTTAAAGATCCCGTTTCTACGCTCAGGAAGAAATACAGGAAAATGGAATTAGTGACTTCATAAGGGAGCTAAGCTAGCAAGAAATATGTGAAAGCCTGTTAGAGGGAGCTAGATTCAGCTTTCGTGGTAGTAAAAGAAAAAATTTTTGACGTCAGTCTTCAGAAGTCAACGCATACATTTGCAATGGCATCTCCATAATAAAATTTGTTATTCAGCAAAATAATCAAATTGTAAATTAATGATCTAGACGTCACGACTTAACAGTTTCGCAATTGGATCAAAAATAATCAGATTATTTTGTTTTTGAGCTTTAATTAACGTTATTAAATTTAATGGTTTTCATTTAAATTTGTGATAAGCAATAATGAACTGAGCTGTTGTTGAATACTATTGAAGTATTATTATTGATATTATAATATTTATATTTATTTTGTTGAAACGCACGTTTTTAATGTTCGATAATAAAACTTGACACAATAATTCAGACCCAGAGAAACTAAAGTGAATTTTACCGGAACTATTAATATATGTAGAGGGCCACTTGCTCCTGGGTCACACACATGGCTGACATGGCGATAACATTTTGAGCAACAGCAAAGTTCTTGCGACTATACAAAACAGCACCGAAGTATACGCGAATAAGTACTTGTCTACACACATGAATGCAATAGCGTGAATCTTCGGGTTACACTTTTGTAACCTAGGGGTTGTAGTAATTCTTTGTTTATGAAAGATGTACTCATCTCAGTACATGAGTAAATGAGAAGATTCTCATTTTTTTGTTCTACTCACTCATGCCTATACCAAATATTAGTCTTATTAATAACATTGTATTGGTTAAGGAAGGAAGATGATAAATTTATAGGCAGGTGATTCGTAAAATGTTAAATACAGTCGCTTGCACATCCAAATAATAAAACCTCGATTTTAAAACTTACGTTACACACCTACTATTACTACCTAGCATTAGATTCGAACAGAACTATTTCTGTATGCTTTGGATAATTCGATTTTTCGCTTTATGTTGATCTGCTGGCGACTGTACTATACGTAACGTAGAGCCAGGAATAGGCCCATTTTCTGTACTTATTTATTAAAACTACAGCTGATTATAATAATTATACATCTTTAGGCAGTGTTGAGTGGCACTGCCTGATTGCACCGTATGCCACAAACGAAATGCATTTAATTCAGTCGTTCTCTGTAATGTTATCACTATTATAAAATTGATTTAAATAAATATCTTTATTGCTATTTTTATGGTGTTATTTTCATGAAATACCTACTAATTAGATAAATTAGTGTCTAAAATAAACCTTGGCCACTGTCAGTCATACATAGAAAACATCATTGATATTCAGGGTAACATTTGTACTTAAAATTCTTACCATCACTTACGAGTGTTAACAATGCTGATTTAAAGTTAGAGATAAAGTTGTTGTTTGTTCATATTTTTATGGTAATAAATAAATGCTGTGGAGACCGTTAGCTCCTCACTCAAACAACGTCAACGGATAAATTATGGGAGCATATTGTAACTGTGTAGTGAATAAATTTATTGACCCATTAAAATTCACCGGTTGTGAAAGGGTGCAGTTCTTATGAACACCCTGTATTGAAAAGAATTCAAAAAAATGTTCAATTAGTAAACGCATTGTTTTGCGTAACAGTTCATCTAATTAGGAACTAGTAATAATTAATTACAAATCGATGCTACGGACTTAGTTCGTTCAACTGCATTGAATTTGTAAGCATTGCATAAGTAGAACGCCAGCTGACATAACAACTTCGCAACCGACTCCAGCGCGGCCTTGGCCCCGATGCTGCCGGCGCGCGGCGCGTGCGCAGTGCACTCGCCCACTCCGCGCGCTCGGCCGCTGCTGCGACGCGCTGTGCCTCACGTGTGTGACCGCCCATCGCCCTTAGGTAAATAAACATCTCATTTAAAATTCTAACACAACCACCCTATCCGGTAACTAAACCTGTCCTCCAGGTTGTCTGGAAAAGACCGCTTTAAGCGATAATACCGCCTAAATTGTGCTATTTCTCTTGTACATTTTCTTTCTTTTCTTGTCTTGTGTGGTGTACAATAAAGGTGTTCTATCTATCAACAAAGCATTGTGCTAAACGACCATAAAACAAGTGAAGTTTTTTTAATAAGCTAATGAGCTTGAAGTTTTCCAAGTGTCGCCATCAGTGCCCGTCACATTTCATTTATTTTTCGATGAAGTTTCCCGGACCCCGATTACAGGCTTTTCCTGTATTGAGGAACAGGTAGGTAATCAATGATTTTAATACGAGCATAATATTTTTTCCCCATGGAAGAACTTTTTAAAGAATGATGTTCAGATTATGTTATTTATTTATTTTCTAAGATAAACAACGGCGTTTTCCGAAATTAATTTATAGCTAAACATATCCAAAATCATGGCAGATTACAGGTTGTTTGGTTTTCCCTATAGCTATTTGGGCTCTCTAATAGATGGAAGAAAAACAAATTCCCAGTATTCCCACTCAGTCTTGGCCGTATGCATCTGGTAGCTAGCATAACTAGAGCCTAGAAAAGTATGCCGAAATATCCCGTTACGCCGATAGAAAGATTCTTTGGTAAAGTATGTACACTCAATACATATTTATCGTGACATTTCCTGGTTTTCTCGTAAGTAATTTGTTTTCCAAATAAGTAGCTACCTCCTACCTTAATCTATTTGTTCATTTCCATATTTATTCATATGTAAAGAGTTTGCAACAAATCGTTTTTTTTCTGCTAATACTTAAGTAAGGGTTTTGCAAACCATGTTTGTTACAAGCTTTTAAATATTGTTTTAATCCTGTTGAAAATTAGTACCTCCTTGACGATTACATTACGAAGCCATTATACAGGTAGGTATGTAGAGTGCGTGACAGACACGCATGATAGATAGGTACTTACTTTGGCGTTAGCTATTCCTCGTTATGTAACTTCATCAAAAAATAGTCAACTTATTTCCAAAGGGCACATTATGAACGTCATCTGTCGCACGCAACGTTAAGTTAAATGCTAACTTTCATCCAACTATGATTAAACTTAAACATTTAGAACAAATACCTAACTACATAAAAGTTCAAGGTTTTCCACACATACGAGTAAACCTGCAATACTTATAACACTTACGTCAAGAAAGTCACACTTACGAGTAGGTAGGTTTCATAGTCGGAGCAAAAGAGGCTTGGTAGCACTGGTATTAACATTGCAAAATAATGCAAATAGCAAGTGTGTATAGTTTCTGGAGGTCCTCCCCGCGATCGAAGAGGTGGGCTCTGTGTGCTTAAAAAATGTACGTATACCAACAACCTTGATCAGACTAAAATAAATTAAAAAAGGGTTCTTTACACGTGAAAGGTAAGGTAGTTTAAATTGAGCCTTGCTCATGCTTGAAGATGAGGAAATCCGCAACGAGTCCACTTTGGTGCAAGTCACAGGAACTTGACATGCCGATGTGGAATGTTTTAGCTTACTTCCTAGACAAGTCATATGTAACTCGTTTTTAGAGTTCCCTGTCTAAAAACAGAATTAATGACATTTGCAATCGAATTAACTTTCTAGGATTAAGTAGGTATTGTCGTTATTTTGCCTGTAGGCACTGCTGGGTATAGGTCCTATATTTAATTACTACCTTTAGACAACAAAAACCGTATATAATATGTAGGTACCTAATCATAATTTAAGCAATGTAAATCAATCTACTGAATGTTACAGGATGCAAGTAATAATAAAAGCTGTTAACCTTAAATTCATGTAAATAATGTGGAAATGTAAAATACACTCGGCGTCAAAGAAATCGCACCTCTCGCGACAATTTCAAACGTATGCAGGTATGCATCATTCTACATACCTATTGCCATTGGTCACTGGAGGAGCACCATGATTGTGTCAGAAGAAGAAAATCTTTAAAGTTATTGTCGCGGGCATGGACCTATAAAGGTCCATGGTCGCGGGAGGTGCGATTTCTTTGATGCCGACTGTAGTAGGTAGGTACAGTCAACAGTACATCAAACTACGATTTTTTGTTGCAAAATACTTAGCCTGTAGGTACTTATTACTACGACGACATAATACGCCAGTATTTTAGCTTGATGTGCTGTCGTTGGTACAATCAGTGCCTTATGTTAGGTACCTTTTTTGGGACATAAAATAAATAAGAAAATAATAAGTTTAGTACTTAAACAGTAGCTGGCTTCAGACTATTTAAAAGTACCTATAAGTTTTTACATTTAAAGTTTTTTAATGTGATGATAGAATACAAATTACGCGACTAGGTATAAGATTTAGTAGTTTCGCAATGTACGCTCATTTCCTCATCGTTCTAACAATAATAACAAGAAAGTTTACCGGTTGTAATTATTAATGGGCATTATGGTATTTATTACAAAGTAAATTAGAACAAACAATAAGGATATTAGTATACGATACGGATAATGATCGACCTAGTTGCGATGCTAAATTCACTGGACCCATTTGCGACATCACTGTTGATGACATCGTACTAGTGCTTACTTTCCTGTATTTAACGGAAGCATTGTGCAGCGTAATCTATGTTAAAACTAGTTTTTATAAAATTCTCACGTCATAAGTACAACTTGCGAGTAAAAGCGTTATAACACTCATGTTACGGAACAATGTATACTATCACCTTAGAAAATCTATTGATTAGAGACACAGACATACTACTTAAAGGCGACGATATTATTTTAATAATAATGAATGAAGTTTATTTGCCTGTCTCTAGCTCGTTGCCTTGCCTGAGACCACATTCACATAAAAACCTTCCCATTTTTGTTATGTAAGCAAACAAAACTCATATTTATTAATGACTAGCTTTCCGCCCGCGGCTTCGCCCGCGTGGAATTTTGTCTGTCACAGAAAAACTTTATCGCGCGCGTCCCTGTTTCAAAAACCGGGATAAAAACTATCCTATGTTCTTTCCCGGGACTCAAACTATCTCTATGCCAAATTTCATCAAAATCGGTTGCGAGTTTTAAGCGGGAAAGCGTAACAGACAGACAGACAGACAGACAGACAGACAGACAGACAGACAGACAGAGTTACTTTCGCATTTATAATATTAGTTGGGATGCAAAGTGTGTTAAAATACGATGCAAAAGTAAGTATGTTAAAGAAACAAATACGGTAGGTATTTGTACCTGCCTACACTTTTTACTTGTTAAAATAGCTAGGCACTGTAATTCTTTGTCGATATTATGTAAATAATATTACCTAAATAAGTCAGTATTAAGTAAATACTTAGTCTTTTGGTTTCACTTTCAAGATTCACGAAATGTCAACTGGGTTTAGTAATCACTATCATGGGAGTTAACACGGTTCAACGTTTGTCTATCCAGGTTAATTAGACAAGAGAAAATAGCCAGGCGAGATGGCGCAAGGTTCACGGAGGCTGGTGCTGGCTGCACTTATGGTCGTCACAATCATGGCTCCGCACTTCTCTGCTCAACCAGTTAGTATTATAGCATTTTCTTGTATCATCTTAAATATTGGTGTGCTTTCAGGTGATAAGTTAAACTTATCAATCTTTCAAGATTGAAAGAGAATAGCCGAGGGTCTCAGTGGCGGACCTTGGGGGAGGCCTATGTCTATCAGTGGCCTGACAAGGACTGATGATGACACTAATAAGAGTCAGATCTAATAAATCAATCATAACACTTCCATTAAATCATGTGGCAGGTTTTCTCTATTCGCTGCATATGGAGATATGTTCTGATGTACTGACAATTTGCATAAATAAATGTTTAGGTGTGAGTTTAATTTATTATTTGATTTTGATAACAGATACAGATGAAATTCCTGGCCAAAATAGTAGTAATAATAAGAATTAGAAGTGAAGTGGTATGGTAGCATTACAGGTTAAGAATATTCTAGGTAATAGCGATCAACATTTTTGCTCCGCAAACCGCAAAATAAAGTACTTAAGTAACCCGACGTTTGTGCTTAATAAGTAGGTACATATTTTATGCAGCTTGATGTTTTAATGAAATAAATAGTTCACATTAGATTGGCCTCCACTGTCTTCTCATATTTATAGCGACTGGATTTTGATAGAGGAGGTGACCTTCAGCATACCTACCTCTCAATTTTCTCAATTGCGGTAAGTTCCAGTGTTAGCAACTTTAGTATGTATTTATAGTGTACACGAACAAAGGCATTTTAACCATCTAATGACTTTGGCTAATTTTTAGGGGTTAGTTCATCAATGGGAATTTCGGTTTCGAGTGCGCGTCACGGTCACCCAACCCAGCGCATGGTTTTAGAGGGATGGATAGTTTATCAACATTTTCTTGTAAATAAATGTGATAACTTGTAAAATGTGTAAATAAAACTTCCTAGAATCTTTTAATCTTGGAATAATTGCACTAAGTTACGCAATTTATGCGGTGGAGGGAACTTTGCATTATGTTAAATTAAGAAATTACAGTTTCAGAATTAGACCAAATAAAAACCACTATTATTTCTTGTAAAATTTATGCATTGTAATTTTAGCCAACTGCTGAGAAATCCATCGAAAAGGATCGCACGCAGAGACAAGCAGCGGTCAAGGCTGGTAAGCAAGTTGCCACAACGCCGAAATGGGGATTTTTTGGTACCATATTTCATCTTATTTTAGAGGTAAGATAATATTTTTTCCCCCTTTCTAAGGAAACTGATAATGCGCTTAGGATAAGTAAAAGCTAATGTCTTTTGCACCATACTTATCAATTTTATTTATTAATCTTTTAACAAAAAGTAGGTATATAATATTAGGTGCATGATTTTATAAAGATAGCATTTACAAAGCTTCTTTGAAACTTTGGTGTCACATTATTACACAGACGCGAAAAGTTCGTCGTAAAAACGCTTATTGGGATTGAATTCACACGACTCTTGAAAAAGACATCAACGCGTTACGCGCAGAACGGTAACTTACAAAGTCAACCTCGCGTGTTGGACGGGCACTATTTTTACCCGACTGCGCCAGAAGGAGGGTTATGTTTTTACAAGCTTTTATTTGACTCCGTTATTGTTCATTTATATGTCTATGCGCTCATAAATTTTCTTTCTTATGCAAAATGAAATATACGTTTATGTTTAAGTTATCTTTATATCTGTGCAATTATGTAGTCTCAGTTGTATTTATGTGCCATTCGATTCGGTGCACTGAATACGAACGCCATGATATAATAATGTAGGGTCATCCGTAAAGTCCATTATTTAACCACTATCTGTGCCCGCGACGTACGCATGAAAATAGTTTTAGTAAAATTTCCCGTTTTTACAACATTTTTCTTTACTGCTCCGCCCCTATTGACTATAGGGTGATGTTACATTATAGTCTAAAGCTTTCCTTGATAAATGGGCTATCCAACAGAAAAATATTATTTCAAATTGGACGTCCAGTAGTTCCTGAGATTCGCGCGCGTTCAAACAAACTCTTCAGTTTTTAATATTAAGTATATGCTGCATTTGTGTTTGTCTGTTAATCATTGATTTTTGTGGCTTAATTATTTTTAAGTATCTGCAAATGCAAGTACTTACCAAAATTATGTTTCTAAACTAAACTTGGACGATATGAATCTACACTGAAGTATAGTCGTTTCAGCTTGTGTGTGCAGGCTCAATAGGCTGTTATTCGTATAGCTATCTAAAAAGGCAATGTCTTTATTTTTCAGCAAATCAATGACACCAAAAGTGCTTATACTCAGATATCGGACCTATTAACCAACCAGTTCGTAGATGATAACGTAAGTAACATTTTTTTCCTGAAAAGTTAACGATTCCTGATGGATGATGTGGGTCTTTAACCGACACATTGTAACTTTTCCAGGCTGTAACAAACTCACCCGCCCCGTCTATCAATGGCAGTACCGAAACTCCTAAGATATCAAGACAAGAGTTCTTAAAAATTCTTGATCGAAACCTCAAAGGTCTTGCGAGATTACGAAATTTAGAATGGCGAGAAGCAAAGAAGGTAAATGACATGAATGTTTAAACAAGTATTTAATGTCTTAAAACAATAGCCTACTCATATATTTAAACAAATTATTTTACGCATGTTTCAGGATTCCATGGCTAACCTACGTGGATATAAAGATGAAATATTTAGAGGAAAAAAGTCGTCAAAAAGAAAATAGCAAGCTTAAAACAAGAAAGTGATAAAGACTGTAAATATTTTAGTAACTAGGTACTTACGTAATGTAGTGAAATAAAATTATTTTTTAAATCTCATACCTACATATTATTCGCATTCGCAAACAGGAAAATCAGGAAGCAGGCAAGCAACTAACTATAAAAAAAATACTTATTTTTATATTAACTTTTTATTTATCAAAACAAAAACATTAACAATACGTATACTTTCTTTCCGCAAATATATTTACATAACTGCTTGTAATAATATATTTACATAAACATCTTAGTTATATTCTAGGAATTAGAAACTTTTACTTTAGTGTCACTTTTTTTAACTTTTTGTTGTCTGTTTGTAGATATATGGAGTATCGCCCGACAGCCAGGATATAATTCAAACTTTGTCCTGATTATATTAGTTTTAATCCACTTAGCAACAGGTTCTTTATTGATCATCATGCCTAAAGCAGTTTCCTGGTTAATTTCTTTCAGATCTATGGACTTTATTTTAATCTCGCATCTATCAGCTCCATCAACCTAAAACGAACGAAAACTGTCAACTCATGAAATTATACAGGTTAAGTACAAAGACGAAAAATAAAGAGGNTTCAACAGCAGTCAGCCATCATGTGTGCATTCCAGTGGCCCTGATAGCGTCCCTCTATCGTACGAAGGCCCTGGTGGATTTGCTCGCCATGTTCTTCACTTAGATCCTTAAGAGTTGTGATAAAATTGTTCAGGTGATTGCGAAGAGAGTGTAATTCGATGTTTATATTACATCCAACCAAAAAAACATGTTTGTAAGTGACTCATACGTTCTTCGATGTGTAAGAATAGTAAGATTTTTTTGGATTTTCCAAAAAAAAAATTAAAATGCCAAAATAACTCATTCCATGTCTTTTTGGAAGATTTGAAGATCCTAAATCTCTAAAACGATCGTTTAAACCATCTTGGCTATATGGTTTTGAAAATTTCGGGTCACATTCAAAATCTCTACCACACTGACAGTTTTCGCCTCAAAATCCTCATGTGAAGTATCCACATGAGGTTCAGGTGACTTTTCAGGTTTGAAAAGACGTCTACATGCCAAACGTATACAAGGAATTACCATTTAGTTCAATATTTTTTGGTTAATACCATTTTTGTTCAAAAATAAAAATAACAGTCGTCGCGATGGTTCAAGGGTTCCTTTCAGATCATAGCGGTTTCGTACCTAAATCTACACATATTCTTATTTGTTTATAAACGTAAAAACTCAACGCATCTTTTCCACACCTTTTGCGGAATTCAAGGCTTATCTTTCATTTGCACTGGGTCCCCAAACTAATTTTTGTAAGCCAATTTTACGAACTTTGTCACATTTAAACGGATTATTTAAACATATCCTCTCCGCAAATGAAACAAAATTGATTTAGATTATTCACACAAACACTTCTTAATGCTACCATATTAAATTAATTATACAAAGAAAACATAGTATTTTTTGAACTGTCGGCGAATTAAGACTGAAATTTAGCATTTTTTGAGTGAAAGCTATAACACGTAAACAAGAGCTGCTACGAAAAAATGGACGGCAGATTCAGAATCAGCGACGTCAAATTAGTAAACATCACGTAATGAAAGTCAATCATCAGCCAAAAGTTGCAATTTTGTTGTTCAGTGTAATATTAGTAGGATAAATTATACATATTATTCGCATTCGTAAACAGGAAAATCGAAGCAGCCAAGCAATATAAAAAAAATACTTATTTTAATATTTACTTTTTATTTATCAAAAACATTAACAATTCGTATATTTCTTACTGCTTATATAATTTTAATTATATTCTAGGAATTAGAAACTTTTACTTTAGAGTCACCTTTTTTACCTTTTTGTTGTCTGTTTGTAGATATATGGAGTATCGCCCGACAGCCAGGATATAATTCAAACTTTGTCCTGATTATATTAGTTTTAATCCACTTAGCAACAGGTTCTTTATTGATCATCATGCCTAAAGCAGTTTCCTGGTTAATTTCTTTCAGATCTATGGACTTTATTTTAATCTCGCATCTATCAGCTCCATCAACCTAAAACGAACGAAAACTGTCAACTCATGAAATTATACAGGTTAAGTACAAAGACGAAAAATAAAGAGGTATGAAACCAGACCTTGCAAAGAAACGAAAGATTATAGTCATCATCTACTTCTGGCCAATGCTGGTCTAAGACACTTTTTTCCCAATCAATATAATTTGGTAAATGGGTAGAGACTCTGTTTGGCGCTGATAGAAATCCGGCCCACAGCTCGGAGCTGAAGTGTGGCGTCACTGGTGACAGCATAATTATTAAGGATGCTAATGCTTGCTCATATTCTTTACTATAGGCAATTACCTCTGCTGGAACATTATTCTGAAATTATAAAAAAAATATGTTTAAAAGTTTTCGTCTAATGTAAAGTGAAACGGGATCTAAGATTTTATTCCTGAACTTGATTAAAATCCCTACTTTGACTATATAAACATACCCTTAAGGTACTTGTCAAACTCTGTAGTCTTGATATGCCAACACTAAGCTTATACGTATATTTGAAGTGGTAAGTAGCAGTTGCTGTGTAATAGTTTCTTGCATCAAGAATTTTTGATTCATGTTTCTTGAAATCAACATCAGCAATGGTTTTAGATACGTTAGATGTTCTATATTTCAAGAAATCTCTTAAGGTTAACCATAAACGGTGCTGCCAATTTAGGACACCAGGTAAAGCTGAAAAAGAAAAAGAAAATGTATTCTTTATCAACATTAGATTAATCAGGTTGGCCGGTGCCGGTGATTTATAACCTTATCGTAACTAAGTTGTCTTATGAACAACAAACAATAATGCCTCACATGAATGCAAATTCATAAAAGAGCAAATATCGTAGAACCTGAGATAAAGATAAGCTAAAGTGGCAATTTTAGATTGTGGAAAACTTGCACTGGCCATGCGCAGCGTGGGAAAAACTCCAACCGATCGCGATTTAATAGTTTACGGAAACTTTAGGCAATATCCAGTATTACATACATTCTTTCTATATTCAATAGTACCAGTTAAGACTTAGCTTAAAGTAATATTTAATATAATTCTGAAGCATGTTGCTAAAAATAACAGAACAAAATTTAACTTATTACTAAAAAAATACTGACTTGCATCAGACCATCGTCGACTGGTGGCAGGAGGAACATCGGCAAGCATAAGAAGTTTAGTTGTATCAGATCCATATTCTGATAGCAATCTCTCAGGATTTTCTCCGTTGTATTTAGATTTGCTCATTTTTTCCCATTGTACTAAAACTGATTCGCCACTTGTTTTATCTTTAAATTCATTGCCTACTTTTTCAACATCATTCGGCTGTAAATATTTTCCAGATGACTTCAATTTATAAGACTGTCCCATAACCATGCCTTGTACTACTAGCTTTTTAAATGGTTCTTCAGATGGTGTCCACCCCAAAGAATGCAGAAAGTAACTCATAAATCTAGCATAATAAAGATGTAAGACAGCATGTTCTTTCCCTCCAATGTAAACATTGATAGGAGTTTTACCAACAAGATGTTTTTTATCAAATGCCTTTTCTTTGTTAGAAGGATCCAAAAATCTATAGTAGTACCAAGATGAGTCCACAAATGTGTCCATAGTATCAGTTTCTCGTTTTGCATTAGACTGACACTTGGGACATTTACAGTTAACCCAGTCATCTAAATTTGCTAATGTTTGAATTCCAGGTTCCACAGCTTCCACAATTGGTAATTCTACAGGTAAATCTTCAAAGGGTACAGGGACTGTACCACATTTTGTACAGTGTACAATTGGTATCGGTGTACCCCAATATCTTTGTCTGGATATCAACCAGTCTTTTAATTTGGAGCTCACATAATGACCGCCAACACATTTTCTTTGTGCTATTTCAATGGCATGTTGATTTTCTTTTTCTTTGTCACACGTAATGCCTTTGTTAATATTTAAGGGTATGTTTAAAGTTTTCGCCAACTTAAAATCCTCCTCATCAAGGGCTGGTGATGCTATATACACGTCCCTTTCTGGGGCATAATTAGCACTATCTGTCACATATACTGGCATTTCTTGAGCCGTTATGGGATTCAAGCATTTAAGACTAGAATTATCCAACTCTATACCATGTAAAAGAATGTTATTATTACTCATAGTAATAAATTCGCCATAGATAAATTTATATGGGTCAGAAGTCCATATATCCAATGACTTGAATTCGTCGCCTAATTTAATTTTAAACGTTACTACTATACCATTACATTCCCCAATCCAATGGCGTTGCAAATTTATAATATCTTTCCAGTCTTCTAAGCTCTCCGATTTTAAGCCATCATAGAGTTTTTTAGCATATTTTGTGGTTTTTATGAACCATTGAGTTAAAATTTTCGATTCTACTTTAGCCCCAGATCTCCAGGAACAACCAAATTCGTCGACTTGTTCATCAGCTAAAACTGTTCTATCAATTGGATCCCAATTGACTTTGGCCTAAAATTTAAAATACAAAAATATTACTTGCTTGAGACTCTGTTGGCTGTTTCAGACGACACAGCGCACCGTTTGTCACCGCCACGGCGCCTCTGCTTAAATACCCTATCATTTATATGGAGCCTTAAACACGACACTACGCCGTGACGGCGGCGATAAGTCTGCACGGCGGCCATCAAATCCAATCTCTTAATAAATTTTATTATTATTATTATTTACTAAGAGAAATTGCGCCAGAACAGGGCAGTTTTGTTAAAGGTAAAGGAATCCGTGAAGAAATCCTCATCGTTCGAGACGATGTAAGTACATTATTGCTTCATTGATTTCTCTAAAGTATTTGACTCAGTGAAATGGCCCACCTTATGGAGATCACTGCAACACATCGTGCACTTGCTCAGAGAACTCTACGTAGAGGGGGCGGGGGCTGGGGGAACTGCTTCAGTGCAGATGACCACAGATCCTCACAAATAGTTTCCATTCAAGCTCGGGTGTACGACAGGGATGCATACTGGTGCGAGTGCTTGTATTCCTCATTTTTATTTACACGGTAGAGACGTGGACAGTATTGTATAAGGTATAAGGGAAGATCTAGCATGCTACAATACTTTGAATATGTCTCAAGTAGTTCAGGGAAAAGTTCACCTATGCGCTGGACTGACCGAGTGAAATCTGTAGTGGGAAACTGCATATCTATCTGACTCCAACATGGAGATGGCGGAAGATTGTGTGGAGAGCTGTATCCGCCTTTACAATCGACATGGTGCCTCACAGCACTATGTATACTTACCTCGATTCTACCTAAATAAAAAAAACTAAGGACAACTGAAGTTGGTGTCTGATAAGGATCAGAAATTGTGAAGTGAATAAATGAAAATGAAACTAATTACAAAACTTTCAAAAATCAACTGCCTTAAGTGGGAATTGAACCAACAACCATTTGTTCAGAGTCTTCATACATTGAACATTAACATTGAACTAAGCAGAAAAAAAATTAATAAATACCCTTTTTAACATTAAAATTAATAGTGTGTTGGAAATGTAAATAATAATAACATAAAAACTTGTCTCTTATGTTTTGTTGGAATATTAAATTTTCACATTATTTTTTAAAGCTTTGGGCTTATTAAATTAATTGTAGAATTCAAATAGTTCTATAGGTACTTATAATAAATAAAGTAAATGTCACATTATATTATTAGCTTTTAAACTTTGGAGTAAAAAATTCATCTATACTAATATTATAAAGAGGAAAGATTTATACCTATTTTTGTATGTTTGTAATGAATAGGCTCAAAAACCACTGAACGGATTTTGATGAAACTTTACAGTATTATTGTTTATAATCCAGAATAACATTATAGGCTATAATTTATGACGATCTGTGACAAACGAAATATCACGCGTGCGAAGCCGCGGGCGGAAAGCTAGTTATTAATATAAATGTCAACTATTTTTAACTGATTATAACATACCTTACACTGATAAGCCAACCCTTTTTCAAATAGTTTCAAAAATATGTATTGAGTCCATTTATAATACTGAGGATCACAAGTAGACAGCTCACGGTTCCAATCAAAATTATATTTCAGACTTTTCAGCTGCTGCTTCATAGAATCTATATTTGTTTGAGTCCAGTGGTGAGGGAGAATGTTTCTTTCGATCGCAGCATTTTCTGCAGGTAGTCCAAAAGCATCCCATCCAATTGGATGTATTATATTTTTGCCATTCAATTTATGAAATCTTGCTATTGTATCAGAAATTGAATAAACTCTAACATGCCCCATGTGTAAGTTACCAGAGGGATATGGGAACATGGGTAGCACATAGTAAGTGTCAACATTCTCCTTAATTTCAGGAGATGATACAACTTCTTTAGCCCAATGATCTTCAATTTTCAACTTGATATCTGTAGTTATGTCAAGATGCTAGAATAAAATACAAATAATATAGGTACAACAAATATATCGTGCGTGTGCCACCAATTTCAATCAAAATACGAAAAGATAAACTTGTTTCTCACCCATAGCCCAAGGCTTTTTTTATGTTTTTCTATTATTTTTGAATTATGTATGTATCTCCAATTTATGAGAAAATTGCGTGATACTTTGAGATAGCTATACATTATTTTACTAAAAGAAAATATCGTCTAAATAAATGTGTTTTCTTCTTACACGGATGTAGATAAACATCGGATGTGGTTTCGAGCAAAAACCAAAATCCACCAAAATCAATCAAAATCGCTCGGTCGGAACAGCTGACCCAAACTGACAAATGACAATACTGACATTTATTGACAGCTTTTTTTTTAATAGAAGTTTTTTACGGCTTAAGCCGGGTTTTCACATTACGAGTTGGCTCGGACCAGCTCGGACCGAGTCGGCTCAGATGACTACTCGGAGCTCGGACGCTACTCGTATCGTGTAAACACCTAATCCGAGTGCACTCGGACGTCGGTTCCATGTAGCTTCATGGTCGGTACTCAATCCGAGCGGACTCGGATCTTACTCAACTTTTCGAGTTGACTCGGATGGTTTTCAGAAAAACAAAATGGCGACTAAGAAAAATACTAACTAAGAAAAAGTGGAGTGAATGCGATACTACTTAATCTAAAATGATTTTTATATGTTTTTGGATCTTCTTCTTCAGTTTCACGTAAAAAAATATCTGATGCACCAAATTCATTACGTCTTAAAACCCATTTTCGGGTCCAAATTGGTCTCTTTCTTCATTCTTTTTCCCTTTCGTGATTCTGAACTTCTTCTATTAACTTATCTGCTACAACTTCTACACCTCTCAGCAGCAAATCACTCGACGTCATCTCGGATGGAGGGATACGAATGTCACTCGGACCGCAGTGAACACTCGATGTGAAAACCACTATACGAGTGTACTCCTATACGACCTAAACTCGTACGAGTCCACTCAGGTCCGAGCCAACTCGAACTGTGAAAACCCGGCTTTAGGATAAAGATCCATACGGTCAATTCTTTGGAAGCCATATTGCAGTGTTTGGTTCAGGGGGCGCCACCATCGTTCAACTATAGTTTTCAACATATGACAAAAATCGGAACCCGATCCGGTCCGGTATTGACGGTGGCGCCCCCCTGCCCAGTCAATGTCACGTAATAACTCTATGATGTCACGGGTGGAACGCGGCTTCAACGCTTTAAGCGCATTACGGACCACGACCACAACACAACCCACCCATACTATTTATTAATCTGTGCAAGGTAGGTTAGATTCATGAAGCTAAAGATAAAAATGGAGGGCAAGCTTGGAACAAAAACTTGAGTCAAATACCTACATATATCTATCTCGCTCTCTGAGGCCCTACCTCTCTTTTTATTGTGAACTGTAGTATTGCTATCTTCTTATTTAAATCTCCTTGTAAATTCTTCGAAATAGCCAATACACTAACCAAATCAGAAGTTAAACAAATAAATAATTAATATTTGAAACCAAGATTACCTAGTTAAATAAAAAATCACAAAATTTTCGGCCATTTAGGCTTAATGTGTTGGCGAATCAGGGAATTACAATCCCAATTCCTGGGAAATCGGTACCATGTGGCAACATCGGCCCAATCCGACCCAACATGGCGGTTGTTTACTATTTTGTTTATTATGCAGTTAATTTCGTTTGAGATTGTTTACAGGAAATAATCATTGTTTTATCACAAGAATTGGTGCAAAATTTTGTAGTGCGTGGTTGCGGTAGTACGTGGTGTCCTGGAAGTGACATAAGATTCCACGCGTAAGTGTTTATTTCGTGATTTCCGACATTGGATCATTGTAAACATTTTTCACATTTTTACAGTAATTTCTTCCTAAAACGTTTTACCAGTATTTACACTTATCATTTAATGATACTTAGGTCAAGAAATAAAGATTTTACATTGAGTTTCATTGAATTTGAGCAAATTTATGTTATTTGTTTATTTAGAAAGAGAGAGTCTGCCCACAGAGAGCGAGATAGTGATACATAGTTTGTGCTTCAAGTAGGTATTCGGAGTGTGGCCTCCATTTTTATCTGTAGCTTCATGGATTTTACATTGGTTTCATTGAATTTGAGCAATTTTATATTTTTTGTTTATTTAGAAAGAGCGAGTCTGCCCACAGAGAGCGAGATAGTGATACTTAGTTTGTGCTTCATTCAAGTAGGTATTCAAAGTGTGGCCTCCATTTTTATCTGTAGCTTCATGGTTAGATTGTTGTCAATGTCAACAATTTGTCACATTTTTGTTGTTTGTGATCATGTGATGGTGCACAGATGTGGTGTTTGGTGATTGAGGTTATGTTGTGATAATTTTCTGATTTGATTTTAATTTTGGCAAAATACATTAAAAAACGAAAACGAAATATGGATACCAAGACAAATAAGATAAGATACCCGAAATCTGTTTTAACATTGTATCTAAAACTTTATTGCAAAAGAAGAAACAAGTCTGTTAGTAATTATTAAACCATTTATTAATAAAGTCTGTTCAATTTAAATCTGAAATATTTTCGTGATTATGTAATTGTTAACTAGCAAAACAACCCTGAGGCTCAGTTGTAACAAAAAGGCATATTGTTTTAGAATAAAATGTTGGAGGGAATACAATCATGGATTACTCTTAGCAAGTCCGAAAAGCAAAAATTTTATAAAAAGTATAAAGAATGCCGGTTAAATCATAAGATTAAATTAGCCAATTACTTGAGCAAGACCCAGCCTTTTATGAAAAAAAAGGAAGCTAAAAGGTAGTTTTTTAACACTATTAACTATTATGTTGTAAGGTAAAGTTTTGTTCGTTTGTTTCAGCCAAATGACGTCCACAAACGTGCTGGACAAAGGCCTCACCAAGAATGACATTCTCATTTTTCTTATATTTGTAAAATTTGAAATGTAATGACTATATTGTCATTATTTTTTCACATACACTGCAAGTCAATAATATGAAAGTGATGATACCTACTTACAGTATACTTTATTCGAGATGCCAATGCCATTAATGGCTCAATAAAGTACCTCAATTGACTGGTATCTAATAAGTCCTTTAGCAGTATGAAACTGATTATTTACCTTTTGATTTTTAGTTATAACAAAACAACTGGTGGTAGTCAACCCAAAAATGATCAACGAGAAAATCCCAAAAATGTGACAGAACAACAACAATGCAACAGGTTAGTGTCACTGATTCCATGACCCTGCAAACAATGCTAAAGAGACCAAACAATATTTATAATTATTTAACTGATTTTATGAGTAGCAAACAGCCAGCTATTTAATGTATAAATGAAAGTCATGTCAGACCCAATGATTTAGGAAATTTTTCAACAAAATATCACTAATATTAAATGTGTGTAACATATCGCTAAGTAAACAATGTGAATGTAATACAGTGACCAAGCAGTATGGGAGGAAGCAAAATTGGAAGGATCTGTAGAAGAAACTGCTAATGATTTGGAAGAATCCAACAGACTAGATCCTGAAACCAGTATTGAGCACAACCTTGACATTGGTGTAAACAATGATGAAATTATATGTGACAATCCTTCAAATACGGAAAGCAGTTCGCCAAGTAGGGATCAATCAAGGCCTAAATTGGCTGAACCAGCTCCTCCTAGTGTAAGGTAAATGCATACATATTATTTTATAACACAACAGTATTTTTTATAATGCTCATGGCCTATACTCCCAATATCTTTCAATTTCAGAACCGCAAGAGAACTTTTTGAAATGTTAAGAGGTACAGGTAAAGCTGAAGTTATGAATGAAGAATCATGGGCCAAGCTGCCAAGTCAACAGAAAAGTCGATATCAACGTGCTCTGCGATTGCTCAAATGTGACTACATCCAGAAGTATAAACAATACTTAGAAAGTTTATCTTCAAAAGAACTTTTCCACTGTTATAACAACTTTTTCGATTGAATATAGGGCCTCTATCCAGAAATAAATATGAGAATTAGTTTTGGAAAGAACTTTTCCATTGTTACATTTTCAAATGATTTAATTTTCATCATTCTTCTAGCTGTGCCTGGGATTTCATACGCGTAATAATAGTTTAAATATTATTTCTCCCTTTTTGCAAAAAATTATGATTGTAGCCTCTTGAATGTTTGATTTTTGCTTAGCATATCATATATCTAAATTGGTGTGGTGACAGGAATCAGAGGTGGAATTGTGTAGTGTATTATATTTATTATTATATTGTGTGTAATAAATAAATAAAGCAATCGTAATCATTTGACAGTTCAAACGTACGATAAAGTCAGTAAAACAAAGCTTTTGACAGAACAATCGTATGTTATGAACTATCAAATGATAACAATTGCTTTACACAATTCCACCTCAGGAAACCAAGGACAGAATTAGCAGAGATACAAATTAAAAGTAAACAATAAATCTCTTATGATTACATTTATATTACAAATAAATATTATACAATATTCAGGACTCAGGAGCAATTATATCTAAATATAAATACTTTTACTTTTTCTACATCAATCTGGGATATGATGCTAAATAGGTGCAGTAATGAAGCCCAAAAATTTTGTGAACATTTTGTATTAAATAGTGCAAAACAGATGAAATTACCAAGCTTATATTATTTAATTTTTTACCAATTGTTAGACAACATACCTACATTAAATTTTTTCTTTTCTTCTGTGATTAAATAATTGTGATGAACATAAAATCTCTACTTAATAATTAGTGTTCGTATAAACGAGTATAGCTGGTTAAACTTAGTAACTTATTTTCCGCAAATGAGTCCAAGAGCCATTCCAGCAAAAAATGCTGCTACAAACACATGAGTTTCAGTAGCGCGATAGTGTTCATCCCCAGTGAAGTTGTGATACCAACGTTTAGCTTTAACTTCTTTTTTCTTTAACAAATCTTCAGCTTTATCCAATTTGCGATCCACAAATCGTTCTACCTATAACAAATAATATTGATATGTTACAAACATTACAGATAAGCATAACATGTCTATGAGAAAGCTGTTGTTACCGTTCAATATTGCAGAAAAATGGACTACATCTCATACTCTTTTTTTTATATCAATTACCTAAATATGTCTAATGAGCATACTTTGGTGAGTATATAAATTGTAAGAATAGAAATAAAAAATATTCCCTCACATTATGTACTTTTTATTCTTTTACCCTTGCATGCTTTGCCATTATTTTTTTATTGTGATAATACTATAGAAGAATACTATAGCAATAACAGGGTTCGAAAATATCCGATATTTATAATAAATATCAAAATATCGGATATTTATGATATATATCCGATATATATCAACTTTGATATATATCAATTTTGTATGAGAGCCATAGTATTATTTTATTGTATTATTCATGAATACTATTGCATATGTGTTACATAAACATGTTTTTAATGTTTTTAAAACTTAAAATCAGACAAATAAAGCAAAAACATAAAATATCTTTCAAATACGGCAAAATCAACTAAAAAAATAAAAATCTTATGTCAAAAAGTACAAATACAGTAACAAATTTTAAAAGTTGATATATATCATCAAAACCGGCTTGATATATATCGGATATATATCCGATATATATCTTGATATATATCCCTTGATATATATCCTCGAACCCTGAGCAATAATGTGACTTATTGCATTAAATAAATCCCACATACTCCCAGAAACTCACCATATCAATTTATTATAATATCAATACCTAATGTATAATCAAATCCAATGTTATAATATTCATGATGAGGCGATACCAAATAAAAATCCTCCTGTAAACCCTGCTGAATAATATGAATTATCTTTGACAAATAATAATACCTGGAACAAAATGCATGTTTTATAAAGAGTGTCAAAAATAATAAATGTCCCAAAGTCCCAAATATTATCATTTTTTGTTTTAATTTCAATGGAGAGCATCTCGAGTGGGATAAGCAGTACTAAAAGCTTTATATTTCATGGGTGATTCTCAGTTGTTACCAATGAAGGTCAGCTTTCGCCAGGTACAACACTGATAAAAACATCCTAGTGGTTATGAATGAGTTTGGTAGATATTGACTAGAATAATAGGCCTTGGCATAAAAGTAAACTTAAAGATCATGTCATAGGGTTCAAAATGTGTTCTGTGGATGGTGACAACTGAGAAAAAAATGTCATCAAACCAACACAACTTACTTTTTCAAACCAGTCTGCAGATTTTCCTGTTGTTTCTTTTTCAATTTTATCACTTATTTTGTCAACTTTTTTGTTGATTTTCTCCCAATTTATATCAATGTATCCTTTTTGGCTCGCTATGTGCAGTAATATTACTCCTCCACCTAAACCAACAGCAGCAACTTTTCCAATTTTCATGGTTATAAATCCAGTAATCCTGTAAAAAGATTGAGAGTTAATTAGGTAATGTGTGAGGGTCTTTCCATAGTAGGTAAATTTAAAGTGTGTGTACCGACAAAACTGCAGTAGATCAAGGATGAAAGGAATAAAGTTTTCATGATTTAGTAAAAGTAAGTACAAAGAAATCTGAAAATGTATCAATGCATGTTAGACACTTAAAACTTACCATCCTGACGCAGTTCCTAAAATTAGCTGCTTTGTGGCCGAAGTTTTTCCGATGTCAGCAATGGCTTTTTCAATAAAATTTTTAGCATCATCAACGATTTTCTTGGCATCTTCAGCTGAAGAGTCTTCAGTTTTGGGTTTTGCCATTGTTAATTATTATGCAACTATTACAAATGGTACTCAAAATGCAGTAGTCGTTCGTCTCGTCACAAAACAAAGAAACACAAAATTTGTCACTACATAGGTATATAATATAGATGACCCACGCTGAACTGTCCCGCCAAACTCAATGACAGGGGGGCGCTACCATCGTTCAACTATATGGTTTCCAACATGGTAAAAATCGGAACTAGCGATTCGGTATTGACGGTGGCGCCCCACTGTCAATGTCATGCACAGGACAGTTCAGTATTTTGGAACTATAGTGATCTGTGATTTGTCACCACGGCACCACCAACCACAGATTAGTATGCCACCCACAGACTAGAGAGTATAACCCATAAAGTTAATATTCCGAAGGAATATTAACTTTATGGTATAACCATGAAGCTACAGATAAAAATGGAGGCCACACTCCGAATACCTACTTGAAGCTAGAGATGGGTAGTGGGTAAAAACCCATTTCACTCGATTGGGTTAAAACTGGGTGATTTGGGTAAAAACCCGGTTTTTACCCATTATCACCCATTCTGGTGGGTGAAAACAAAAATAGCGTTTTTTTAAAGTGAGAAGTGGTATTTGTTGCTAAGGGGGCGTTCTAGTGTTATAGGTGTACCAGAATCTCATGGCAAATAGGGAAAATAAACTTTGTTGAGAGCAATACTGGGGAAATTGGAATAAACAATCTTGATACTGTTTAATTTTTTACTTTTATGACTTTAATATTAATGAACATGAAGTACGAATATACATTTTAGGTAGGTATGTGTATGAAGAATGTTGATAAACATCAGGTTTTTAACATAGGAAAATGTCTTGGAATTTAAATAAATCGTATTATTACTTTAAGTATCTAATTTTATTATGCATCATACTTTTATCTTATCACTTCATTCAGAACTAGAAAACGATTATAAGAACTCCACTTGCATTTCTTGTTCTTCAATAGATAGATGATCAAGATAAAGAGGTATTGTAAATAAATTGCTCTTCCAGCATTTCAATTGAGAAGTTCCTGATGTTAAAAACACTATATTTCGCTGAATGGGATTAAAATATATACCAAAACTAAAAAGACGGTGAAGTTTTTTTTTTAAATCGATCAAGAGTCTGAGAAATAAATTATTTATACAGTGTGAGTCACGTTAAAGTGTACATATGAAAATAGATAAAACTAGACCTATTTTTATCGACAAAAAAGAGGTCAAAAATTTTTTGAGATTTTTTTTTAATTTTTTATAGAATTTTTTTTCTTCCAATTACTTATTGTAAAGAAAACGTAATAACTTTTAAACTAAGCGGTATATCCTGATAAAATAAAAACAGTAATAATGCTAAATAACAGGCGATACTAAAAAAATACATAAAATACACAAAAAAGGCCAACAAATAATAAAAAATGATACTTTTTGAAAAAAATCTGCTTAAAAATTCGTGTTTTTTTGGTTATTTGATAAATTTCTCCAAAAAATGCCCCTATAACCGGTGGTTTTTATTACTTTGTATTATTCTCTATCGTATTACCTTCGTAAAACCAAAAATCGCATGTCTCTATCCCTATCACAACATTTGCTATGATCGTTTGAACAAAGGCCTGCCACAACATTATTCTCCGCTACAGGTAGAGACAATTTTAATTTTAACTAAAATGCTTATTTTACTACGAAATCTTTTGTTTTTATTTGAAATCTAACTTTTCTTTATCAAAATTACAAATCTAGAGCCATTTTCAGTTTCGTTCTTAACGAAGCATTGAATGGCGCGCCCGGAGAGGCTTAGTTCAAACAATTATTGCAAACGTTGTGATAGGGATAGAGACATGCGATTTTTGGTTTTACGAAGGTAATACGATAGAGAATAATACAAAGTAATAAAAACTACCGGTTATAGGGACATTTTTTGGAAAAAATTATCAAATAACCAAAAAAACCCGAATTTTTAAGCAGATTTTTTTCAAAAAGTATCATTTTTTATTATTTGTTGGCCTTTTTTGTGTATTTTATGTATTTTTTTAGTATCGCCTGTTACTTAGCATTATTACTGTTTTTATTTTATAAGGATATACCGCTTAGTTTAAAAGTTATTACGTTTTCTTTACAATAAGTAATTGGAAGAAAAAAAATTCGATAAAAAATTAAAAAAAAAATGTCAAAAAATTTTTGACCTCTTTTTTGTCGATAAAAATAGTTCTAGTTTCATCTATTTTCATATGTACACTTTAACGTGACTCACACTGTATTACCTACATATTTTCGCGTGGAACTGAAACATAGGCGGTGCCGTTCTTTTTGTATATGGCCAGGTCTGGGATATTTAAGAAAAAGGTTACAAAATTTTACTAAGAAAGAATCTTAAGTGACCCTAGCTGAAAAATTAAAAACTGCTAGATTTAAAAAAAATGAACCTGTCAACAGCACTGGCTGGATCAGGGGTGATTTACTGTTTGTACTCCGAATGACTGTCGTGAATACACCGATCAAAATGGCGTGTATAGTTATGCGCAACTTTAGGGCCCTGTAACTTATTTATTTGTAGAGATATTTTCATGATTATTTCACAATTATTATTAGTTTTACTTATATTTATTTCAGGTTTATTTAAAAGAAAAAAATGGAAACTTCTCCATTATTCAATCTTGCTTGATGAAATCTTTTTCAATTTTCTTTACATGGTCATAATAACATCTGCACCAATTTATGAGATATACCTGAAAACCCCGATAAAGCAGCTATCAAGTAAGAATAATATAAAAAACACAACCCTCCTTCTGACGCAGTTGGGTAATAAACTGAATGTATCAAAACATTTAAGTCCAACTTACTGTCAACTCGACGACGCGCTCTAAAATCAAAGATTGACTTTGAATTATGCCTTATTTTACAATTCACATTGAAAACAATATGCGTTGCTTGAACTTTTTCGACTTTTTCAGAAAAATAACAAATAGTCAAGAAGAGATTCCAAAAATTTTGCAGCGGCTGACAGATTTCATAATTTTCTTTGACAGGTGACAATTAAACCATAGACAATTGCCATATGAAAAACACACTTTTCCAATATTTTTGTTTGCCATGAGATTCTGGTACACCTATACGTAATGCAATCTGGGGGGAGAGGAGGTCTTGAAAAACGTTACAATGCGTTACAGTGGCGGAAGGGCGGTTCGATTTCAAGTTTTTAAGCAGAAGTACTTTGTAGTTGGTGTTGTTATTTGTAACTTTATACCGTAATGTCATCAAAGAGAGAGTTTGGCATCTTTGACATCCCCCCCCCGCCCCCCCCCCTCCATGTCCTTGCCATGATCACAAATTATTGTGTTCCTACTAAATTTCTTCTAAATCGGTTCAACGATTCTTGAAATAACACCATTTTATAAAATAATTGGTCACATCATTATAACGTGATCAATTTTACGATTTGGCCACGATATAAATGCATATTAGTGTTAAATTTGATTTAATACTTATTAATCAATAAACTTAAATGAGAAAAATTCAATAAAAATAAAGAAAAGATACCAATTGAAATAATTATAAAATTATTTGTTTTCACCCGGTGTAAACACCCACGGGTGGAATGAAACGGGTTTTTATTGGGTTTTTACCCGGGTGGAAACCCATCTCTAACGTAGGAGACACTACCATCTCCATGCCCCCTCTTAAGGGTCCTCGGCCACTAGACACGGGGTTGTTTGGTGGCCGCTAAAGGAGGACCCGTGGCGGCGGCGCGCGCATGTGTTCACGCGCACCGTTAGCGAAGACCAGGGGAGGTACTACTCCCCTGAAGCCAGTCGTCGCTTGCTCAAACAGAGCGAGGCACAGTCTGGGGCGGAGCCGCGAAAGAATGTCTAGGCCGTCTAGCTCGGACAATAACTCGCAGCACTGTCCCAAAGACTTCGGGAGGACACCGTCAGGTTTTAGTGAGTAGGCCCTGCCCATCTGGCAGGGAGAGCCTTACATAACCCACTGGTTCCCCCGGGCCAGTGGGTATGCAATTTCATGCATTTCCTGACGAAACGAAGGTAAATTAATCATAGCATGATATGATAGGTACTTGTTCTTTGTTTCAGCACCGTCAGCAACATATTGAAAAAACGGGGAGTGGTGGATCTTCATACAAAGAAAAAAGAAGCAGTCCGAAAACTCAGTCATACGACTGGGGCGAGTGCCCCATTTGCTGGGATAAGATGGGCAGTAATCCTTTAGCTTCTACAAAATGTGGCCACGTCNCGGCGCGTGCGCTTCGGAACCTGTTCTGACCGCGTCATCAGAGTGAGCGACGTATGGATGGTTTTATTCAATACGTTGCGTATGAGCAGGCAGGTATAATACATAAATAATTTTTTAATGTTCATAATTTGTGTTTCGCTATAAATCTTGGAAGTGGATGTGAGGTACGGATAATGAAATAATAATTTAATGATTTTATTTTGTAAGACTTGGAGTTCGGATATTTTTGTTTTTGAAGCACTACCCCAGATTTCAACAAGGTATATTAGGTGGGATTTTACAAGTGAGTTGTATATATTGTATCTTGATTTGCGGGGTATGCATCGTACTATGGGGCGTAAAGAAGCCATTAATGCGGAAATTTTTTTCTTAATATGGTCAATATGAACGTTCCATGTTAAGTGGCTATCTAAATAAAGACCTAAATATTTTTCGTGTTTTTTTTCTTGTAATGATGTAGTGAAGATTGTCAATGGGTTGAATGGAGGTATGTGCTTATTCTTCGCTTTAAAAATAATGTATGAAGTTTTAGATGCATTAATTGTTAATAGATTTTGTTGCAACCAGGTTGTGAGAGTGTCAAGATCATGTTGGGCATGTGAGATTAGATTATTCATGGATGGCCCAAAATAGAACAAACAGGTGTCATCAGCGTATAAGGTAATATGACCGTGTAGTCCAATTTTATCTATACTATTTATCTACACTAATATTATAAAGAGAAAAACTTTGTTTGTTTGTTTGGTTGTAATGAATAGGCTCAAAAACTACTAGACCGTTTTTAAAAATTCTTTCACCATTCGAAAGCTACATTATCCACGAGTAACATAGGCTAAATTTTATTTTGGAAAAAAATAGAGTTCCGTAAAATATGTAGGTAGATGTCCACGCGCGCGAAGCCGCGGGCGAAAAGCTAGTGTAGATTAAAAATAGCAGGGGGCCTAGTACGGATCCCTGTGGAACCCCGTAATGAATTGGAAGAGTTCTGCTCTGGCTATCGCCGATTTTAACAATTTGTAGCCGGTCATTCAGGTAGGAGGTGAACATTTTGAGTGCGTTGCCACCGATCCCTATCACTGCAAGCTTTCTAAGTAGAAGTTCATGGCTCACGGTATCGAACGCCTTACCAGTATTTACACTTATCATTTAATGATACTTAGGTCAAGAATAATAAAGATTTTACATTGAGTTTCATTGAATTTGAGCAAATTTATATTTTTTGTTTATTTAGAAAGAGAGAGTCTGCCCACAGAGAGCGAGATAGTGATACATAGTTTATGCTTCAAGTAGGTATTCGGAGTGTGGCCTCCATTTTTATCTATAGCTTCATGGTCGTCACGCACGTACGTCAGGTGTCAATGTGTCATGTCAGGTCAGGATTTTGGACTGTTTTGGACCATTTGGACGCTGTGTTTGTAGTTTTTAAAATCGCGTATAATTAATTTTATATAAAATTTCGCATTTTTGTGAGTCTTCTTAACATGTCTTCTAATAAGAAGTGAGTTTATAAATGTTTTTTTAATTAAGTAACTTTGTTAAAAGCCTGTTTTGGTGAGGGAAGGTTTTTATTAAGTCCTTCAGTAATGCTACAGCGAANAATGCTACAGCGAGTCCAAACACAAGTTTACGATTATGAGTAAAGTCCCTTTATTATCCAAAGGTACTTACAAGTCAAATTACATTTTTTTTAGGTATGGGCTTATTGTACCCGAAAAGCCCAAGCAACCATCATTGGTCTTTCAGGCATCAAGGAATGTTTTTGGAGATGATTTGGACTCAGATGATGAATCAAATAAAAAACCTGTGCTACTACAACCTAGTCATAATATAAATCGACAAGTAAGTGACCTAATATTTATGCAAAATAACAGTTCCTAAATATTTTTGTGATGACATGATTTTTATATTGGAACTATTTTATAGGCTAAAATTGCCCAAAATAAAGCTGTAGTTGAAGATCCTACGGTTTTCCAATATGACGAAGTTTATGATGCAATGAAAAATGAAAAAGAAGAAAAAAAAGTGAAAGATAAGGAAATTAAAAAACCCAGATATATTGAAAATCTTTTAAAATCAGCAAACAAAAGAAAAATTGAAAATGAAAGACGTATTGAACGACAGGTCAGTATTTTTTTTTTATTTTGTGCTGTGCTTGGTTCTTACAATTTTATCTCTAGACTGATATGTGTTTAGATTTAATATACATGTGTATTTTGTGTTACATATACCTAATGAAACATTTGAATTTCTTCATAGATCCAGAAAGAAAGAGAATCAGAGGGAGATCAATTTGCAGACAAGGAAGTTTTTGTAACTTCTGCTTACAAAAAGAAACTAGAAGAAATGAGTTTAGAAGAAGAAAAAGAAAAAAGGGAAGAATATCTAGAAAGTATTGGAGATGTGACAAAACAACGAGATTTAGGTTTGAAAAAGTTATACACTGTGTAAAAAATATGTCATCTCTCATGTTTCTACAGTGCTACTTGAAAGATATATACAGGGTGTGTCGTAAATAGTGGTCCAAAGCAAAGTTCCTACTACATGACTAGCCGCGCTATGAAACCGCTGGGAAGGGGTATCTTTGTTCAACAATAGCTTTGAAACAAATAGACGTAGACTAATAAATTTACAATCGTTTTATAGAATAGCTCAAATACTAATAATGCAATGCAAATTAAACATACCTTAACTACCCGGTTTTTCTTGTGTTGTAAAATAATTGAAAAAGAAGTTAAAAAAGTTATGTTTTTTTCTAATTAAATCCATTCTTACTCCCTTAAAATGTATGAAACTTGTGTCTGTTTTCTACTTCTACTTATAGATAATTTTATTGGCTATCGCTGATATAAATATTTGCTTATTAATGTTAAGTTATCCATGCTTTCACTTGTTTTTGAACGAAGAGGTGAAAACTAAAAATTAAAAACTTAAAACTTTGTAATTTTGCGAGAAATGGGTCAAGCCCCAAATGGCAATGCCAGATTTTGTATGGAAGTCGAACGTCTTTTTTTTTTCGCGCGGCCATTGACCAAACTTTGTTTTTTGATTACAAAATAGTGTGATAAACCAAACTTACTATGGCATGTATACCTCTAAACTCAGTCTGAACTTCTAATGCTCGTAACCCAGTTCAGACTGAGTTTAGAGGTATACATGTCATAGTAAGTTTGGTTTATTACACTACATATTTATTTTGTAATCAAAAAACAAGGTTTGGTCGATGGCCGCGCGAAAAAAAGACGCCAATTTCCGGCAGTCTTTTGAAGTATTTTCATCGATAAAATTGTCCATAGATTACGCCCTTAAAGTTTGATCACTACATGCCCGGGTCCACATTGTATAGTTCTAGTGGTGAGGAAAAAACAGATTGATCTTAGTATTCTTTAATTTTTTCAGGTGGATTTTATCGTCACTTGTATGAACAGAAGCTAGGAGTACAGAAACCTGTTGAAACTGAGGAAAAACATGTATTAAAAGAAGATTTTAAAAAAGCCAACAAAGATATTGAATCTGGTAAAAAGGATAAGATTAAGGATGGTTCAAAGAAAAGAAATTATCGTAAAAGAAAATCTTCATCAGATTATAAAAACCACCTATCAGAAGGAGAACTTGAAGATTCAGATGAAGAAATCAATCGCATCAACCTTGATGACATTAAAATGGCTAAAAAAGCTAAATTAGATAATGCAAACTTAGATGCTGATTCTGACTTTTCTATAGATGAATCTAGTGATGAAGATGAAAAAGTTGAAAAAAGTGAAAGCAAAGGAATTAATGAAGATGTCTTTAAAAAACCAGAACCAATTGAGAAAATTGAATGTAAGGAAAAAGTTGATGAAACTCCTGATACACAACCAAAAGCTGTAACTAAAAAACCAAAAGTTAACATTTGGCAAAAGAGAACTGTAGGTGAAGTGTTTGAACAGGCTTTGAAAAGATATTATGAGAGAAAAGCTGCCAGAAGTTTAATGTAATAAATAAATAAAAAAATACTATAATAACACATAAATTGTACTATTATTTACTTCTGTGATGATGTTATCTATCCTACAATAAAGAAGTAATTGAGAAATGATATTTTTTATACCTCTTACTTATTTAGGTAATAAACTAGGTAGGCGAGATATTTTTAACCCTTTTCTTGGCATTGTGCATTTAAAGATACGTTGACCAAAACAAAAATATGGGGGAGAAACCAAAAACTATTTTCAAAAGTTTTTTTTTTTTTTTTTTTCTTGGCTTTCGCGGTTTGCGTTTAGCCACAACGGTGTGGGAGAAAAGGTTAGGAAACGTTTAGGTAAAAAACAAACCGAAGTGGAATACAAAAAAGGATGAGGATCAGGTTGGAAGGTGAGAAGTTGAGTATACAAGAATAAAATATATAAAGGATAGGATATTAATTAACAGTTCATTAAATACTTTACAAATTAATTAAAGTTTAATATTATTTAAAATTAAATACTCAGAAATACANAGGAATAGCTTAAGGTTTTGTAGTAATTTTCATTTAAATAACTAATTTCTACTAACAAATAAACCATGTTTTAATTTACTAAAAAGCTGGCAATGTGCACTTAAAGATACATACTATATTTCCAAAACTACATACCTAAGATTTTTTTTCGTATTTTTTACATGATTTTTACTCGTCATAAATCCAATATTTATAGTGCAAATCACAAATATTAACCAAAACCGTCGTTGCCAAGTATAGGGTTAAATGACGGTTGGCAGTTAATAGTTATGAAAGGGAGAAGCCATATGTACCATCGCCAACAGTGTTAACTATCCATTGCCTGTCATGTCGTCTCGTTCTATCGCAAAGAATCGCCATTTGATGAGAGCGAGAGCAAAAACAGAAATGGATAGTTAACAGTGTGGCCGTGTGTACAACTAATGACCCGAACATGCAATCAATGGAGGTTTCCAATTTTTTTCTTTTAATCAATCTGGAAAATATAAGTAAAACTAATAATAATTGTGAAAGAATCATAAAAATATCTCTACAAACAAAAAAGTTACAGGGCCCCAAAGTTGCATATAACAAATATTTCACGCCATTTGATCGGTGTAGTTACGACAGTCAATCAGTAAATCGCCCCTGGTCAAGTGCTGTTGAATGATCCAATTTTTTAAAATCTAGTAATTTTTATAGTGTTTTTATTTTTTTAGCAAACTAGTCGTATCTCAAACTAATTTTTCGAAAATTATAAATAACTTGAATAAATCGAACTGCCTAAGGCGGGAATTGAACCCACGACCTTCCGCTTGCCGGGTGACTGCTCTTCCAACTCATCTACTTAGACACTGGATGAACCCGTCGAAATTTTCGCCCTAGGCAGTTCGATTTTTTCAAGTTATTTATAATTTTCAAATTAGTAGTTTTTAATTTTTCACTCAAGTTTCTATCTTAGTAAAATTTTGTAACCTTTTTTTAACATATCCCAGACCTGAGCCCCGATTACGGTAACTTTTAACGTCTACAATCCAGACGCGTTTCTGATTCTGCAATACGATTGGTCAAAACAGCTGACGTACGCTGTTGAACGACCATAAAATCAATGACATAATATTATGTCATTGATTTTATGTCATGATAATAAGTTAGTACCAAAGTCACTCACTAGATGGCGTTAAGAAAAGTCCAGTTTTTTTTTAGGGAGTCGCCGTTCTTCTCGTCGGGTTAGTCCCAACGGCCCCGGTGGATCTGCCCCGTCAACGGGGTGGATGGGAAAAAGTGTTTCAACGACCCCGGTAGTCATAGTCTTAGCGTTCAACGGGGTGGATGGAACACATCAAGTGTCAACCACCCCGGTATATCGTTTAACGGGGCGGATGGATCAAATCAAGTTTCAACCACCCCGGTATTTCACTAAACGTGAAGGATGACACAGATCTAAAAGGTTCCACCTCGGTATTGCATACCGAAAATAAAACCTGTTAATAAAATTAAAAAAAAATAATAATCAGTTTTATTTAACAGTCACTGTTTAAAAAATCTTCAGCATAAAAATAAGTTTAATTGTTACAAAATATTATGGTCATAAACCTATATAGATTACATTTAGAATCACAGATGCGCAATTGCATTAATCAGTCAATATTAATAACACTCTAATAGTCTAATGTCATAAAAATTAACTCCAAAATTGTTACAAAATATTATTATTATTCAAGAATCACAGATACTTTGATTGATGAGATTGGTGAAAAATAAAATCGAATAAAGAAGATGAAGAATTTAATTTGAAGAACAAGTGAAATAAATCGAATATCGGAGAATTTTAAAGAAGACAAAGTGAAAATGGAAAATATGCTGGCTGCCGGGCGTAGATGGTGCCAGATGGAGGTTTGGTGATGTGCTGGGCGCTGGAAGAGTTCGAGTCAGATGTTGGTTAATTGCTGGCTGCTGGGAGAGTTCGTGTCAAGGTGATGAGTGCTGCCGGGTGATAAAACTCGAGCAAGAAAGGTATTATCGGAAACATCAAGTAATATTAATTTTACACTTTAATCGGTCTTCATTGGTTAATCAATTAATAACTATCGTAAAGTTTCTAGATAATTTCCTACTGTCATTTGGCTATTCAAAAATTCCTTTGTTTTTTCTATAATAAAGTCGTCCCAAAGTGAAGACTCCTGTAAACGATTACACTGCTGAGATACTGACAGATTTTCTACTTGTTTTGAAATCACTTCATAATAGGAGGAGGCTGAGCAGTGTGTTTAACAACTCTATGATATTCGGTTGCTTTTTTTAATTGTTTTATTAAGCTTTTTGTGCCACGCCTCAAGCATATTAGTAGTCCGGTGTCTCTCTCCGAATACGCACCAGATTGGAATAAACTCGTCAGTAAAAAATAAACTCGTCGTAAAACCACTGACTGAGCATATATTTGCGGAAAAGCTTTCTTTTTCCATCGTCAGGGCTCTGAGCAGCTTTGTACCACCAACCGTTAAAAATTTGATTTTGAGGCAAATGAGGCAGTACAGCACACTTGGCAAAATCAAATTTTTAACGGTTGGTGGTACATAGCTGCTCAGAGCCCTAACGATGGAAAAATCATGCTTTTTGTTGTTATTATTTGTTAGTAATAGTAGTTTAAGAGTTACTTTTAATTACATTAAAGTGTTTATTGACTTATTAATGTTATTGCGCATCTGTGATTCTAAAACTAATCATCATAATTCGTTACCGTAATATTTTTATGTCAATTTTAGAATACTTTTTTTCGTTATTAGTGATTTATTTAAGTTGTAGTTTAAGTTCTATTGTTAATCAACACCTCATTAATGTAACGACGTGTCTGTGATTCTTAAATAATAATCATATGATTATTATTTAAGATTTTGTAACAATTTTAGATTTCTTTGTTATTATTTGTTAGTGATGAGTTTTAGTTTTGTCCAGTAGTGGACGTCTTTTGGCTGAAACGAAACGAGGAGTTTTAGAGTTACTTTTTATCACATTAGACTATAAGAGTGCTATTGACTGATTAATGCAATTGCGCATCTTTGATTCTAAAAATAATCTTTAAGTTTAACTGATTAATGTAACTACGTATCTATGATACTTAAATAATAATATTTTGTAACAATTTTGGAGTTAATTTTTATGACATTAGACTATTAGAGTGTTATTAATATTGACTGATTAATGCAATTGCGCATCTGTGATTCTAAACGTAATCTATTGGTTTATGACCATAATATTTTGTAACAATTAAACTTACTTTTATGCTGAAGATTTTTTAAACAGTGACTGTTAAATAAAACTGATTATTATTATTTTTATTTTATTAACAGGTTATATTTTCGGTATGCAATACCGAGGTGGAACCTTTTAGATCTGTGTCATCCTTCACGTTTAGTGAAATACCGGGGTGGTTGAAACTTGATTTGATCCATCCGCCCCGTTAAACGATATACCGGGGTGGTTGACACTTGATGTGTTCCATCCACCCCGTTGAACGCTAAGACTATGACTACCGGGGTCGTTGAAACACTTTTTCCCATCCACCCCGTTGACGGGGCAGATCCACCGGGGCCGTTGGGACTAACCCTTCTCGTCAGAGTAAATATATTCTTTGATTAGTATACAGTGTGAGTCACGTTAAAGTGTACATATGAAAATAGATGAAACTAGACCTATTTTTATCGACAAAAAAGAGGTGAAAAATTTTTGAGATTTTTTTTAAATTTTTATAGAATTTTTTTTCTTCCAATTACTTATTGTAAAGAAAACGTAATAATTTTTAAACTAAGCGGTATATCCTGATAAAATAAAAACAGTAATAATGCTAAATAACAGGCGATACTAAAAAAATACATAAAATACACAAAAAATGCCAACAAATAATAAAAAATGATACTTTTAGAAAAAAATCTGCTTAAAAATTCGTTTTTTTTTGTTTATTTGATAAATTTCTCCAAAAAATGCCCCTATAACCGGTGGTTTTTATTGTTTTGTATTATTCTCTATCGTATTACCTTTGTAAAACCAAAAATTGCATGTCTCTATCCCTATCACAACATTTGCTATGATAGTTTGAACAAAGGCATACCACAACATTATTCTCCTCTACAGGTAGGGACAATTTTAATTTTAACTAAAATGCTTATTTTTCTTCGAAATCTTTTGTTTTTACTTGAAATCTAACTTGTCTTTATCAAAATTACAAATCTAGAGCCATTTTCAGTTTCGTTGTTAACGAAGCGTTGAATGGCGCGCCCGGAGAGGCTTAGTTCAAACGAACATAGCAAATGTTGTGATAGGGATAGAGACATGCGATTTTTGGTTTTACAAAGGTAATACGATAGAGAATAATTCAAAGTAATAAAAACCACCTTTTATAGGGACATTTTTTGGAGAAATTTATCAAATAACCAAAAAAACACGAATTTTTAAGCAGATTTTTTTCAAAAAGTATCATTTTTTATTATTTGTTGGCATTTTCTGAGTATTTTATGTATTTTTTTAGTATCGTCTATTATTTAGCATTATTACGGTTTTTATTTTATCAGGATATACCTCTTAGTTTAAAAGTTATTACGTTTTCTTTACAATAAGTACTTGAAAGAAAAAAAAATCTATAAAAAATTAAAAAAAATCTAAAAAATTTTGACCACTTTTTTGTCGATAAAAATAGGTCTAGTTTCATCTATTTTCATATGTACACTTTAACGTGACTCATACTGTATATCATTCTCGACAACGCGCCAGGCAAGGGGTGGTATGCATTGTGGTCACGGCACCGCCTATGTTTGAGTTCCACGCGAAAATATGTGGTAATTTAAATAATTAATTTCTCGGCCATTTCTTGATGGATTAAAAAAAAAATCTTCACCGTCTATTTTAATCCCATTCAGTGAAATACATAATAATGTTTTCAACATCAGGAAACTTCTCCATTATATTATTTCTTGATATTGTTTAGTTAGTTTGCAAAATTCACAACGGATGTCGGAAAAGGGGCTATGTCAAAACCTATAACGTAATCACTTCTTAAAATTGAAAACACAAACATAGTTAATGTTAACTTTGTTAGTTCTGTAGGGCTCCAGGTTCTTGCAGCGCCATTGAAGTTTGTAATTAATAGACTGAGACTGAACAGTGTTCCTTGAAATTCTCACATTTATTAGAATGAGTTTCTGGTAAATTAACTCCAAGAATAAATCAAAGTCTTTACAGCATATTTCGTTATTTCTTTATATTTTTGAATCCTAAAAATTTTATGAACGATGGTGGAGGTGAAAGGGTGAAGAAATATTTGAAAGTTACTGTTATTTTTTTTTATTTTTAAAATTATTTACATGTACTTTAAAGTAATAAACACTTAATTTTTGTTACACCACCACATAATGGGCCTTGCAGTGAACTGAAAGAAAGAAGAGCATTAGTTAGTATTAAATTATGAAAGCTTGTACCATATCACAAAAGACAAACAGCTCATACCAAATGAGGTAGGTTTTAACTAAGTTTTCTCTATACAATGTGTCCGGGCATGTAGTGATCAAACTTTAAGGGCGTGATCTATGGACAATTTTATCGATAAAAATACTTCAAATTTGGGGCTTGACCCATTTCCCGCAAAATAACGAGGATTTAAGTTTTTAATTTTTAGTTTTCACCTCTTCCTTCAAAAACAAGTGAAAACGTGAGTAACTTAACATTAATAAGCAAATGTTTTATATCATGCGATTGCCAATAAAATTATCTACTAGTAAAATTAGAAAACAGACACAAGTTTCATACATTTTAAGGGAGTAAGAATGGATTTAATTAGAAAAAAACATGACTTTGTTCACTTCTTTTTCCGTTATTTTCCAACACAAGAAAATCCAGGTCGTTAAGATATGTTTTATTTGCATTTTATTATTCGTATTTGAGCTATTCTACAAAACGAATGTAAATTTATTAGTCTCTACGTCAATAAGTTTCGACGTAATTGTTGAACAAAGATACCCCTTCCCAGCTATTCCATAGCGCGGCTAGTATGTAATCAGAATAGGTTGTGTGATTCTTTCAGGCAGTGCATTTTCGCATGTCGCGTGCGCTATGGAAACCGCTGGGAAGGGGTATCTTTGTTCAACAATTACGTCGAAACTAATAGACGTAGACTGATAAATTTACATTCGTTTTGTAGAATAGCTCAAATACTAAAAATACAATGCAAATAAAACATACCTTAACCTGGTTTTTCTTGTGTTGGGAAATAACTGAAAAAGAAGTGAAAAAAAAAATGTTTATTTCTAATTAAATCCATTCTTACACCCTTAAAATGTATGAAACTTGTATCTGTTTTACACTTCTGCCAATAGATAATTTTATTGGCTATCGCATGATATAAAACATTTGCTTATTAATGTTAAGTTACCCACGTTTTCACTTGTTTTTGAAGGAAGAGGTGAAAACTAAAAATTAAAAACTTAAATCCTTGTAATTTTGCGAGAAATGGGTCAAGNTACGAAAACGGCATAAAATCTGATAAAAATTGCCAAATAAATGAAAAATAACAAATATTGCCACTCAAACAACTCGACGCGTTAGATGACAGTGGATGACAGTTGTGAGATGTCAGTTATCTGTCAAATATTCTCTTAATCTTCTTTTTTGATGAAGTTGGCAATACACGTCGAGGTCGACTTGATTTGTGCCATTTTGAAGTATAGCCTGACCAGGAACATAAAAACCCTCGCCATGTTGCGGAAAACTAATGGTACTAATTTCTTTTAATGGCAACAGTAACTGAAAACTTCATTGACATGTCACCTTGCATGTCAGTCTATTGCTGTCAAAGTGTAAACAAACTTTATTTTAAATGTGCGCAATTGGTTTTATGAATTAAATTGCTAAAATAATTTTTANCCCAAGTGGTCAAAAGGATAGAAAAAATGCTTCAAAATCATTTCGCCTATGCTATGGGGATATGTCTATGCTCCGACTATAAAGAAATAGTGGCCAAAATGATTGCTAGTTTTGGTGTAATGGGTTGTAACATGAGCATTAAACTTAATTTCCTTAATTCGCACATTGATTACTTCCCAGAAAATCTAGGAGCCGTTAGCGAATAACAAGGCGAAAGATTTCACCAAGATTTGAAAGAGCTTGAAGTCCAGTATCAAGCAAGATGTAATACTAGCATGATAACGGACTATTGTTGGTTACTGAAGCACGACTATCCAAACCGGAAATTTAAGCGAAAATCGAACAACCGAAGCTTCCAGAAAAAAAGGACCAGGTTTCACAAATAAAATTTACATGTAATTTAGACTAGTAAATAGTTATCATTATATTTTAGTAGTTTTTTAAGTTAAAAGTAATGTACTTCTTTAAATATATATTTTTTTAAGTGAAAACTTGTGATTTTTTCCTATTTCCTAATCTGTACCTTTTTTTTGAAAAATCTGGAGGTGATGGAGAAAAACTAAGTACATATTCGTAATCAGCGCACCAAAATACCTTAGAATCAGCTATCAAATTCCAGAGAGGAAGTTATGACCCTCATTTTGCAGGCCTGTGTAATGTTTTCAACATCAGGAAACTTCTCCATTATATTATTTCTTGATATTGTTTAGTTAGTTTGCAAAATTCACAACGGATGTCGGAAAAGGGGCTATGTCAAAACCTATAACGTAAACACTTCTTAAAATTGAAAACACAAACATAGTTAATGTTAACTTTGTTAGTTCTGTAGGGCTCCAGGTTCTTGCAGCGCTATTGAAGTTTGTAATTAATAGACTGAGACTGAACAGTGTTCCTTGAAATTCTCACATTTATTAGAATGAGTTTCTGGTAAATTAACTCCAAGAATAAATCAAAGTCTTTACAGCATATTTCGTTATTTCTTTATATTTTTGAATCCTAAAAATTTTATGAACGATGGTGGAGGTGAAAGGGTGAAGAAATATTTGAAAGTTACTGTTATTTTTTTATTTTTAAAATTATTTACATGTACTTTAAAGTAATAAACACTTAATTTTTGTTACACCACCACATAATGGGCCTTGCAGTGAACTGAAAGAAAGAAGAGCATTAGTTAGTATTAAATTATGAAAGCTTGTACCATATCACAAAAGACAAACAGCTCATACCAAATGAGGTAGGTTTTAACTAAGTTTTCTCTATACAATGTGTCCGGGCATGTAGTGATCAAACTTTAAGGGCGTGATCTATGGACAATTTTATCGATAAAAATACTTCAAATTTGGGGCTTGACCCATTTCCCGCAAAATAACGAGGATTTAAGTTTTTAATTTTTAGTTTTCACCTCTTCCTTCAAAAACAAGTGAAAACGTGAGTAACTTAACATTAATAAGCAAATGTTTTATATCATGCGATTGCCAATAAAATTATCTACTAGTAAAATTAGAAAACAGACACAAGTTTCATACATTTTAAGGGAGTAAGAATGGATTTAATTAGAAAAAAACATGACTTTGTTCACTTCTTTTTCCGTTATTTTCCAACACAAGAAAATCCAGGTCGTTAAGATATGTTTTATTTGCATTTTATTATTCGTATTTGAGCTATTCTACAAAACGAATGTAAATTTATTAGTCTCTACGTCAATAAGTTTCGACGTAATTGTTGAACAAAGATACCCCTTCCCAGCTATTCCATAGCGCGGCTAGTATGTAATCAGAATAGGTTGTGTGATTCTTTCAGGCAGTGCATTTTCGCATGTCGCGTGCGCTATGGAAACCGCTGGGAAGGGGTATCTTTGTTCAACAATTACGTCGAAACTAATAGACGTAGACTGATAAATTTACATTCGTTTTGTAGAATAGCTCAAATACTAAAAATACAATGCAAATAAAACATACCTTAACCTGGTTTTTCTTGTGTTGGGAAATAACTGAAAAAGAAGTGAAAAAAAAAATGTTTATTTCTAATTAAATCCATTCTTACACCCTTAAAATGTATGAAACTTGTATCTGTTTTACACTTCTGCCAATAGATAATTTTATTGGCTATCGCATGATATAAAACATTTGCTTATTAATGTTAAGTTACCCACGTTTTCACTTGTTTTTGAAGGAAGAGGTGAAAACTAAAAATTAAAAACTTAAATCCTTGTAATTTTGCGAGAAATGGGTCAAGCCCCAAATTTGAAGTATTTTCATCGATAAAATTGTCCATAGATTACGCCCTTAAAGTTTGATCACTACATGCCCGGACACTGTATAAGTATCGTATATTATTGAAATAAAAATTAACTCTTTATTTTGGATTATTTCACTGAAGAGATTTATTTTTCGGGTTCCGTCTTTTTCACACTACATTTTATACATAACGAAAGTTAAAGTGAAAATTACCAATAAATTCTGAAACGGGGTCATTTTCTCCTTCTGCTCTCATTGTCCCAGTAATTTCTTCATTTTCAACCATCGGTAATACCAATTGCACAAATTCTGGCGTGTAAGGAGGCGCTATTGCATCTAAAACCTGAAAATTTACAATGTAGATGGTATTGCAATAAGGTGCACATTAAGCCTGAAAATGACCAATGTAACAAAATTGGGACAATTTATGCATTCATAAAGGTGCTGATAGACTTGAGCATTCACTTGTAACAGAACATCGAGCATTCGCCGTTTTTATATTTGTCGAACTGAACAACGAGCCGTCCAAGCATAGAGCCAAACATTGCTATGAACGTTTTCATGAGCATTCTAGTGAACGCTCTAAAATAACAAATACTAATTATTTTACAACACACTGGAGCTGGAGAGCAACAGGGTTGCGGGGAGGGTCGTCGCAGAGCGGCGGGGCGCGGAACGACGACCGAAGCTTGGCTCGCCAAATAGCTCGAAGCAATGCTCGCTAGAATGCTATGCTAAAATATTCTCGTATTTTTCTTTGATGTAACATTCGCACAAATGCTCATTACAAGTGAATGCTCAAGTTTATCAGCACCTTGAGAGATTGAAAACAAACTATACCTCAGTAATAAAATATCGAATCAAGGAAATGTCCGTATCGCCACGCTGCCAGCATTGCTTGATGTACCGTAGTACGGGCACCACGCAGCCACGACTAAGCAGGTTCACCATACGATCAAGAAGCATTTTCTTTAATTGAAGCTGAAATAAAATTTGAAAAAACAATTGATCCACCATAATATTGTTAACTTTTTTTAAATATATGACGTAACTTGAAAAGGCTATCAAACCTGAACAAGAATTTCTAATTCGTCTTGCGGTGATTCGAACAATTGAACGAGCAGCCACAGAAGTCTGTGATGAAGTAAATGATGACACGATGCGACCTCATCCAGGAGTGCTAGATGAACGGGACAATGTTCAGTGCAGAGTTTGAAGTATGAGGGTTCAGTTACTACACATTCCACCCACACCAGTACTCCCATACCAACGACTGGAAATCTGCGACATAAATATTCATATTAGGATGAGTTATAGGGGTTTTTAAAATTGTAAAAGAAATACACGGTTCATTGCTTGTTTGTACCCTTCAATATCTATAGTAATGTTTCGTCGTTACCTTATACAGTGATACAAAGTAGGAAGTTCCGCAATCAATTCGCTGGAGCTAGCAGAACTGCTACAAACGGCGTGGACTTTTTCAATAGCCTGTACAGTAGCTTTCAATTCATCTTTTACTGGACGTCCAGGCGAATGCCCTTCGCATACACTAGCAGCATAGGCTAACAAGTACATGTATTTGGATTTGTGTTCTGGATTTAACTTGCTGCCTAATTTAAAAAGCGCATCGACCAGGAGTTCTAAAACCAACAAAAATCTGCATGTACAAGCACAATATAGCATAACATAATTTGGATTTGTTTAAAATAATTATTAAACTCTTAATTCAACATTAAATTTTGTTCATCTTATTGATTGTAACTTTTGCCCGCATCACCAAGAGTCTGTTACAACAAGAACTCTCATTTCAAACACCGGGATACTATCCAACTTTTATGGGTTTAGTGGTAAAAGGTATCAGACAGATACAGAGTAACAGACTTTAGCATAAATGTAAATATCACGGGCTTCAAGCCAGACTGTCGTATAAGCAATTTTGAAACACCAACTTATTATATGGTTATTGTATATTACAACAAGTTACATAGTAATCCGATAAGCAGATATTTCCTGGGCCATATCAAGCTTTTGTATTTATGATACGTAGGATTTATTAATATTAACTATCCGCATCGTACCTAGAAACTGGGGTATTCTTAAAAGATGTACTGGCGGTGGTTCAGGCTGCGTGTACGCGCGGAAGAGCACGGATATGTCGGCGGGGTTGAGCGCGCCGCGCGACAACATGGCCGCCAGCGCCGTGCGCGCGTTGCGCCAGGACTCGCCCGCTGTCAGCGCTAGTGTTATTGGAGTGACGTCATGGCCGCTGGAAATAATAGCACGTTATTTTATATTTCATTTAACTACTAATTTCCATAGATATACAAGAATATTTGTTATTATATTTTATTCACTACAATGTATTACAACCACTAAGCATGGATTCCACCAAAGAAGAGTAAATATTGATCTCAGAATAAATCGTCACTTAATCAACATTTTAACATATTTCCCATACTGAAACTGCCAATGTGCCAGTTATACCTGGAGTTATTCTCGGATAAAAGTTTGGTCGAATCATGCCTAAGAGTTACCGCCATCATTAATGATTTGAAATTTATTTAGACATGTTAAAGATTGCTGATGATTTATAGGTACAACATAGAACGTACAAGTGATGACACTTAAATAAGATACAAATTTTTAAGTATTAAAAGTACCTTTGTTGAGCACATCGAGTAATTTCTTGTCCCAGTCTTTTCATTATCGCACCACCCCTTGGCTCTTGAGATAAAATGTGCACTATCACTTGGCTGTATACATAGGTATGAGCACCGTGACAAACCATTTTCTGAAAGTAGTTTAGATAAACTTAGCAATAATCATAAATTAGAACAACAATTATAAAAACTTTGCCACAGAGCAATAGGCCAAATGAATATTAGTTTAATCCTTCAAGGCCCGCGAATCTAGACACAATAGATAATCAATTGTTATGGCATTAATGTATGCCGTCTGGGACTTTAAAGGTTAAATGCAATTTTTTTTTTCTTACAGCACATTCATTAACACTATTTTGCCAGTCATCTGAACTTTGTAAGAACCCAACAATAGCAGATTTGAGGACCCTCGAAAATACTTCAATTTGCTGAGCAGCTGTTGAGATGCTTGTTATTTCTCCTTGGAATCCTGCATCAGATATTAACTGAAATACAAAAAAAATGTTATGGACTTATTTTAGAGGATAATTTTTATGTTAGATGCATTTTTATAGATGGAGATTTATTTACTAACCTTTATAGTGAAGTTTAACATTAGACAATCAGGATATTCTTCAGCCAAACGATATATCAATGACCGCCAAGTTGGATGTTCAATCATTTCTGTCAGCCATGCGGGTGTCTATACATAAAAATTTCATTAGATGCACTTAGTTTTAGTCTTAGAACACAACAATATTAGCTCTATAAGCTGGCTATGAGTACTTGTAACAAGCATAAAAAGCTTAAACCTTCTTTAGCTTTAGCAACAAAACATAGATTTTATTAAATGCAAGTTAAAAGCAATAACTTTGATGTTAATATTGACTGACAATTCAGTTTTAGTAACATAACTAGCTTTTGCCCGCGGCTTCACCCGCGTGAAATTTAGTTTGTCCCAAATCGTCGAAAATTATAGCCTGTATGTTATTCTGGGTTATAAACAATAATACTGTAAAGTTTCATCAAAATCCGTTCAGTAGTTTTTGCGTGAAACAGTAACAAACATGTTGACATCCAGACATCCATACAAACTTTCGCATTTATAATATTAGTAGGATATACCTAAAAGTGTTTTTTTTTTATAAATCTCTTCTTAGAATTTATGATCAGTTTATCAAACTAAATAAATAAATAAAATAAATGAACTATCATACTCTAAATTCTACATACTTCTCCTTCTTCTGTAAATATTGTGTCTGCTTTTTTAGGATCAAATGTTTTCAGTATCATGTCCTTCAAATGATTTTCGACCATAGCTTGAACTTCTGTGACTTTAACACCTAATGTAAAAAGAAAAATAGATGTAAGTAAATAATTACATAGGCAGCGCAAAGTACATAACCATATTTGATCAATAAAATTTACCTCCAAGTATGAGCCATTCTGCCAACAAGTTTGCCATTTGAGCCACTGCGCTGTAATTTATTGATAATTGCTCAATTACTTGTTCCGGATTGCCTCCAGCTTGGAAATATCGTTTCAGTTGGCCGAATATACCAGGTTCCATGATGTAGTCTGGAGTTTTGAATTTTTCCAAACATTCTTGCAACACTTCTTCTGGATTTTCAATAATATCATCACCACCTTCATCCTGAATAAATAAATGATTGGGAAGTGTTACATTAACGTTAGAGAGTGCTTTAAATAATGGAAAATTGTGGAGCACAAGTAAAACATTCCCGTACTTCATAATGAGGATGACTTGATGATTCCCACACACGTTCTTCTTCGTATTGGCTCGGCATTGTTAGTGAAGTTACGAAAACGGCATAAAATCTGATAAAAATTGCCAAATAAATGAAAAATAACAAATATTGCCACTCAAACAACTCGACGCGTTAGATGACAGTGGATGACAGTTGTGAGATGTCAGTTATCTGTCAAATATTCTCTTATTCTTCTTTTTTGATGAAGTTGGCAATACACGTCGAGGTCGACTTGATTTGTGCGAGTTAGAGTAAGCGCACACCGTTGATTTTTCGTCGACCGATAGTTTAGTCGGGCTGTTGATCAGTATGGGCATGTATGGGAGTGCGCACACTACACCGATTCGATTTGGCCGATTCTTCATACAATTTGAAATCGGGCACAACTATCGGCCAACTAAAATTCAACGGTGTGCGGCCGTGTGCGCCTACTCTTAACAAAATGAGATCAAGTAATGATATAATGAAGATGAAGGATGATAGATGATACTCCTTCTCACCATTGAGTCTCAGTAAAGTTGTGGTGCTTTACTGAGACCTCCTATGGACAACTTGAGAGAACCAAAAGAATTACGATGCACTGTTCTGCTTCACTCGCCCACACTCATGCACGTACATGAACACTTAATGGTTAATAATCCACCATTATTACACATTAACAGTCGCCCAAACACGAATTTGAGGAAATAAAACAAAACCGCTAACATGACGCTTTAGTCCAGTAGAATTAGCTTTTAAATCGGAAATAATTCCTACAAAAGATTTGATTGTTTTAATGGCTTCATTGGTTGCCTATTAAGACTCTCCTAAGTTTTCGACTTCGACGGAGTTGTGCTTAAGTGGTGGGGGCCCCCGAAAGAGGCATTTTTTCGGTTTTCCGGTTATACCGCGTAAAGGACTTACCCTATCAAAAAGTGGTCTTCATGTCGGTTGAAGGGCACTTAATCCTGCATTGAATAAGACCAAATTCATATGTTTTGGACAAACCGTTCTCGCGCTATAGTTCGGCAAAGTAGAAAATATACGTATAATTAATGACCCTGTCCACGTCCAATGGTTTGTTACCCACAGGCTTCCAATTCTTGAAAAGGGCCACCTCAACCAGTGTAACCCTATCAAGGCTTACGAGCTTGATGCGCCTATCCTTGTTCGTCCCAGCCGTTCCTTAACTGCGGTTGCTGCACCTCTTCCTGGCACTCACCTGAACGACTCTGTGTTACCTACTGTGGCTGCCCCTCTTCCTTGTATCCTCCTGCATGACTACATTGCCTAGCCGTATGCCTGGTCTAAGGTTCGACGCCAAAAATCAACAACAACAAGTTCATATTAAAACGCTGAAGAGTTTTTTGTTTGTTTGTTTGAACGCGCTAATCTTAAGAATTACTAGTTTGATTGAAATCATTATTTTTGTGTTGAATAGCTCATACATTGAGGAAGGCTATAGGATATATACAATCACTCTACGACTAATAGAGGCGAAGCAGTAAAGAAAAATGTTGCAAGCACGGGAAATAGTATTTAAACTATTTTCACTCGTACGAAGTTGATTTTGTGGCGTCGAACCTTGGACCAGGCATATGGCTAAGCAATGAAATCGTACAGGAGGGTACAAGGAAGAGGGGCAGCCACATTAGGTAACACAGAGTCGTTCAGGAGAGTGCCAGGAAGAGGTGCAGCAACCGCAGTTAAGGAACGGCTGGGACGAACAAGGATAAGCGAATCAAACTCGTGAGCCTTGTTAGGGTTACACTGGTTAAGGCGACCCTTTACAAGGCTTGGAAGCATGTGGGTAACAAGCCATTGGACGTGGAGAGGGTCATTAATTATACGTATATTTTCTACTTTGCCGAACTTTAGCGCGAGAACGGTTTGTCCAAAACATATGAATTTGATCTTATTCAATGCAGGATTAAGTGCCCTTTAACCGTCATGAAGACCACTTTTCGATAGGGTAAGTCCTTTACGCGGTATAACCGGAAAACCGAAAAAACGCCCCTTTCGGGGGCCCCCACCACTTAAGCACAACTCCGTCGAAGTCGAAAACTTAGGAGAGTCTTAATGGGCAACCAATGAAGCCATTAAAGCAAACAAATCTTTTGTACGAATTATTTCCGATTTAATCAATTTTTGTGTTTAATTCTACTGGCCTACTTCAGATTCCCGCCAAGAAGTCCGTCTCAAGTGTCAATCAATCAACACATCGGAGTCGTTTATAGCATTATTCAGTATTTATTATTATTACCGTCACGTTGATGGTATGTAAAATATCGTCGACGCTGCGACGTTTTTATGACGTGACGCAGCGCAAGGGACCAATGGGGTCTCACCCGAATTATGCCCTAACTGCGCACCTGGCAGCCATGACCTACAGAGAACTGTCACACCAAACTCAATGATAGGGGGGCGCCACCATCGTAGTTTCCAACATGGCAAAAAATCGGAACCTGCGATCCGGTCACGGTAATACTATCATACAGTATTGTAACTTCATATAAACGGACGAAACGCGAGCTTTCCTTCGAAATTCAAATCTCGGTATGCGCTCGACATGCAAAAGTCGGGGGTGTCGCGAATGTGCCACAGTAATAAACGGAAGATGTGTTGTTTTTTAAACAGTAAGCGCTCTTTTTTATAAAAATAATTACAAGCATCTATTTATACAGAGTGTTAGGTAAATGGGTTTTATAAGCCGACACTAGCCCATGTTAACATTAAATGGTATGGTGAAGTCAGTGATATCATCATATTATTTTTTGAATTTTCATACAAAATAAAATTAATAAAATCAGATTGGTACTAAAAATTAAAATTATTAAAATGATGATATAATTTTTCTGACATCACCATACCATTTACAGTCGTGGTCAACTAATTAGGGACGTTATACACTCAGCGGCACGGAATTTGGCCCAAGCCTAAACACCCTGTTATGAAGCCAAATAGGTGTTGTATACCTAAGTTTCGTGTGACATGTTANTTGGCATCCAGAAAGGTAGTTATGTAAATACAAAGGAACAAATAAAAAACCAGTAAATTTTAACATTTCACATGTGATAGATAGATTTTAGTGCTCTAAATATCGATTTTTGAACGTCAATACCTAAAGAACCGTTTGAGGTATATTTATGAAATTTGAAGCTGATGTATATCTTGCAAGTCTCAATACATGAGCCAAATTTGAAGTGTTAATGCACAGTACTTTTTGAGTGATGAGGAGTCAAAAGTGGCTCCAATTGGTTCGTCTAAATATACGCACGGTGCAGTCCCCTCCCTGGAACTAGGCTTAACATGCTCCCGCATGTCTAGAATATTAGCTCAATGTTGATTTAGTCGATTTTCTCCTGATGGAAACATGTAAGACAAAAATAAAATTTTCAATATTACAGACCTTCTAGAGCAGATGCCGCGAAAACTATACAAGATGTAGAAAAACTTCACTATCTCACCTGTAGCAAATTGAATAAGCTTTTTTTGGTTCATAGTAGTCATGTCACTAGGACGCATAGTTTCCGAGGATTAAGCGAAAAACCGAAAAGTGGTACCTTTAAACCGTAATTACTTATTATACCTAAAGTACCTACCTACATATTTTATGTTGTACATTACTGAGGATTTAGAATTTTAGGGGATCAATCTGCTAAGAAAAGAAAGATTATTTCGCGCTACTGACTTCTGAGGTCCCGGTTGTTTGAACCTAGTAACTATTTACACTTACGGCTCATTTTGAGCCTCATTAAAATGATTTATGTACAATAATCATGATTCTACTTATTACTTATCTCGCGCACTAAGTACACCTACAGCTCACTCTTGGTTGGACTGGTCTACTTTTTAGCTTTTAGAAAGCCCATATAATGAATTATTATATTAATAAAAATAAGAACAAATTTAGGCTATCAAATAGTTTATTTATTACTTGAAATTTATTTTAACAACGCAAGGAAATATTTTCTATCCATTACAGATATTCAATTAACAAAATAACTTACAGCTAATAGATATTATGAACATTATTAACGATGTCCCTATTGTTGTGCTCCGCGTGGACAATGCTTAGCATGTAAGAGTGTGACCATGCATTTAAATTGAGGGTACTAAACGTATACGGCGATAAAAAAATAATTGCGATACGAACCTGAAGGTTTTATAACATGGCATCTGCCTTTTAAAATAGGATCCATTTCAGTTTTATTGATTTCAAAATTAAAATACCCGAATAAAATAACTACCTACGTATTAAAGTAAAGAAGGAAAATGTTGTTCAAATCTCTAGCAATTGAAGCACCTAGTGCTTTTAGTAGTAATAATTTTATAAATTGTCTACATTTAATAGTTAAATAGATCGTCTTGCTAACGCATTATTAGGTATACTAAATGTAAATTGTGTTTAGATACCCTATTGTCTACCCGAATCGATATAAGTACCTTATGAAACGATAATGATAAACAATAAATTGTATTTTTGATTTATTTTTTTACAAATTACCTATCCCGTTACAAAAAATGAAGTCCCTACCTAATTAGCTTATAGAAGCGCATGTTTTATAAATAACTAAAAAGTTGGGTAATTATCAGGTAGTCACGATTACCAACTGCGATCCTTATGGAAGTGATTTAATCTTAACTAGACATTCGTTCCTAATTTGTAGATTCTTAATGCACAATAATAAAAAATCTAATAGGCAACAGTAGGTCCCTTTGTGTATTAGGTATAGGTTAATAAAATGGTATAGGTAGACAAATCCAAGTGATGTGGCTATAGGCCGCACTAAAAAACCAGGAGCTAATAATGTAAGGCCAAAATTGGTTCCATTTTATCGAAAATATACGCTATTTGCCTTGATTGATTGTCTAAAGTAAGTTGCGTTCTGAAAAGTCGCGTGTGTGTAGTTTCATTTAATAGAGATAATACATAGAGCCTATCTGCTGGCGTGCTCTATATTAAAAAGTAGTATAATCTTAAAGGTATTTAATATTATGAATGTCAGGCAAATATTTACCCTGCTTATTTATTAAGAAACTTCAAGTTTTTGAAAAAATTGGTTCGATTGAAGGACGTACCTAAAATGAATTACCCTAATAAGTTTGTAAATAGGTAAGTAGGTAGTATAATTTGTTCATTTTTGTTTCTGTTATGTAAAAGAAGATGTAAAAATCCGATTAGATGACAGGTTACCTGCGATGCGAAAAATAAACAAAAAATACAAATTATAAACTATCATGACATAGAAAATTGTTAGAGCTGCTTACTGACTTTTTAGTATTAATGCTTAATTATGTTTTTGTAATTAAACATTAGGTCGTATTAATTGCACATGACACTTACTTGAACCATTTGATGCATTATTATTATTTTGTATCATGCTAAAACAAAACTGAGTTTTGTTTATTATTGACATCTTAGTTAATTTTCAGATGTTGGTATTTATTTATCTAATTAAGGATATGCTTATATTAATTATTTCATTTGGTACGGTTATGTCAAGTGTTAAACTTTAATTAACTACTTAACACTTTAGGCACAATATTTATTGGAGGATATCATTAGATAATGTTGTATTTCTTTCATGCCTGACTGCCTGATCGCGTATTGAATGCAGTGGGTCCTAGGTTCACGTATGAATGTGATGGGACGCCCTTAGAATCCGTTGTCTCGTAAGTAACTCATGAGGACAACAATGATATTATTTTATATAATATCATTGGAGGACAATAAATCTTCTTACATCGAGCGTGATGAACTTTCACGAGTGCATTCAATTTATTTATGAGCCAAAAAGATGAGCCAATCCTCTAAGTCAAATATATAGGTAGGTAAATAAAAAGCTGTGATTAGGGCTATTCATCATACGAATATATTTATATTTTGGCTTACTTTTGAAATATCATTATCACCTATTTTATTTAACCTATTTTGTTATCATCATCATAAAGTGATATAACCTATTTACTCGGTCCCAATGCATCACACTTTACTTTAGTTCCAGTTTTCTTTCTGGGTAGAGGCAGTTTTAAGTAGGTATTATATTATTATACAAGTACTTATTGTTTTAATAGTATAGATAAGTATAACATAAGATAATATTATATCTATTTCACTAAACAAAACAAATATGTAATGTGGTTATAGAGTATGACTTTATGGCATGGTTAATTAAAAAGATCCTCTGAAAAAACTATATTTGTATACCTACTAATAAGCCAATTGGCAATTGTGAAATCAGCAGTGGCTGTAAGGACATAGAGTAAATATTCTCTTTTCTCAAAATATGTATGTCTTTCCAGCTTCCTAGGCTACACTCACACTTGACATATTCGTACCAAAGNTGGCCCACCAAAGGAATTACAATCCAACAATATAGGTACTTTTATGGTCTTAAAATATTTACAACTTAATAAATATTAAATTATTATTTCTTATTACCTAGGTATATCAGAAGCCTCTATCACAAGATGTTCGATTATTTGAAATAGGAGTAGATTTTTTTTAACAATGAACTCGAGGATACATTATGTTGCTTCAACATCAGATTCACCTATCGTGGTGAACAGCAACTTCTTGAACTGTTGTCATCGCAACATTAGCTAAGTATGTCAAAACTCTACATTTAAGATTCTGAAATCTTGAGTCGGATTAGTCTTGGTATGTTTTCTTGAAGGAGTTTCATTTAAAAGTGTAATATAAGAGCTAATCGTTGTGTTACTAAGAAAAAAATATCGCAATCATCGTAATCCACGTGAAAACGATTGCGATAGATTCATTAGAATATCGTCATCCATTCACTACTTTCAATATAATCGAACAGTCATGATTTGAAACAGAACAAAAGGGGAATTCTCATAGCAACTTGTTATAGTGTCCAGTTCCTCCTGCGATTCTAATACTTACATAATATTAATTCTCTTAGTCATTATTTTCATTGTTGACGAGAAATACCCTTTTGATATTTTAAGCACCTATTAAATTAAACAAAAAATAAGCGTAATAATACTTGAAACTATCTATTTATATCGTAACTATTTTCGAGTCTTTGGTCTTTATTTTATAATATAAAACGAATGGAAATCGATGATACTTAGTTTACATTAACCATAATTATACTCGTTGTTTAACTATTTATTGGAGCAGCACGTAACACACATAACTAATCAATATACTCAACCACACTAAAACTAATGATTGCTCTTTGAATTACTTAAGCACCTATCTATTAATGTTTTTAAACGATATACATTATTTTTGATCGAGTTTGAACAGCGTTTTTGTGGTCAGCATTGTGCGCAGGTTGTTGGGATCTGGAATCCCACCTCTATGGAGGTAGGATACTCATTCTGCATTTTGAAGTTTTAAATCTGGATTTAGATAATAGTTATAATAACGATATTGACGTTCTTAAATGTGCGATATTGTAAGGGTGTCCATAAGATGAAATCCGATATTGTTTCTCATTTGTTTCTACGTAATTTTGAATATTTTCAACCCTTAAAGATTAAAAAAATATCTTTCCGACACGTTGTACGAGTATAAGCAACTTAATATAGTTTCAAAAATTCGTTGATGGTCAATTATTAAACAAACGAAAAATACTGTTATTATAATTCATAAGTAGGTAAGCACACAANGCACACAATAATAATTCATAGGCCATTATTCGGTGAAATTGCAATGACCTACATCGGGTAGGCACCTTGTTTACCAGTTAGTTTATTAGGTACTTACTTAACAAAATACCAAATCCGTTTATTAAGGTAGTCTTTGTGGTAGCATGCAGTTTTTTTTCAGCTTGTGTGAGTCAGATAATGATTTTTTAGTTAAAATACTTTCACTTTTAAAATTGTATTTACATTTACTTTTAATATAATGTTTAGGATCACAAGGGAGACAGCCCAGTCGTCGTCAGTCTAGCACTTTCTAGTCTTAATACACAATCGCAGAATTGTAGTACTGAGCAATTAGTCCACTGAAAATATAATTCACTGTATTTTATACCTAACAGGGTACATGAAAACAATGAAAAGTTATGTTTCTTACTTTTTTATTTTTCATTCTTTTCGTTAAAGACATTACTGAAAAGCAATACGTCACATAGCTTGCTACGAACCGGTACCTCATTAGGAGGTAAGTGGTGGGTAAAAAAATCAAAGAATATTTTGTTATTGTTAGTCTTCTTAAGAAAAAGAGTCATAATATACGTATTGTACCTGCCTGCCTTATCTAGGCTTAGGTATTTAATATCATTTCTATTATATTATTACTGTCATCATCTCATATCATAATATGTAGGTACACTGCTGGATACCATTACTCATAATGTCAGCTATTTTACAGCGGTCTCCGCATTTAACGTTTTTCCGTAACCACAAGATGCATCATGTACCCTATCAGGTCTATAAATTTTTCCATCCCTGACGTACGTTACAGTTTCTGGAATATAAAGTGCTGGTTTGACGTCGGCGTGCGCAAGTTTCACGCGTCTGGGTGCAGCAGGTGCAGGTCGACGGCGACGTCGCGGCGCTGCGCGCGCACGATGCGCGGCGCGTGCGCAGCGTCGCCGAGCAGCGCGGCGTCCTCGGCCAGCGAGTCGCCGGAGCCGTAGCCGCGCTCCTCGGCCGCGTCGGGCTCGGCCTCGCCCTCGCACCACGACGCGGAGCCCGTGCTGCCCGACCGAGACCCCACGCCCTCCGCCTCGGTCTCCACCTCTACGGAGCAGCTCGCGCACACCTCTGAAATCCGTCACACTTGATGTACCACTTTCCTTTCGTTTCGAACTTACCCACATTGTATTCAGGACTTGAATAATACTAAAGCCTGGTCCGCGAGCACGTAGAATTTTGTCCAAAGACCCCAAGCTACCCATCCTTATCGCTCGCGCGTAATTATGTTGCTGTTGCGCTTGCACACTCACAGCGGGCGCCCGTCGCACAGTCGCAACAGCAATATAATTACGCGCGAGCAATAAGGATGGGTAGCTTGGGGTCATTGGACAAAATTCTACGTGCTCACGGACCAGGCTTTAACCATCAGTACTTCTGTGGTTTTTACCGTTTTATGTCTAAAAGGGACCGAGCTGTGTAACGTAAAAATTATATCGTAAACATAATTAGAAGACACTGTAATGGCGGAGAAGTTCTGCGTTTTATTACCCATATTCACTTGCCCAATGCCCAATAAAATACATGTGGGAAGTGTCTGGTTCATTTATCGTAGATACCTACATTACTTTTCTAAGAATCTATAAAAAATAAATTATGTTGTTAGAGGTTAACAAATTGGTTGGTTAGGTAAATATGTTTACATCGCTTTTATAAGTTAGGTATACGGACTTTATATTCTACTAGGACTAGTTTAGAATCGGTTTTAAAAGTCTACTAGCTCAGAAATCTTCCATATTAAAATATGTATTTAATACAAAATCTCAACACAAAGAATTGTATAAAACTAACAACTCAAACAAAAGTAGCCGCCGAGGCAGGCCGAGTTGGAGGTCTTAATTTTCTCGCCGGATTCGCACTAGCCCGAGAGCTTTTATTGATTTACCGATTCCTTTTTTATGGCGCTGGGATAGTAGTTAAGGGAAACAGATGTAGGTAGCAGCTTTATTTTATTTTTGTGACGGACCTATATAAAATACTGGGTTCCAGTATTTTCGCTTTTTCTGTAAAGTTTACTAATAAAACACCAATAAAATACATTGTCTTCATGCTTTCGATTATTTTATACTACATATAATCAAACACCATACCTACGAGTAGGTACGAGTAAGTCCTTGTAGGGCTGTATTTCAGTGACAGATTTTACTAACAGAAGGAAAGGGTATCGCTTAATATTTATTTATCAGTAACATTTCTACATACTCATAAACGTTACTTCTACTTCACAAAACATGCTGAGAATGATAGGTGTTGAAAAAATTAAGAAAACGAATAATAGTTGAGTAAAATCAAGAAATAATTAAAGGTCAAGTTTAAAGTTGGAAGAAAAGTGTTTTATCTTTCTTGTTTGATTGATCAAAAATATCCTCGTGTTGTGGAGTAACGTTACTATAAAAATATGTAGGTATTTATGTTCAATAGCAATATCGCTTTTCTTCCACGTTAAATAAAATATAAAATATTTTACGTATGACTAACGGTAATGCATAACCTATTTCACTTTAAGGAAACATTCTTCTAATCGAAATGAGTAAAATTGCATGAATAATCATTTTAAAAGACAAGGCAATGAAGTTTTATAATCGTCATCATAGTAAGGCATGATTATTTTTTTTTCTGTAAAAATTGTTTCGAATTTAGGTAATTTTCTTCTGCGATGCAGTTTTACTAACTTGATCATTGTATGTATAAGCATTTAGGAGTATTGTAAAAGAATGTTTCTAAAAGTGAAATGTATGACTCATAGTTTGACTATTATGTAGGTACGAGTATAACTATCATTTCAGTAATGATTTACAAAATATATAAACCGCATTATTGTGATCGGAAGTTCCAAATTTTATTTAACGTGTAAATAAGACTATTATCAAATTATTGAATACGTAGTGTAGTATTGCAACTTCTCTTGTTTAATACAATAAAAATTCAAAAACAGAGATAGGCATACACGAAAGATGAAAAAATGTAGATGAGGAAAAACTAAATACAACACCTTTTTGGGCACATTACATTGGGAGGAATAAATATAGGGATAGGGACGACACGGGGTGGAAAAGAACCACTATTATAATAACATTCCACACATCGATAGGGGAAGGAGAAGGACTCACGCAGCCGGCGGCGGCCGATTAGTATGGGGCTCTCCCAAGTTGGCGGTCAGAGAGAGGTCGACGACGAATAGTCTTCATAAGATGCTGCAATTTTGTAATATTCGCATATTTATACCTATGGCAACGACGTGTAATTGGTTAACTATCGCATAATTTACACGCTACACATATAAAACAACTATTACAAGGTGAGTTAGGTATTCATATTTTTCATTGTCTCTACTGTGTTTTTACCATCGTGTTTGTCTGTTTACAATGCTACTGGTAGTCATTTATTTTTCATTGGTGTAATAAAAATTGTTAATGTTCGAAACGTGCGTGAAGGTGTGTGGCTATTATGTATGTGGTAACACACAATCATTTCCTACTATAATATACATATGTGAATCTGGAGTTAATTTGGGTAAATGTTCATAGGTTGTCCTACTATTTTTTAACGTTTTGACTTTGAAATGTAGATTATAGGAAATTATCGTGTGTTTCCATTTTGTAAAAGGGTTAGTTGATAATTATCTGTGTTGAATATCATTCCAGAATGTTATTTTTATGATTTATGAGATTTTTAACATCATTAAATATTTACTAGAGCTAATCTAACTAAATGTAGAGTTCGAATGTCTATAACAAACTGAAATGAAATCATCCGTTGACTGTGTTTTTCTAATTAGTGTGAAATGATGCGATTGTTAAGTGAAATTCATGTGTACTAGAGATAAATGCTGGTAAATGAGAGTGCGAGCAACTATTCGAACCTGAGCTATCCGTCGCTAATCGCGGGGGAGTGTCCTCGCGGTCCGTCGGCACCACTATAACTACTTCGTCGTCTCGAGGTGACTCACCATTTCGACTCGATGAAGTTCTGAAAGTATTTTTTTAAATTAGTTTCAGTCTGTTATAGGTTTCTGTTAATACCGAAATATTCGGAAACACGAAGTTACTTTTATGTATTTTTTGACCTTGAATAATGAGCTTCAATAAGACGAGTATGAAACCAACTCATAAGAGTGTTTAAGTAAAACGAAATGCATTTCAGTTTCAGCCATTAATTTTGCTTTCAGTCTAGAATTAGTTCAGGCTGTAGCGAGGAGCTTTAGTGGTTACGTGGTTTTTCCAACCGCAAGGCATGTCGTACACTTGTTGTATCTCGTGCAACCAAGTTCATAAATAATATGAAAGTAGGCAATTATGTATGTAACTATGTATGTATATGGTTATTGAGAGTCTCAATTTGAGACCCATCTTGTAGATTTTTAGTAATATACAAATTACTTAAAAGTACTTACTTTACAATGACTTTTTTGCGCATAAATCTGGTGCCGAGGTCGGAGTAGCCTCTGTTCATGGGCCTCTTGTGCGGCATGGGCGGCGCGGACGCCGGCGCGGGCGGCTCGAAGGTGCGCGACACGGGCGAGTTGGGCTCCGAGCACTGCTTGTCCGACAGCGACGGTCGCACGCGCAGCGCCAGCGCCCCCTCGCTCGGAGCAATGCCCCCACCCCCACCTCCACTTTCACTACTGTTCCCTAACCTCCTTGAAATTCTTCTATCCTCCTCGTATAATTCTAATAAATGATCCAACTTACTCTCTATATCGTCTACCTGAAATCAAAACACACACTTGGTCTAACTGTGTCATGCACTTTAGTCATTTTTATTTACGTATTAAAAGATAGCACTTACTTGTCTTTCAATTTTAACTACTCTGGAAGCTAGACTGATTTTGGATGCATATACGTCTTTCGCTTTCGATCCTTGCTTACCAAGTATTTGATCTAATCTGTAAGGTATGAATCATATTAAGCATAATGAATACAAAACAGTAATTAAGAAACTAGGAATTAAAAATACAGGTTATCAAAGCAAATACTAATCAAGTTAATAGTTTACTTTGACGCTCTATTTTGTGTTTTAAGGTGAGATGTATTTACATTAACTCTATAAAATAATAAATAACACTAAATATTTACTTAAAACATTCGAACAACACGAAAACATTCCAGCCAGAACGTCAATTTACCCACAAAACATGGAAACAATAGAATCAGCATTCAAATAAGACTAATATCAACAATATTCAATTGTTGTTCGAAATAACTGTTTATTACGTCGGATACTATTTTAGCATCTGTAATTAATCATTATGACCAAAGTAGTTGAGCAATCATTGAATATCTAGCCAGATATTAATAATGCAAGATTACAAAGTAAAGTTGCTTAGGGCAAAGAGAATCTGCTTCTTATTATAAAGTAAGATATAAGTAGGTAGACAAAAAATCAATTAAAAAAGGATATTATAACAATTAGTGCTAGTTTTAGCAGAAAATGCTCATTACTATGATCATGTTTATAGTTCAAATAACAATCAAATGTAGATACAACAAACAAATAACAGCCGGTAATTGTGATATGAATTTTGATATACATTTATGTATAATCGTAGGTATTTGCCTAGAAAATATAAAAGCATTGATGAGCACATCTGCTTTTGTAAGGTAATTAAATTATGTAACGACGTAATATGATAAAAGTAATGCACATTAATTAAAATAAAGTGTACTAACTATATGTATAGATAGTGCCTACGTAGAGTTTAGCTGTCTCTACATAAATATACAATAAACATCCACTCGAACGGCTACAAAGCATGTGCATTGTGCAAACCGAGAAATCGTTTAAGAGAAGATGACACAGTAATCTTTAAAAAACAATGTTTGCCACATTTTTTGGTTTATTTTAATAAAAGATTTATTATCACGACTGTCTCTTCTCTCAGGTGTCAATAACAATACCATGCTGATTGAAGTAACAATATGTTGTTGCAATGAGAAGCCCGTGATGATGGAAAGGTCAGATGAACCTAAAGCTGTCTAAGAAATCAGTGCATTTACATCTAGTCTATTTTAATAATAAACAAAAAGCATGGCGGAGTTAGTGTCTAAAAGCATGATAGACTGAGATCTACGTTTTAAAGCTTTAAGATAATTTAATGTTATTATTTAACGTTAGTGGTTTACGAAAATTTATTGAAATTATTTGCACAGTTAATGCAAAATCGATAGGTAATGATCGTACTGTACTGCATTCCAACTTAGATATTCAGTTAACGAGGCACGAGTACCTACAAGCAATTTTGAACAAAAATCAACTATTAGTAAAATGCAAAGCTAACTGTAAGGTAGGCACGAGTAGGTAAGTCAGTGTCATTTGTGGAAGACTGGTATTGATTAACTTATGGCGTAGCTACTTACTGGAAAAGTTAATTTTCGTGATAAATTTAGTTTTATGCAAAAAACCCATTTATTTTTTAAGCAAACAGGTTTCACAGTAATAATGGCAAAAAATAAGTAAAATATTTAAGAAACACTTCTACAATACTATATCGACACATTTTACTATGGCATTGTCACAGAATTAAACATTGATACGAGAAACACCAATAAAAGTAGTTAAATATAATCTACATGAACAAACTATCAAATCCACAGGTACGGTCCAGTAATAATTTGTTTCTATTTATCTAGTTTTGACATTATTTGCCACCTGTTGCTGCCACTGTACCGGATATCACCCTACAAAGGCCAATTAATGAGTATATCATTAGGTTAGTGAATGAATTTTGGGTAAGGCTGACAGTGTTTTGTAGTTCAGCGTGGTAAGTGGCTTCCACAAGAGGCGAGCTGATGCAGGTGATGAAGCGGGTAGGGCGGAAGGCCGGCGGTGCGGGCGCGCGCGCCCTCGTCTCGCCTCACCTGTACTGCAGGTTCTTGGTTCGGTTTAGCAGATCAGCGTGCCCCGAGGAGTATTGTTCTATCACGTCTTTCACGTCGTAAGGTTTCAACGCTTCTCTAAATCTCTTGCGTGCCACAAAATACTTGAGCTACACGGAAACAACACAATAGGTGGTTCATCAAAGCCAAACTAGTTTTGTGTCGTAATTTGTAATTATACATATTTATTCATATAATCAATGCCAAAGATGAGATGACCTAATCGGATAAACGTTACTGCCAATTAAGATAAGACATGTTTATATCTGAAGACGATTAGGAACGCAATTCAATCCCATTCGCTGGCACTAGTCGGAATAACGTCGAAAAGGCAACCATGCATACGGCTGGGGCACTTAACCTTATAAATAATTACTAGGTTTATAATTTATGGCGCTTTTATATAAATTTATGATAGTGATTAAGTACTGTGAACTTCACGTGAAGTAATGTAAGCAATTATTTACTACATTATCCAGGTATAAGAATAATTTCGATGTAAATGTTGTAACTAGTTGCTGCCTTCAAGTGAAGTTAACAGATTTTTAAATATATGCAATTAGGAATAGCATTGCACACACACTAGCTACATAAAGGGTAGATATTAGGTTGGATGCCAACTCGTCTACAGATCACATTGCAAGACATAGGTAGTAGGTACAGTCCAGACATAGGAAGGTAAAGAGCGCATAATAAGTAAATGTGCAAGTGAGTGAGGGATCGGGCTGGAGTACCTAGTCTGGACGTTTTTCACTCGGCCCAGCAGGTCGACATGCCCCGCGGAATATTGCTCAATTACATCCTTTACGTCGTATGGCTTTAGTGCTTCCTTAAACTTACGACGAGCCACAAAATATTTCATCTGTCAGAATTTTACAATACATACTTATTATAATGAACAACTAATCGATATCTACGTCTGTATATTAATTTATTTCTAATCCCATTACTTATTTTTAATAGCTTCAGCGATAGCACTTAAAATATGAGCTTTTCCGTAATTATTCCAACAGGAATGTACGAGTAAATTCACCATCGCATTAATATTATTTTCTTATTCAGGAGGTTCCCTGAATTTCTTATTGTTATTGGAAGTCCATTGTAATTTGTAAGAACGTATTGACAACGATGTTGGCCGCTCTCCGACCTATTTTCAAGTGATTCGAACAAAGGTTAAAGTTCTAACCGATCCGAACATTACAAACAGTATAATTAATTCACGAGACCGCAATGCCTACCTCTTTAATTCGCTCTATTAAGCAGTTTAGTTGAGAATAATTTCGCACATTATGTTTGCATAACATGTTTTTAACAGCTTACTTATGTTATGAAATGTGTTCATTAAGAATATAATAAGTTGGTACCTATTATTCATTTTTAAATAACCAAACCCAAATTGGCAGATCTAAGATTGTAGCAAAAAGTTAATACTACGCCGTAGTCTTGGGTCGTAGCAGTCGTAGACGTTGGTGCTACGCCGTAGCCGTAGTACTGCGCCCTGCTGAGGTCTATTTTTATGTACGTCTACACTTTCTTTTAATATTTTTGTATGTATGTATATTCATACGAAAAATCTCATATAAAAAGCGCTTACTAAAGATGCGTATATGTCACAGATTTTCAAATCAGTTATTTAACCTAAAGTTTACTTGGTATATTCAATATTTTTTATGTGCCGAGCCAAAAGTTAGAGGAGAACGAACGAATTTTATATGATGTTACGTGTATAATCTACACAATCATTCGTTAAACTTTTACATTCGATCCGGTTTGACGTTCTTGAAAAGGGATCAGAAAAACGAGGCTAACAAAAAATAATATAAAAGTATTTAAATTATTCGCGTTAGAGTACTAAATCTGTCTATTTTAGATTACGTTTCTTACTTACTGTATGGTACTAATTACTATACTTATTGTTATTATATCAAAAACATTTATAAATGTATAATCGATTGTTTCTCATATAAATATCGTACTAAACTTGTAAACATGTTGGTTTATTTTATGTTGTATTGAAAGTCATCGTGGCCTATTATTCCGAATTGAGATCAACTATTGTTTAAAAATATTCAATGTTTGTTGTTGTAATGCTAAACAGGATGTATAAATATTTTGTACATACCTTCCTTATAAATCGAATGGCGGCTTTATGGCGCGGCGTTAACGTTACGCAACGCGGCTCCTCATCTTCGTCTGCACAGAAATAGCACATAAAACAATAATATACATAACACAACAACTTGGCTGCAATGTTTTGAGATAAAAAAATGCAATTTAACTAAGCATTGTGTGTAAGACTTTTCTTATACTCTTGAAAATAACTTGTTATTGGCACTGTAATCAATGGAGTCTTGCCAGTCAGTTGCCAGAAAATAATAATTAAGCTGTTCTTTTTCTTTTCCTTTTTGATTTAATTTACATGTATACGTTTCTTTAGTTAATTATTACAAACAAACTAAGTACTTTTTCTGATAACTGACCTTCAATTATGACTTGTTTGGTATATTTTATGTGACTTATTGATGCATGATTATCATGGTGTGATTGCTTTTTATGTGCTGTGATGTCCAAAGTACGCTTACTGTGCAGTATCTTTCGGTAGCCCACGTCACAATAGATAAAGTTTATTTAGTATTCAGTTTAGGTAGTAGATTACAAAACTTTGTCATTGAAATAAACAAAAACATCACGTTGAACTTAGTTGTGTGTATGTAAATTTGTTATTGGGATCTCTGTCGACCTATGCAGGTTAATTTGCATGGGATTCGAGGGAAACTTTTCCTTTTATTATAGTAAAGTTTAAATGAGAGAAAAGCAAGTAAGTTTAAGATTTATAACAATAGCCATATTGAAAATTAGGATAACATAATTGTTAGGTCGTTTTCGGTAACGTAACAGTATTTTATTAGCTCACATTATAAAATAAATAAAAAAGCTCATAAAAAAAAGTGTAGGTACCCTTTATAACTTTCAAACATACCTATTTATTTAGTGTTTAGTAAACATATTTATTTATAAACACGTTGATAGTCGAGGACGGATAGACGTTGAAGTAATCTAGAGTGAAAATCTTAACTTGGCAAACACTGTGAATGACGTAACGTATTCTTCAGCACTGTTACAATATAGAGATGACGGGTTAAATATGTAAGTATCTAAAGCATTAGATCAGGTTCCATGGCACCACTACCAATTAATTGAAGTCGTTATTAAATAATATAATAATATAGAAATTGGAATAAGCAAGCTTATCCGATTGGCCATGACTGACAAAAATCCGGTGGCCACTGCTGAATCTTGCAAGCCTACAACCAAATGCCCGCAATTCTATCTAGTTGCCTGATGGCTCGACGATCATAAGGCGGTTATTGCGGTAGACGACAGAAGGTCAGGAATATGTGCAGTTGACATCTCTTATGTTTTCAGAAGTTCTACCTTGCTGATAGTATACTGTTTTGTAGGTAAATCTCCATTTTGCATAGTTAAATACGATGGAGAGGAGATTTTCCAGAAAGTGCCGGGATGGAAATGCCATCGGCACTCAGGTACAATTTATAAGTTTAATCCTTTTATATTAAATTAAAAGATTCCTTAAAAATTGTCGTCATTCACAAATAATTTAAACAGTTTTCTAAAGCATCAGCTGTCATAAAAACAAAGTCAGACTGTAATCACTGTATCGCCCACATACCACAGTACCTACCTACTTTACATCCTGAATGATTAGTTTCTGATCATAATCTTTAGTATTATTCATAAATAGACAAAATACGCTCAGTTGTTAAATAAAAATAAATTAGATTGAATGTTTCCCGACATTATTTTTATCCTCAAGAAGCTGAGCCATATACGAATCTAAAATGAACTGACAAAAGCATATTTTGTAACTTTATAACTGGGTATGAATTTTTGGAAAGAGTCAGGAAATATGACATTCATTCATTGTTCTCTATTTTTGTTTGCGAGAGGATATGATTTTAAAACCTTTCGCGGTTCCTTATGAAAATATTTCATTTAACACCTATTACTTAATTCATCTTTTTCTTTATTTGCCTGTAAGTATTTGAAGATGTTCTATAATAATATTTTTCCGTACCTACGATCTTTGAGACACATTTTATAGGAAGATGCACCGCAACAAACACAGTGTCATGCCATGACTTGAAAAACATTAACTTCTAAATTCGGGTAAAAACTAATTTATTATTCAAATAGCAGGTGCACGCCAAAATTAAATTATACTGAATGTCCATCACCAACATAAATAGCATCTAGTCTTAAGCTAGTTTAATCAAACTTTACTAAACTAACTCTTGAAGTTGAGATAAGTCTCAAAACGATGTTTACTTATGTATGTGGTTTAACAAGGTAGGTACTTTAGAAACAAGATTATTAATAATGGATGTAAAATGATGAGATAGTGATTACATAACTTTAACGATTTGTCATACATATGTTACGGTCAAAGTGATAAATGTGAAAATTATGAATAATCGCCGGTTATTATGACTAATTACCGCATGATTTGGTAAATGTAATTAATATGAGGTCATTTATGTGTGTATAAAAGTAAATAGGCGGCTTAGCACCTTAACCTATTTTTCACTTTTACAAAACATTATGTTATAGGCATCATGGAAAAGTAATATTATGCAAGAAACATTCCAAACTCATTATGCCAAATTATATTAATATATGATATCAAAACGTTCAAAAGTTTGGCTGTACACGACCACNAGTCAGTGAGTGACAAAATTAAGTAACTTTGACCCGTTATAATTCTTAAACTACTGGTTCAAATTGAATGAAATTTTAAATATACCGTGTCTTTACAATGCCTGCATAGCTAATGAAAATTCAGCCTTCTAGTTTTATCCACAACGAAGTTACAGGCGGTCGAAAATGGCCTGAATTGCTTCGAGAAAAGGATGGTCCGGCCGTGCCGCTTTTTTGCTCGACTTGGTGGGGGCACTGCCGTGCCCCCAGATTAATTTATCACTTTTACCGCGACTGTCGGTAATTATTCATAATAACCGGTTATTATTAATAATTTTCAATTTATCACATTAACCGTAACACATACATTATATTAATTTCTTTATTTGTTGTAAGTATACCTTTTTAAAAATGTAACTATTTTTGTCCACGGCGCGTTGCGTAGGTACTAGACTAGGGTGTAAGTCTATGCTCAGTATTGTGACTAAATAGTCGCTTAAGTGTAATTAATATTATCGAACGCAGGCAACATTTCAGTTGATATTTTCGGTCGTAGCATAAAGTATGTCAGTATTTTTCAACGCATTTATTCAGTTTATCTTCTTAAGGTATAAAATGTTTCTTAATATGATATAGTTTCAATAGTTTCGTCATTAATTTATGAATTGTTTAACCGTTCATAAGTTCCTTAGTTGGCAAAGTCTCATTTCTACTAACTCACTAGTTGACTCGTGTTTCTGAAATTGAAGCGATTCGTGTGACTCTATCTACGTCCTATGGGACCTCTAAGATTAACTAAGGTGTACACACTTGCATATACATAATTCATTTAATATACTCCACACATTCATAATCATAAACCTATAGGATATAGGTATCAAGGGTCTCGGTTAACTTTTGGCAGATTGCATGCTTTATGAGTGTTAGTTACTACTGTGACTCTGTGAGCAAAATGTTTGTTATAAGAATTAATGATAATAAATTCGAGAGGTTTTTTTTTATTTATTAAAACCATTCAATATAGGTACCTACATATTTTTAAATAGGTACACACTTATCATATTCATTTTTTCAGACATTATGCAATAAATGTATTACTATGAGTATGACTTGTGATGGATCATTCTTGAAAAGGCTGAAATTCGCCAAAAGATATTAGATTTGATTTATGACGAGGATCAAGGCATGGTAACAATCTTAAACTAAGTGTAAGTACTCGTATAATAACTTCTTACACATGATACAAAGATACATTGATGATTTTTAAAGAATAAAGTCTGAGTCATGGCTTAAAATAGCACTAATGACTAGTAGGTACTTAAGGTGGTTTTATGTCGAGACTAAGATCCGAGTGACCTAAAAATATTTGCATAATGGTAATACGAAATAATTATGTTATATATATTTCAGAAGGCTTGTTAGTGACATCATCAAACTGCTATTAAACTACGACATTGCTTGTGCTTGTGCATACATTTTTGTACTCTTATTTCTAGCAATAATGCTGAAATAATTTGACTGTAAGAAGGAGGGATAATCATGAGTTTTATACATCATGTTGGAGGTAGTATTCTATTTCTAAAAGATTCATGTACGTGAAGAGGTTTTTGATGGTTGAAGAAACTACGTTGTTAATTTAATTCAGTGATTATATTTAGACATACAGGCAAAATAAGTGTTTGAGTGATGTATTATACGATAGCTAGATAATCAATCCACACTATGTCGATACAAACATACACCTAAAGAAACTACTCAGAAGCCACAAGAAGAGCCAACAGACAGACAGGTTTCTAGGACGGAAATGCTATTTAGAGTTCACAAGACATGCCTCGGAGGCGTTCTCACATCTTACCGTCGGAGTTTTTCTTGGAGAGTGATGTCTCGGCCACCGAGTCCTCGCTGTGCGAAGGGTTGACGGGCCGCGGCCGCCCGACGCGGCCGGGGCGCCCCGTGGTCGCGCCTGCCAACCCACACAGCTCACTTCAACACCTGGCTCAACCTCTCAACCCCGTACCTTTGGACCTAATATTTTCTGCATGCTTACTTTATGATACCTAAACCTAAAAAACTCAAGCTCACTTGCTGTAATTCACTGATAAGAAGTAATGTTGTGCCCATTTGTGGACTTTTTGATTGGCTTTGATTGTTTTTTTTTCATTAAGTAGTTAATTATTGAATGGCGTGTAATGAATTCAAAACTCAATACTAATGTGCTTTTTTCAAATGTTGTAACTTTCCATTCCACAAAATACTGATAAACATATAGATATGTATCTTTTACTATAAAAAACTGACATATTTTATCAAAACAGGACTATTATTGTTGAATTATTATTATGTGTAAAAAGGGCAGGCGGAAATCACTTTGTGGGACATATAATAGTGTGGAATGTGGATTCTATTCACGTCCGTACTCAAAAAAGCCAAACAGTACGTAAAATACATCAGACATTTTGTGAAATAGAAATACAAGCAACTGTTTGATGACCGTCGTAGCAAAAAATGAATATGTTGAAAAAACTGTTGACTTATTTTGAATGTTCAACTTCAGGCTCCGCTTTTCTTCCTAAGCCACGAATCCGCCTGTCTGCCTGTCAGTCTCTTGTTTTTGTAATGCAAATGCGTAGAGCTGAGTCTATTGAAGAAGGTCACGCCTTTTATTTGAATATCAAAACTGTTTCACTTACATCAGAAGTATATTATACTTTTAAGTTTAGCAAATGATCAATTTAATACAAAATTGCTTACGTTTTTACCAAGTATAACCGACATTAAATGGTATTTTCTGCGGATTACTTTATTAAACGCTTTTTGAAATGTCACTTGATGCAAAATGGCTTTGAATAATAAATTCGCCAGATGAAATTTACCCTGCCCTATAGCTTATGCTAAGTAGGATCCGTCTTTCATCTTGTTCCATATTACAGGGTTCAAGAAAAGATAATGGGTTGTTTTTATTTTTCGTTCTGATTTTCTTCGAGTAAATATAATACTTAATTTATTTAGATGAAATTGGTTATTTACACGAGATGAAAAAACCATTAAAAGATTTTTATATTATTATAAGTACCTATACTTATAATAATATATTCGGACTTCTTTAGTAGTTACTTATTCTTGTGGGATTCTTGTACTGCACTAATACACGGTCAATACAGTGTGAGTCACGTTAAAGTGTACATATGAAAATAGATGAAACTAGACCTATTTTTATCGACAAAAAAGAGGTCAAAATTTTTTTGAGATTTTTTTTAAAAAAATTATAGATTTTTTTTTCTTCCAATTGCTTATTGTAAAGAAAACGTAATAACTTTTAAACTAAGCGGTATTTCCCGATAAAATAAAAACAGTAATAATGCTAAATAACAGGCGATACTAAAAAAATACATAAAATACACAAAAAAGGCCAACAAATGATAAAAAATGATACTTTTTGAAAAAAAAACTGCTTTTAAATTCGTGTTTTTTTGGTTATTTGATAAATTTCTCCAAAAAATGCCCCTATAACAGGTGGTTTTTATTACTTTGTATTATTCTCTGNACGGTCAATATATGCAGTAAACTACTAGCTCAACTTTAGGTTGCACTGAAGGAACACCTAAATAAGGAGGTCAATGCAGTGGTTGCCATTTAATGTCTCGACAAACTATCGATCGGATTTGTTATCTCTTTCTTGCTTAGGTGCAAACGCTCCTCAATAGCTTTTATTAAGCGTACAATTTAATAACAAAGCAAGCTATATGACTATTTCTTAGATAGGTATTTTAAGCAATTTCAGTGATTTTATTAAGTTTGTTTTGCATTATAAGAAGATCGTACAAATCATTTGTATAACAAAATAAATCAATATACTAGTCCATTAGTTACTTCATTCTTATTTATTACTATCATGGAGAGACTAATAAAAGATAAATGAGTAACTTCGATACTGTACTACAAACATTATATGATAGCAGGAAACTGACTGAGTTTTTATGACAGCACAAGTTGTTTACTTACATCAAAAGCTTTTCCTTTTGTTGTTTTTGTAGTCACGAAAGCCACAGAGGCTATCTAACTTTTATTAGATACAAATGTATTTGCCAAATAACAAGCTATTTTTTGACAAAAGATAATAAACACAAGATCTTATTTTAAGAAAGTTTATAATTCGGTGTAAACGAATGTTACGAGTATTCATTAGATATCATCGAGTGAAATTTTTTTTTTTGAGTAGAACTAAATAGGCCATTTGTCTTTTGTAAGACTGATATGGAAGTTCTAGGTTTCCTTTTTGTTTCATGTTAATTCACTTTTTTAATAAAAAGTTAACTGTGTTACAATTATTGATATGGTTTGAGTAGGGAATTTGTGTTTCGAGCCGGAAGTTTCTTGAAAATGATTTATGATTACATTAAGTTATCAATGTACCTTTAGCGTCCATATAAGGAGATCAAAGGTAGTTTACCTATCGCGAGATGGAATCGTCTAGACTCGTTACTCGCTCTTTTGAGACGGGACGGAGAAAGCATAGTCGAGACGGGCACTAAAGTAATTTCCCTCTAAAAGTAGAGACCGTATGTTGAAATTTTCAACAAAATCTGCTTACGTTTAGAGAAATCTCTTATGAATATTTTATATGTGACTCTTCAAGCAGATGTTCCTAATATAGCAAAATAGTTTATGAAATGTTCGTTGTGTGTCACTGATATGGAGCTGAAAATATATAATTTGACTGTTTTATGTTTGTCAGTCCACATGTACATCTCTTGGTAGAGAAAAATTAGGTATTTGTTAATGTTACATGGCCCTACAGACAAAGGGAAGACAGGCGGACACCGACGTTCCGTTACATCAAAGTGATGTTCCGTGAATGTGAATTTGCAAGTATTGCTGCTAATATGTAATGTATTTCTTTGCAAATTTAAAATACCTGTTTCCTACATTACTGAGGGAAATCGATATTTTACAAGATTCCTATTAGCTAACTGGCATGCATAATAAAATAATGCAAAGCAGTGTAAAATATCATTTATTTTAGGTCAACCGAACTTAAAATACAAGCTTTGAACGAAGCCATTCCAGTAACTTTAGGTTCGCATATCGTCTCATGTATTACTCTGGAAATTCACTGTGTGAACCGGGCTCTATATGCTAAAACTCAGCTGTTGCAACTTCTGATACTTGTAATCATATTTCCATAGTCTACCTAAGCATTTATAATACGCGTAAGCCATCATTATTTATAGAAGCCACCTTGTCAAATGTACGTGAAGCTTCTGATTGCAAGAGGTATTGTAAATTATTTCGAAGCGGAATCTTATCTACGCGGGTGCATTTTATTTCAAAAAGTGAAAAATAGAAAGAAGTAGAAGGTAGGTAGAATGTCAGCAATCGTGTTTCGAGCTATGAACATAGCGATCGTCGCCGGAATCAGATCTCGTTCCGGACTCAATGCTACGTCATCAACATTACTCGTTTTCGTGTATTCACATATTTCTGGAAGTTTTTACTAAAAAGAATTAATAAGAAACGCAGCAGAAGTTTATCGACTGTAACTGGTCATGCCATAGTGCCGTCTAAAAGATGAAGAATAGAACCTTTAAAGCAGCTTTTCCAACAATGGAGTAGACAACACGCACGGTCCCCGCCCGACGTGCGAGCATCTACGGAACAGGGCACAGAACATCACACTCCGCTCCAGAGCACATCTACCAGGAATGCAAACTGTTATGGTTATAACGTACGTGTCGATATTCGAGTGCGCAGTATGTGATGTGATTGATGATGGTAATTTTCCCGACTACGATCGTTTACTCTGTCTATTCATTTCCAATATCCATCTTTGAAAAATTAAGTCAATTTCTTTATCTTCTCGTTCTCTGTTCCTTTTCGTATTCGGAAAATTAATGGAGTGCCATGTTTCCCGAGGAGTCCTTTATTCGACTTAGCTCTTCATTGTTGTTTCTGTGTTGTGTATTTTTGATATTAAAGCCAATTCGGTTTTACGACATTGAAGAAGGTAAGTATTCCTTTACTCAGATTTGTGTTGGTTTTAAAAAAGAAAAACAAAAACCGAAGCTTTTTGCCGACATGTGATCTGCACCGTTAAAAAAAAAGTATTTAGAATATGATGTAATTTATCAAAAGTAGGTTAAGTTTAATGCAATGAATTGAAGTGGGAATGTTACTAATCGCGTTTTAGTTTTGGAAAGTAAATGCACAGGTACGTCTCATAAACAAAACAGAACGAGTACAACACGTAACTGCTACGATTGCACACTAATACGTAAGGTGGCGGTGGGTAATGTGTGCAAACTGTGGGGTGCGGTTGTGGTGGGCCTTACCGAGGTTCTCAGCGCTGGCGTTGACGTCGTAGCGGTGCGCCGCGGCCGGCTTGGAGTGCGGCGCGGGGGAGTGCAGGGAGGTGCTCTTGTGCCGCCGGATCGTCGGCAGCCGCGACACAAAAGACGCATTGTTCTTGAACGACGCACTCATCACCCTGCTGTCAATATACACACACTCGTCATTCTTCGTAGCGTTTTAAGACTTTCGACAAACATCCTTCTGTGTCAAAGGCACATTTTGGAATATGTTTATGGGACTATAGTAGTAAGTTTCTTTTTTTTCCGTTACTATATGTAGACCTTCATGGTTTCTGTATAGTACCTAAATGCATCAACTCTTCTTTATAGTGAAAACTTAATATAAATTACCTTGTTTGTGGGCTTGGAAGAGGAACTTGGTGAATTTTCCATGTGGCGACACTCATAGAGTGTTCATCCGCCGCATAGCATCGCCACAAAGCTTGTATCAAAGTTGCAGCCGGTTGTCTTCTCCTTATCATATGTTTTTGTCGTTGCTGTTGTTGGACTTTCAAAGCGAACCCTGAACCTAAAATACCCTGGAAGTAATGCACGTGATAATAACAATAAAATCTGAGTGAAGTAACGTATTCAATAAGTGGTTCTCACAGCGGGAAGAGCAAAGAAGGAGATTCCGAGCAGCGCGCAAAAGGACGCTATGAATTTTCCCTGCCACGTCTGAGGCACCATGTCGCCGTACCCCACCGTGCACAGCGTGATCTGCAATATACCACTTACATTTAGATATTCACATAAATTCTTGTATTGATTGACTAATTATCTCACACTTGTTACATCTCTACATAAACACAAATAGTACTCACAACTCCCCACCATAGAGCTTCTGCGAAGTTTTTGAATTTGGTATCAGCGACATCTTTTTCAGCTAAATAAACTAAGAATGATGCAAATATCAACCCGAGGAATCCTATGTATAACGTAGTTATTAATTCCTGAAATAGAAAAAATATGTAAGAAAACATGTAGTTGACAAGAAGAAATCAGGAAAAATGATTCGTAGCTAATATTCTTGTTATGATTTCCATGTAAAATGATTTGCAAAGATTTTCAGGATTAGGTAAAATTCTTTTCTGAATGCGTTTTGGTACATTAGGCAAATTGAATGCAGTAAAAGCCGTGATTTATAAAAATGAGCCGACCGACTTCGTGAAGGGAAGGACGAGCCACAGACAATAGGCGGGCTGATTTAAGATAATAATGTTTTACGAGCAGCACAACAACAAAATAAAGACAGCATTGAGTGACGTACAATCCAGCGTCGCCGACACTCTCCTTAATGGTGTTGAGGCCAAGTATCGATTTTTAGAATCCTGTGGCAAACATGCTAATTGTCCGTGTCTGAACTCCTAAGTAATGGGGTCAAATACACCCATTACTTAATAATGTAACATAATGTTTCTAGGGCACTCGATATATTTTGAATAACTCACGCCGCATTGCACTTCGTTGAGAATGAAGCTCGTAAAATATTAATGATGTAATTTTACGTGCCAATGGGGCTTCTTGTAATTAAAACCATAATTAACTTGGCAACATAATTTATTCATTAATTAAATATTGTACGTACTTCATTGAATTCACTTGTTTGTCCTATGATCTTTCCAAAGTTTATTCACCGACTATTTGTCATTTAAATCTTGTGCCCAGCATTTTATTAATACTGAGATTGGTAGTACCTACTATCTTAGAAATGCAATGTAGGGTCTACATAACATAAACGCACACGACGTTTTATTAAGCATCGCGGCATCGTAAAGATATAAACGTATGATATCAAATACCAATACTCGTAGATAAGAATATCTACGATTAAAAAATTCCTAGCACATGGAAAACTCCAGCTACATTTTTCATTTCCCACTGCAGGTGGCGAAGGACTGCGGTCGCGGTCTTTCGCTCTGCATTGTGATCATGCAACTTTAACATGGACCGATCGCAGTAGATATTGAGTCACGCCTCGTGTTGTTGTACCTACCTATTTTGTCGGAGGAAATTGCGGCCCGCTTTGCTTACTCAGCAGCGTTATGCAAGAGTCAAACTTTGCGTTAACAGGCGTTCGGACAATAAAGACCAAGGTGGCGTGGGAGGTGGGGGCTATTGGTACACTATATATCGCAACTATAGACTGGACTGACGTAAAATGTTTTTAAATATTATGTTGACGTTGCGCTTGCGTAACATATTGTTTTATTATTTTGCTCTATAATACTATATCTATGAAACAAAATTGACTATAGCATTATGGCATGTGCGTTGGAGAAGGGACTAATTAATTATTAAAAGATAAATCCACTGCTTATACATTTTTAAGATATGTACACTTTGAATTATATTTATTAGACAAGTTTAGAATTTCCCATTTTACATTCAAAATATTACTGCTAAGAAGATGTAGAAAAATTGTGCATGTTATTATTTAACGATAACAACATAGATTGCTTCCATTAATCATTACATTCAAAAATAGTTAACAGATGGTTTTCTGTTCAACATAAATCAGTAAAGGAATAAATCAGTTAACAATGAACATCTGTTTTTACAATATTCAACGTCTATGGTCCGTAATTATTAATAAATGCATATCAAATAAAGACTGGTAGTTCATCATTTTACTCGTACTTGTTTTATATTCTTATTCTATGGAAACATGATATTTCAAACCATCTTTTTAACGTAAATTATAAGCAATATCACGTCCGAGCTCTTGGGCCATTTGATAAATGGTGAAATAAGTAACAAAAACAAAGCATTAACTGTTTAGATGACAGTTATGATTTCGGTTCTGACAGCTTTTAAGATGATTAATCTTATCGATTTGGAAATGTAATAACACAAATTAAATGGCATTTAACTTGGTGAGTTAATGAAGGACTTGCTCGGGCATGGCAATTTCAGGATGATAGGGGGCCTTAGTGGTCGTTGCCACTTGCGTTGCGCCTACCTACTAGCAGGCTGCTAATTGTTTCGCGTTAAATTGAAAACTACACAAAGTAAGTATATTGTTTATGTGCGTCATATAACATCCTTGGTATTGGTTTAACAATGATCTGTATAGTTGGAGCTAATTGTTATTTTAATAACATTAGATTTTCAAGCAATTAATCGAGGTAATCAGGTACTTATTAAAATTGTAACATGCAGTGACCCAATAGGCTCTTGACAATGCGATTTAATATAAAATCCATTTATATTTTCAGCAGAGCGGCCCTCGTGAGTGATGCAATCATTCACACGTGGTGTGCCTAATTGCAAATTTATCGATCAAACAGTTTGACCTTTCGAAACACCTTGTATACTCATTCATACGGCAGTTGAAAATAGACTAAGCAATATTAACAAAGTTATAAAAAACTCGTTAAAAGATTTTTGTTTAGTATAAAAATCCATTTAAGACGTTCAGAAATACCTACTTGAGACTTAAATTTTAATGCATTTTGTTGAAACCATAAAAATATCAGTTTAAAAGGCATATCTAATAAATATTGATTTGTATTTCATGTGCGAGCTATAGTTGCTGGAAAGTAATATGTCCGAATGAAGGGTTGCCTAAGGACACAATGCCGCGTGTTATTGCACGTCGCACGGACTCGGACTAAGTAGATTAAGGTTCCGTCCGCAATTCCGTTGTCGTGACCTAGATATGTAAATTTCTTGAAAAACGTTCCAGTTCCTTTAGCACTTATCAAGCAAGCTTCATAAATTACTCCTCCAGATAGTTGAGCAGGCGTTGCGGTTAATGAAATTGTGTAAAAAGAAACTTGGACAACGTAACGACCACTACGTTTTGAATAAGTTTTTGCTACGCTTTTTACCGTTTTAAGCTCTATTGACATTTACTCGTACTTTGAAAGTGTTTTTTCAGCTTTGTGTGTGTGTACCCCATGACTTTTTTCCTTATCTTTATCATTAAGTAGGTACACCTCGTAAGTATACAGAAACGCGAATAGCAAATCATATTTTTAATTATAAAGTAAGGACTTCCTTTGAGAAAATCTTTCTGGCTTAAATATTTAAGGTAATTTTCTTCTTCAAGGCTCGTAGTCGTACCTTTGACTCGCTTCGTATCCTACCAAAATCAATTATTAATGAGAATAATTTTACTAAAATTTGGACTCAATTATTTCAGACTAGTAGCGATACTTGACTTTATCTTGATGAATTTAATTAATAATACCCCGTTTAGTTTTTAAACTTTTTCGTTTGTAAATTAACTGTAGCGTAACAACTGAATAATTAAAGCAGTGACTAGTGCAAAAGTGCAAATTAAAATGAGTAAGGTGTGAAGATTTCAATCTTTTCTCTAAACTTTACTCGTAATAAATAACTTTGACCAGATTGCACATATCTATTAGATTAGTTTCGAATTGTTCAAATGCAGTATGTATTTCTTGGGTATTGTTTGAGTTCGTTTTAGTTCAGTGAAACAAAGCACACAGTAACTATATTTAGTATACCTAACGGTTTCCGACCCTTGTTGTTCGAGTACTCTGCTCGTACTTGAAGAGTTGGTGACTTCCTATACATATAACATATACTGTAAGTTATTGGTTAGATTAATGTCAAAATTATTGTTTGACATACCCATATTTTAATAGTTTGCTTTGCCAACAACACGTTTTAGTATACGGCCGTATACTCGGTCATTAAGATGAATACTGGTCGATATAAAATGGAACTGAAATAAGATTTGAGTATGGAAATAAATGTGATTAATTATTTTGATGGTTTGAGTAACCATCCCCCATCCAATGTTCTAAGTGACTACCTACTTACGATGTTGCTATGAGATTGTTCAGGATAACTGGCCTTAAATATGTATTTAGCAGTATCCTACGGCTCGTCAAACGAATTTAAAACTCAAATGTTTCGACTACGTCAGATGGCAATTAAACCTATAAAATTTTCAGCTTGTATGTAACATTTCAGCCCAAGATTTCGGCTACTAAGTAGGGTTAAGTTTGTTTTCGAATTCGACATGTTTTTGTGAATATGACGATGTTATGAGAGCTTTCAAGGAAATCTGCCCACATGGAATTAATCTAGTCACTTCAGGCTATGACACTACGAGTAATGCATGAAATATGTCATCCGCCACGACTTGTGGCAGCCTAATGTGTGGCAGCGCTTATAGCAGAAGCTTATTAGCGGTTTTGGCTTGACGGTAATACAAAATAGGGTCACCATTCGCTCCAATTTGTAAGTAAGTAAAATGTTTGCTTTGTTCAGTTTTTTTACTTATTCGTTAGGAGATTGAAAAATTACCCAACCCGTGCTCGCACACGGTATACCTATTTCTGTAATACTCACGTTGAGAGCAATTTGTTTTTATTTCGTTCCTAATTATTCGCTTTTTGTCAGAACTTTCAAATTTTGCAGATGGTTGCTACTAAGAGTATCAACGAATTTCGAGTCTGTCAAGGTCTTGTGTTAGTTATATTTGCATTAATAATGCCAGAAAGAGTTACATAGATAGTCGCAATGATATAAATAGTACAGTAAGCTGATTTTCATTAAAAGGGTCAAACAATTAATAGGTCTGTAACATAACATAAGCATCTGGCTCGTCCTTCCCAGAAAAGTCGATATGTTTGCCAAATCTCAATGAACTTACCTGCCGATGTGCGTATACGACGGAGCCGAGCAGTTTCCAGGTGCCGCCGCGCCGGTCCATGCGCACCATGCGCAGGATTTGGAAGAAGCGCAGCCCGCGCAGCGCCGACGCCGCGAACACCTGCCCCGACGAGCCCATGCCCAGCACCACTAGAGACGCCAGGATCGTGGTCACATCTGAACAAAGTATTATTCGATCAAATAAACGTATCGATATATACTTTGCACTTATTTACTAAAGTATTTAAATGCGAAGGATTGATTTCAGGAATTTAAACTGCCCTCGATCTACTTTAATTAAAACGTAAAAAAGGCATAACTTTTATTAAATCTTCTCTTTACTTAAAATAAACACTGTCATTTGACTCTGCGTGGCCGGAACTAAGTAGGTATAGATTTAAGTTAGGTATCATTGTTACAGCAGAAGAAAAGTTTGTGTCGGAAACTTACTCGGATTGTCTTTAACAGAGATTGATATAATACTTATAAGTTGAAAAAGTAGATAAAAATTTTGACTCTACAATTTATCGATGGTACGCGTGGTAGAAGTACAGTATTAATTGTAGGTAGAAATTTTCATCTGTATTATTGAGCATAAAAACAGTTTGTAAATATGTAGAGTCAGATAAAAATATTGTGACAATGTCTCAATAATAAATCACAAGAGTTTTACTCAAATAGCGCTTCATTCATTGAATTCAAAGAGAATGGAAATTATATTACTGAGCTCATATCGAATAAATGTACTTATTTCGTATTTCCTGGGAACGTATCCAAGTTACTTTGATCAAAGCATACGAGTAGTAGGCATTCAAATATCATATTCATCGCAAAGCCACCGATAGAATTTTCCTCCTGTATTTAAAAGATTCTTAGAATATAATAGGCAAATCAATTGAAATAAAAGAACCTCGTATGTTATTTTTACTTTATATTTATTTGATTTGATATAAAAAAAAAACAATCAGCGCTTTTGAAAAATTTGATATAATAACGTTTAAAAAGATTTTCGTGAAACACAAAAACCTAAGTGAATCTTAATCGTACCTATTGAATGTAAAAAAGTAGGTGTTTAAAATAATCATGTCGTTGGAATTAGTAATATTATTAAATAACAGCTTACACTTCTTTTTAATCCTATGAATATCTACCAAGGTGAAATTTTGGTTGGTGTGTGTACTTCCAAAAATAGCCTTATTTGATATTCAGCTACCTACCTAATTGCCTTAACGGTCGCAACGCCACGGCTGCAGGCACACTTTTCATTCGCGTCACACGCCAAACGAGCGAAAAGTGGAAAGAAGTGACACATTAATAATGGAAGGGCGGTTGAATAATTTGGGTAGGTTCATTTTATTGTCCCCAGTAGGAATATCGTGCGGCTATGTTTGGCGGTTAGTACGGTCTCGGGCGGGCCGGCTCCCCAGAGAGTGAAATGGCGGTGGCACGAAACTAGTGCCAGGGGAAGGAGGCCCAAATGCGAAGGTCAAAGCAGATTGCTCGCACCTGAAATAGGGTCACTTCGTCACGGTTTATAGACGGAACGTGACTTTTACTTGGAAATGCTGAGGATGAAAGTACTGTTGGATGCGAATCTACAGCACCTAATATTTCGCCTCATACCAGCTTTATGATATTTGTTTCGCTATCCCTGTCACGGTATAAGACAGTTCATGTCGTTTGTTCATATTGTGTAAGATTTTGCCGTCAATAAACACGCAATACGATGCTATAAACTTTTTATATACTCACTTTATTTTGGTAAATGTTGCGAATTAAAGATTCGTTCAATGCGAAAGTTCATCTCGAATGAATCGCGTATATGATAGGTACACATACGAGTAGGTATATATTCCATAAACCTCCTAAAATACAGGGTATCAGATACATTACATATGATAAATAAGTAACACCACCCATAAACCGGTAGTAGATTGTAACCGTTTTTAAACAAATTAATTTATTATCATACCGGCCGTTTGGCTTAAGCTTGTAGAAATAATTAGGTTAGAAAAGCCCATTTAAAATTGTTTTGGGATGTTAAAATTACTTAGTTACAGAATGTTCTTTTTTTAGGTTTACGAGTTGACTATTATTTATATTAACGTAATTAAGTATTTACTTACCGATTATACAAAAAGGCCGCCTCAAAAACTTGAGGCGACCTATTGAGCCTTGATATCGTGACCTGCATCCTGATGACCACAACCTGTGGAATAACACGCAATGTCAGTTATCCTTCGATCAATTCGCCGCCACAAAGGACGGGAAAGAAAACTTATTAAAATANTTAAAATACTTTATTACTTTCTAATTTCCGAGTCAGAGGAAAAGTAATTGAAAAAGAGTAATAGAAATCACCTTTCAATATTGGATAGGTAAGGAATTTCATTATGAAGGTAAAAAAATCTCTCTCCGCTTAATTTTCATGAAATTACTATGATGATTAAAAGCTGGTTTTTATTTGAAATTGCGTTGGTAAAATTTAACAGAATTTTAGAACATTGATTTTATTCATCTAAAGAAAGAACTAGAATCACAAATTAAACTGCTAGAATTTTGAACACTCAAACGCTTTTAATACCTACTCGGACAAACGACCTGATGACAAACATAGGTACTTCAATTCATGGTCTATCATTAATTTATATTAAAAGGAGCAATTTAACATTAAAAAGTTAACTCACTGTCTTAGCAAACCTGTACAAACAAAAAGTTCTTTCTAGTTTTGATTAGTTCATCAAGGTTGTTCGTGTTAAATATGTAGGTAGGTGTACAGAAAGGTTAACGTACAGATTAAATACATCCATACACTGTAAACCAACAGTCGCAGCCGGATTTATTATATTAACTAAAAGTTTGATGTTCGTAGTTTAAATATTTACATTAGACACAGTTTATGAACACATCTAGACAGTATTAAGATACATTAAACGTCTTCAGAATTACTTGAATGTCAAATTATAGGATAGTTAGGTAGTGATATGGATAGTGACTGCTATTAAGATTTAGTTATAAATAACCTCTTTAGACACAAGTGTGTAAATGCTAAAGGAAACCACATAAGGATATTCAAGTTAATCCTTTACTGACTTTAAACTCAGTAGTTTTACTACACCAACAAAACGTGGTTTTATGAAAACTATGGAGTGTATTTAGGCCAGTAGAATTAAACAAAAAAATGAATTAAATCGGAAATAATTCCAACTAAAGATTTTAGTGTTTTAATGGCTTCATTAGTTGCCCATAAAGATTCTCCTAGGTTTTCGACTTCGACGGAGTTGTGCTTAAGTGGTGGGGGCCCTCGAAAGGGGCGCTTTTTCGGTTTTCCGGTTATACCGCGTGAAGGACTTACCCTATCGAAAAGTGGTCTTCCTGACGGTTGAAGGGCATTTAATCCAATGGCTCGTTACCCGCAGGCTTCCAAGTCTTGAAAAAGAGCGCCTCAACTAGTGTAACCCTATCAAGGCTTACGAGCTGGATGCGCCTATCCTTGTTCGTCCCAGCCGTTCCTTAACTGCGGTTGCTGCACCTCTTCCTGGCACTCACCTGATCGACTCTGTGTTACCTACTGTGGCTATCCCTCTTCCTTGTATCCTCCTGCACGACTACGTTTCCTAGCAGTATGCCTAGTCTAAGGTTCGACGCCAAAAATCAACAACAACAAGTTCATATTAAAACGCTGAAGAGTTTTTTGTTTGTTTGTTTGAACGCGCTTATCTCAAGAATTACTAGTTTGATTGAAATAATTATTTTTGTGTTGAATAGCTTATAAATTGAGGAAGGCTATAGGCATAGCTGGGCACCGTTAATCAAATAGTTAACTTCGTTAATCGTTAAACCGTTAATAAAAAAATTAACTTCGTTAAACGTTAAAACGTTACATTTCGAAAGATTTAACGCAAGTTAACGTTAATCGTTAATCCGTTAACACATGATAATAAAAAAAAAAAACCTTGTAGTTCAAATAATTTCGAAAGCTTGTATCGCGCATGGAATTTATTCCTCTTTTATGTTTGCGCTACAAGCTTTCGAAATTATTTGAACCTTGCATAAGTACAATTATTTTTTTCGTTTTAGTACAACTGCATTTCAGTATGAAAGCTTGTTTTTAAAAAAGTTTTTATTATTATAATTTTATTTTACACTTTTTATTATTAGTATCTCAATCTCAGAGCCTTGGTTCAATTACAATACAATTTAGCACCAAAGTGCTCGAAAAGACAAATCCAACAAACCCAAACTCGATAAATAAATAATAATAAATCGCGCATGGAATTTATTCCTCTTTTTTTCTGTTTGAGCTACAAGCTTTCGAAATTCTTTGAACCTAGCATACAATTATTTTTTTCGTTTTAGTACAACTGCATTTCAGCATAAAGCTTGTTTTTTTTTTTATTATAAATTTTATTTCACACTTTTTAGTTCTATCAAATCTCAGGGCCCTTGGTCATCATTGTTAAGTCCGTTACGAGGGATACGAGTGAAACGCTTGCTTGCTATTAGCACACTGTTTATTCTATCAAAAAGGACGGTGGGCGCAGCCACCGTATACATGCGTACATACGTAGCTATAACTACATAACAATCCTCCCCCGATTGACAGACATCAATTGATACTTCAATCTGTTAATAATGTTAAAAGAAAGCCCTATAATCGACTCTGGGTATGTTGCGTAATCTGCCCGATTCTCTGGTGTATGAAGGTATGGTGGTTTGTTCACTCGAGCCCAAGGGCTGGTTCTGAGTCAAAGATGAGTTGTCTTCCACTAAGAAATCATCATAATCCCAATGTTGTTGTAGAGTTTTACCACCTTCTTCACCCTTATACGGTAAAATTTGATTTTTATGCTTTTTCATTATTACAGATGTTAGATCGTCTCGGATTAGGTATAAAACGCTGCCAATAACACGTACCACAGTACCGATGCACCACGTCGAAAACCTAGGAGAGTCTTAATGGGCAACCAATGAAGCCATTAAAGCAATAAAATCTTTTGTAGGAATTATTTCCGATTTAAAATCTAATTCTACTGGACTAATTATATAAAATTTAGTCCTTATTAATTCCTTCTGTCGAGTTCTATTTCGTATTGAGTGTGTAACTTAGCAGTGGGACACGAATTCTCGCTTTGGCAGGCCACGCGGCGGCTTGCGGTGCGGCCGGGAAATAGGATCATTACACGGGGCGGCTTCAGCTTTGACTGCGCTCGCAAATACAGACGCTTTGTAGAGCCGGCTGAGTAGTAGCCACTATTATTATTTAATTTTATTTTTAGTGTCTCGAATCCAGTCTATTTTAAAAGAGGCCAAACGGCCGGACTCTTGAAATGAGTCAAAATTGTGCAACTTCTTGAAATTATATTTTTAGAACTGACATGACACATAATTAGCTATGCAAGTTAAATGTAGCAAACATTTTGTTGAATAACTCAGAAGTGTTATTTCAAACTTATCATATTTGACATTAATGGCGAGTAGAAGGTATTCGTATACCTACTCGTAAAATAACTTATTTTTAATGTTAATGGGATACCTGTTTCTAGATAAAATAATTATTTACAATCAATTTCAAGACTACGTCTACTTCTTGCCGTCTGTTTTAGAGGAACGTTTAGTTCAGTAACTGTATTTATTCGGCGTGTAAATGAAATAAATAAATAATGTTGTGTAAGCCTGTTGAAGCGAAGCAATCCGTCTACATTGAGTGACGAATCACTTCACGCGAAAGCTCTCGGAGCTTATCTACGAGTGCTCACTGTTTGCGCACTACGAGTAGGTATACTAGGTACCTACGTATAATTTCAGCCCACGCGGTAGGATCACCATGCGCGAAAAAATTGATTAGGATTGGTATTTTAATAAATTGTAGATATAATGTAGCCCAAGCCTTATTCGGATTTTTGTTACTTTCCTTTGTCAACATTAAAAAAAACTTGATGCGGTTTTATTTCGCTCCATTTATTGCAGTCCCACTGGAAGGCGTAACGTTATTTTAAAAATACTACCCGAATAACGTATGGAATGTCAATGTCAATCATTCCATAATTTGTAAGTAAAACAATGATGAAAAATGCAATTTTATCCATAGTGCGTTTTTAAAACTGTAGGTAGAGCGTATATTAAAAAGCTCTTGCAAAAAGACGAGGCGGTCGCTGCCCGCACAAACTACTACCGCATTTATACCATAACGTATAAGATGTTTATGATAAAACTGGCACGCGCGTTTGTGTAGGTGTACGGGCATTCCGTTTGGGCCAATTCCCTTAATCTTTAGCTATTGAGTGATTTCCAAGGACATAAAGTATTTAAAAAAAAAGTCATTCAAGAATTTATGGCGTATGTTGTATGTGAAAGTTGTAACGAGTTTTAGAATCTTCTATTGAGCGATTTTAAATAATACAAACTCGTATGTTAGTACTAACCTTAGAAAGAACTCTATTGCGAACCAAATGACTACAACAGTCTCCATGTAGAACAGCACAATGCCAGCCTTCGCTTCGTACTCCTCAATAGTGGAGAACACTGACAGCGACAAACACATGAACACCATCAGAAACCTGCAAACATTAAGTGCTTAGAATGTCTAAGATAATGTTGTAAGAAAAAATAATTAGTAAAAGTTCTGCGAACTCGTTTGATGGGTGCCACTCCACAGGCCAATTAAACTTTAATAAGCCCAGCCTATAAGACTGAGAAATTAATCCCTAACTTTTGAACCCGTAGGGGGCTCGACGCAAAGTCAATATATTCGAGAGCGACCCGCCTTAATTCAGTTTGCGGTTCCTTGGAGGTTGAATACGCAATTAAACATTCAATTAGAATATACTTAACTAAATATTTGTTCCCAGAAATGATCGCTAGATTCTGGCATAATATTATGTTTATGTGTGCCACTTTGCATCCAGACAAATCAAACACACGTGTTCAATTAATGTTTGAGCGGGAGGCGCTCGAAATAACTTTCCTTGAAGATATTGCTTGCAAACAATAGTTATTTCGTGTCTTCGAATTTGTCGTAAAGTTGAGCAGGAATAAAATTCACAGACGAAAAGGGTTGGGACAGCTTTACCAATTGGACCAATAACTGTTTGCCTAGGAAAGTTTTGAATGGAAAAAACCTTTCTATCCTGTACGATTTCCCTGGAAGTGTAGAGAAAATGTAATGGGCGGAAACAGTCAATACTTTAGGACCATGATATTTTTTTTTATATTTCAATTAACTATAAGCTAAGAAAATAAGACAAATAGTACGCCAATCATCTGGCGAAATATTATGTGAAATAGTTTTAAAAGTTTAAAGTTTAACGTTAGGAAATATGTAGGTACATATAAAGAAACGAAGAGAAGAAGAAACTAAAGTCACCATGTTAAGTTTTATTACTACTTTCAGGGACACATGTAAATAGTTCTTGTTACTATTTTAAATGCTATAAACCTTTTTCATTTGCGCAATTTTTGCAGGTCCAGCCTTCATAAGAGAGTGGAGTACTATTGGGTGTGTTGACTTACACAATCATGTGATAGAGGACAGCTTTGACGCCCCTCGGCCTTTCAAGGAAGTTGTAGAACTTGGATTGTAGGCGGCGGTAGCGCGCGTCGCGTCGCGTGGCGCGGTAGCTGAGCGGCTTGCCGAGCAGCGACATCCGCGGCGTCGCCAGCCGGTCGCCGCCACTCTTACTCTCACTGCAACCAACGATACCACCGCTCCGTAACACTACTTACTACCGGTCTTCAGAGGATATCCGGATTAGTAGGAATACCGGATGGATTAGCAAAGCATTAGTTAGTTCAGAGGTTTTTACATGGGAGTGATAACATCTGTTTTTTCTCTTTGTTTACACAGGGCGGAGACGACAATAATTGGAAACATTATGAAGTTGTATTGCCGCCTCCTTATTATTATTGCTCATCGCCGTAATACATTTACATATATAAATACCATAATTAACAATTAATACAACGAAGTTACTTATCGATACAATAAATGATCACATACTTTTCTAGCACGTATATTAGCTAGATTTCAAATCAACGAAGCTAGGTATCTATCTATCTATCTATCTATCTAGCTATCTATCTATCGTATCACCACTAACATGCTTCGACACAGACATCTTCCATACCTTGAGACTAAATGAGCACGTTTGCTATGTTCAGACTGATAAGCTAAATTCTAATAGAAATCATGAAAATATTTTCTATCTGAAAACATTGAAATCAAACACACTAGGTATAATGCTACATAATTAGACATAATAACAAATGAAAAATAATTAGCTTCTACTTTTCATATCACCTAGTCATTATAAAGCTCAATATTTCTTTATTAATTAAACTTGCATCGTCATTATTATCAATTATAACCAGTTCCACGTTGTAGTAATAAAAACAAATACCTCTTCATAATTCCTCTCATTTTATATCGTTCGCTGTGCACTTAACCAACTGCTTTTTATTTCACTAAACAAGAAGAAGTTTACTTCCCATACAATGTTAAACTTTTCAGTAATGGCTCAAGCGGACAGGCCGGCTTTTGCGGCAGTTTAAGTTAAAATGCCAACTGTGGCTAATTTAAAGCCACAAACGTAACTGCCTCAATTATAATGTTTGTAACAAGGGTTTGTCTTCGGACCAAAGTTTTTACAATTTACCGCACGCGTGTGTGGTACTGACATATTTACTGACGTAGGTAGAGAAAAGTGACCAAGTGAAATATACTGTTTTGTTAACCCTTTTAAAACAAAAGGCAATACTTTTACTTAAAATCTTTTATACATGACTAGTACCCATATCAAGGGTAAAAGTATCACTAAATTGCTGTCACTAGTTGCCATATCTGGATATTTTCGGTTATTTAGGTAGGCTGTTCTCCCATTCATTTTTTCATTTTGTGTAACGAAGACCCACAAGTAAGATATAAAACATAAAAATAAATTAATTCCCCACAAACACTTTTAAACGACCAAACTTTGCGAACTAGGGCAGCGAAGATACTAAAAAGTATAATAGCACGGATGTTGTGGCACTTATACACACGGAATGAGGCGACTCTCTTATCGCGTTTGTGTGACGGGATATCAATCTCAGTAATCTCGACGCGACTTGCGGAAAACCGGTGTGTAAACAAATCGTCTCAGCTATGAGCTTAACCGACCGGCGGGAAACGAAATAGTAACACTTCTGTAAGACGGAGACACCCATTCACGAGCGCTCTCTACGCGCCGCGAGTCGCATCACTCGTGATCCAGTTCAACTTCCAATATCAGTCTCACACACCTACCTACTTGCGCACCGTAATCGTTACTAACATCTCCTTGTTTACAAATCGCACAGTCTCTGACGCTATTGTTTACCGGGATCATATTAGCCACGTTTACGTTACGCATCGTGTTTACGAAATGTAGCAGCACATTGACACATTGACGTTTGTACACAAAAGGAAGCACTAAATACGGATACAACAAAGCGGAATTCAACATTGAAGCTCATTGTAATTAGTTATTAATAGTTTTATGATTAAGTAGGTAAAAGCTTATAAAGGGATAGAGATAGTTACGTAGAATTATGTAGTAATTTCCCTACCTTTGAATGAAAGTAAAATATTTTTAAGCTTTAATAATTTACTAACACGTACAATTTTGAATGTGACAGGACTAATAAAACAATCTAACTATGGTATGTTAAGTTGCCGTGTTTTTGTGTAATAAAGATTTTCAAATAAATAAATATGCGAAAGACGCGTGCCCATACAGTGCGTTGTGACGCAGCGAGGCAGTGGAAGATGGGAGGCTTAGGGTACCGCCCCCAAGTTTTTCAGACATTTTGAAAGGAAAGGAAAAAAAGGAACTGAGTTACGTCGAAGCGTCGTGCGGCCTTAACCCTAATTGAAAATCACGAATCGTAATGAGTTTCTCTTTTGAGAGAAAACACCCTTTAATGGAATCTGCTGGCTGATTGATGTTTATTCAGTGTGTGAGATAAATTGGCATGGTAAATTTTCTTGAAGCTTATAAAAAAATATAATAATAAAACTTCATAAAAGTCTAAAAGACTCTAAATTAGAAATCGCGAAAGTGTGAAAGTGTGGATCATTCAGCTGGTGCATTATTTCTAGACAGCCATTGCTCAAAACCTTGTTTGCTTTAATACTTGAATAAATGTTAAGCATGTCAAGCTAAAGTGTAACGTAGTTAAGTTAATTGTTACTTGGCAGGTGATCAAATTGTCTGGACGTTAGCATCACGCAGCGTCCCTGGGGGCCCCGACCGAGCGCTACTATGTCAAGCCGTGATAAAGGCCCCGCTTTCAACTACTGTCTTGTTTGTCTCTGGTTAATTGATATAGTAATAACTAATTTGACATGAATGGACACCTAAATCAACCTTCATCAAATTGTTTTAATAGCCGGCAGATTTCTGCTTTGTTAATACAAAACAGGGCACTGATTTCAGCGTGCACAATATTTACGAAGGCAAAACCCTTTACTATGGGAGCAACATTGAAATCGCATATAAATTTTACCCATCCATACTTTATGTTCTACCTCGACGATAATGTATGAAGCATGTTATTTATATGTTGAACCCATAGTATGTAGTTTACCTTTGGGTATTTATAAGCACAAATGCCTACAATATTGTACACATCGTTCGTTCGTTCGTTCGTTTCAGCCAAATGACGTCCACTGCTGGACAAAGGCCTCCCCCAAGGTTTTCCACAATGAATGGTCCTGCGCTGCCCGCATCCAGGCTCTTCCCGCGACATTTACCAGATCGTCGGTCCACCTAGAAGGAGGCCTGCCCACGCTACGTCTTCCAGCCCGTGGTCGCCACTCGAGAACTTTCCTGCCCCAACGGCCATCGTCTCTACATTGTACACATACATTTATACAATTTTCTATTAAATTGTTAAATTTCGCTTTATAATCGCGATTTAATAAATGTTTCAACAAATTACGTAAATTTTAAGTCCCATATAAGCGCAACGAATCAGCACTTACAACGCTTAAAACCTATGTTCATAAAGGTGTGATAAAAAATACAAAGTAAAAGTGAAAAATGTTAGTGTATCATTTGCAACAGAAAGTACTAAAGCGCTGCTCTATCATTAGTCAATATTAAAACAACCTATAAAACAAATGCCATTATTTTGCGAGCATACTTGTGCATGTAGTTCCTAGTGTGAAAGTTGGTTATGTTGTACAGTTAGTTATTAAACTATGAAAATTATTATCACTATGATTGTTTTGCGAACATACGAGAAATTCGCCTGAAAACTGTAGTTACAGGAGTTACGAGTTGTTTTCGGTTGCTAACATGTTTGAATAGTAGTACTATTGTGTCAACATAACGTAACGTACACATTTTCCCTTTATACGTGAGCTGTTTTCCATTTCTTTGTAGTCGTAGTCCACGAGTTCGTCCGCACGGAATCGAAATGTAAACAAGTGGGGCGACGTCGCGTTCACCATTCCGGAACTACTGAATGATCATGAATTATTACGACGACAGTATCGCCGATAAAATCAAATCGAAGCCACGATGAAGTTATTTTTTTGGGGTCAAATGGTTTGTACCCACCAAATTCACGCAGTTTTCATTTTCCTCGCAATGGAGTGCTATTTTTATGAACATTTCCCAATAAGTATACACAATAAAACCTGCATGCATTAAAAATGTTTTATTACATTATTTTGTATAAGGTATAAGTACAGTACAAAACCTCGTAAGGTTTACGGCTCTAAGGTACCTAGTATAATATTTGTTTATTAAGACAGAAGAATACATATTTTAGTATTTTTATGGCTAACACAAATTAATTAGTAGTTATAGTTACTTATATCTTAAGCAACGATGTAGTGGATGCACCCAAAATGAAGACAGTTCATTCTAAAAATTTATTCAATATTCCATTTAATCAGAACTTCGCCCTTACATTTACTAGTATGTACTGCTTGCACTGTTCAAAATGCATAACCTGATAACAAAGTGGTGATAACATAAACTTTGCTAATATTCTGCACTTAGCTGCAACGAGTACGTGGAGTACGATGAATAGTTTAATTAATCCACGAAATCTAATGTGCATAGGTATGTTGTGCTTAGAAATTAATAAGCTCCTCAGAGATTGCAAGATTCAGAATGCTCTCTCTAGCTTGAACGAGTATCAAGCAAATCCTGAGCCAATAACATCGTAAACAAGTCATAAACGCTGCTACCCAAGACAAGTCCGTGTCAAAGTTTTACCTTTAATAATTCTCTCACAATGAATTTATAATGTAGCGTCGTGAGTTAATTTTCTTCACCGAGAAAATTAACGCTGTGGTTACCATCCGTCACCTACTATGATTTAACGGAGCACTTTGTGTATGAGCCCGAAACATGAACTCTGGATGTAGGATTAACTTTATTTTGTGTTAAAAGATCGACTTTTATAATATTATATAATTCCAAAGTTGGAATTTTACAAACGGGTGCAATGAACTTTTTTATAGAACTTTGGCATGTTTGTGGTGGTCGCAATTTTCTCTTTAATTACTTAAAGGAAAAGTAAGGAAAAGTACTCGTATTCACAATACAAAATATGTCACAGTCAACGACATTTAGATACAAATTCACTTGTTATGATGTAAAAAAGGTGTTCACTACGTCGTTCATATAATATAATGTCTCCTTGAACAGTGG